GTAGAAAGCATCAAAGTTAAATATTAAATATTTCAAACTAGAATTATCACATATCTTAATTAATTATAATATTTCTTCAGGGCTTATGAAAAACCTGAAATTTATCTTTGGAGTAGACATTATTCATAATAATAAATGTTGTTTAACTGAAAATTAATAAAGGTCCATAATAATAACATCATTTAAAAATTAAAAATTTAGTGAATAACTCTTTTAATTATCACCAACAACCAATTTAAATTCACGGACTAAAAATAATAATATCGAATCAATCATTATTTATTAAAAATTTGTTTGTGTGCATCGCTAGTAGCTAACACAATTGTAAATGCCGGAATGCGGTAATCACCCCGCAGCCTCCGACTCTATCATCTTTTGCCGATTACGTCTTGCCTTCTCACAGTACTTCGACTGATAAACAGCAGCGGTAATAATGAATACGCATTTACATATGTATGAATGTACATGTGTATTGTATATATTCCGCGACTTTGAACGGCATTACTAACCTCAGACAAGCAAATCATCAAAAAGGAGAGAAAAAGAAGCCGGAAGGCAAAAAAATGTACCGCAAAGTTGTGTTCATTTCAATTTCTCATTTTTATTGTGTGTGTGCCTGGTCGAACTCAAAATACAGTAGATATTGGCTAAGGGTCATTAGTGGACTTAACCATTAAAATAAACTTTTAATGCTGTTTACTCGCCCGTACTGCTAAGGTCATATTAAAAAAAAATTATAAATCGTTTGTTTTGTCCTTTTTACCAAACATAAAGAATTAAATTGACAAATAATATTTAAAAATTTAAAGCTACCTTTGGCAAAACAAAGTTTATATAACCTGCAGCTCTAACATAAATAATTTATTTTATAAGACGAATATATTTCGATTTGTATTCGTATATGTTTAAAAACAATGAAGCTTGGTCGATTTTCCAATATATATATTTTTTCCGATCTTTCCTATTGCAGCTATATGATATCATCGCCCGATGTTTATAGCATATCTGTTTTAAAAACAACGAATTAATAATAGTTTTCAACTATTTTTTGACTGTGTTTTTTGAGTTATACAATATAGGCGACCTACTATTGGCAACAGAAATAAGACCTTTTGGAAACATATAGAGAGGCAAAAGAGAGTTGATATAGAATATACATATAAACTTTACAGGGTCGGAAACTTTTGACTGAAATTATAATTCTTATAATTATAACTTTACCAATAAAATGTCAACGTAAAAATAAAAAAGGAAAGCTTATATCCTTATGAAATTTGGTAGGTCGGATTGATTGGCCAAAAATAAAACCCATACCCTCAGCAAGGGTATAATAATACCGTTGAAAAGAATCTGATGTGGGTCTGATTTTCAAATGGCACCAAGGGTGTTACTCCGTGTGACAAATTAGAGTATGAACATTACATTTTTTAATATTAAAATATTTTTTACAAAAAAAACCAAAAAAATATTAAGCCGTTATTTTTAGAAGAATTTTTTACGAAAAATAATTGATCTTAAAATATTCCTTTAAACACAAATATATTTTATGTGATATTCTGAATTTCTTTCCTACCAATATCCACTGTAATGAGGTGAACAGAAAAAGAAATGATCACCCGGATCGAAAACAATGCAGCTTGAAGCAAAAAAACAGGAAATAAAAATAACTTCGGTTAGCAGAACTTTATATACCCTTGCAATTATAAGAAAATTGTATTAGACAAGACACCTTGTTCACTAACTCCATTTAATTTGTTAATTCATCTATATCAAAAGTTTTAAAATTGACTAAAATCTAGTATTTTATTTGAAATCGGGTTATTGACTGATCGATCCTATGGCAGCTTTCTGATATAGTCGTCCGATTTTTATAAAACCTATACCGAGCTTCTGAAATCATTAAAAGTGACTTTATATATTCGTATTAACTTAAAAACAACGAAGGATTGGTGAAATGCCTGGTCGAGCTTTATATGGTCGTAAATTTTTTCTTTGCTGCGTTGTAAACATCTTACTGAAATTTGAATACCCTCTGCAAGGGTATACAAATTCCAAAACCCGTCGCAATCACAATAAGATGCAAAAATAGGTGTGCACAATTTTTGCAGTCAAAATTGTTTGTTCGCCTTGTTTGCCACAGCTCAATTACACACATGCCAAGGCGAGTGTATGTTAAAAGCACTGCAGACACACACAAAATTTGTCTTGAAAGCCCTTTAATAACAGCATTGCGTATACGCCGCTTTCACTCTTGAAATTCGATAAGCAATACCATCTGGGTCTTGGACGATACCGGGGCTTGGGCGGATTTGTAAACATTTTAATCAACAGAACGTTTGCCTTGCTAATTGAAAATGAATGTGATAAAACTTCTGTATCAAATGTTATTTTCTGTAAGGAAATTACATAACGTCCGCCGGAAATTGCTGCTGAATGTGTCTCAGTGTTTTGGATGCATTAAGCTATTTACTGTTAAGATATGGATGTAGATATATACACATACATATGCTGAGCTAATGCGTTTTTCGTTAAGCTTGCACCTGACAGAGTGAATTTTAGAAAAGTGTTTCATAACTCTTAACATGTTTAGCGAGAATCTGCAAAAAACTGAAAACATCAACAAAATCTGTTAACGTTTTGTTTTAAGTCTGCCTTTTGCTTTTTTCGCTGTTACTGAATAAGATTTCAAGGTTGTGTCGCTAAAAGTGAGGCGAGCGGGAAAAAAATAAAGATGCACACAGGCGAAACAACAAAAGCGAAGAAAACAAAGCTCAGTGGGTCAAATTTTTGTGCGTTGGGGCCCTTTTTGTTGGTTTATTTTCTCAATTTATTTTAGCATATGGCCACGCCCTGCTCAACTGCAAATATTGGCGGGCTTGGGATGATGTTTGGGCCGTGATTTATGGTTAAACATTTTGTGACCTGAAATGCCTGGTCGAGCCTCAGATATGTACATATGTATATTTTGACTCCAATAGGATCGGTGTGATTATGGGCGATTAAAATGATCATAAGCAATGTCAAGAGAAGATCGTCAGCGGTCGGTGATGGTCAGCGATTTACATAAAACTGAAACGCTTATATCATCAAATACTAATTAACTTAATTGCAGGCCAAAGTGGCATTTACAGTCGAACATCTCTATCTCGAACTGCCGTATGTACCAACAAATAGGATAATACTTGCAATCATTATTTGATAAAAAATATTAACTGACTAAAGTTAGAAAAACAACTTTTGTACTTTAAACTTTTTTTATCTAATATTTTACTTGAAAGTAAAAAGATATATTGTAGTTGTTGGTAGAAGGAAGCTTATCCGACTTTATAAAGTATGTATATTCTTGTTTAGGATCAATAGCCGTCTGTCCGTCCGTCTGACTGTCTAACTGTCTGTCTGTTTGTATGTCTGGCCGTCTGTCCGTCCGTATAAACGGCGAGATCTGAAAAACTATAAGCTAGAGATTAGGGAAGTTTATTCAAAAATTTTGCCATACCAAAAATTAGCGAAATATTTTAATTACTTTTTATACCCTTGCAGAGGGTATTATAATTTTGGTCAGAAGTTTGTAACGCAGTGAAGGAGACGTTTCCGACCCCATAAAGTATATATATTCTTGATCAGGATCAATAGAGGATTCGATATAGCCATGTCCGTCAGTCCGTCTGTCCGTCCGTCCGTCTGTCCGTCTGTCCGTCTGTTTCAGTACCGTTTGCGAGCTCAGTTTAAAAGCTAGCGATCTGAAAATTTCACAGTCGTCCTAAAACATGTGTACGCAGATCAAGTTTGAAAACCGCCCCGATCGGATGTCTATATCCTATAGCTCCCATAGGAACAATCGGATATAACTTGCAAGAATGGAAGATATTCCGCGCAGTGTAAAAGCTATTAACATAAATCTTTCCAAATCTTAGTTTTTTATGGATACCTTGATCAGGGTAAAAGCGCTTAGCTCCCATAGGAACAATATACCTTATTCCTTTCGCTACTTTTTCATTTTTAGCTATTTCGGGTATTAGCAAGGGTATTAAAACTTCGGCTTGCCGAAGTTAGCTTCCGTCCTCGTTAAATACAGTTATACTGAAAGAATATATGCTTAAAAATAAGCTTGGACTATTATCATTCTAAAAGATTGCAATAAAATAAATTTACCGAAAAACATTGTGTTACCAAAAAAACACACAACAAATATTAGTATTTATAAATAAAATAAAAATGTAACAATTTATATTTAGACGTCATATTATATAATACTAATTCTATCTTAAAAAAACGATTTTTTTTGTAATATTTTAACTACATTTAATCTATACGCAATTATATTTTAATAATTAATTATAAATGTTTGTATTTTTATACCCGTTACTCGTAGAGTAAAAGGGTATATTGTATTCGTGCAAAAGTATATAACAGCTAGAAGGAAGCGTTTCCGACCCTATAAAGTATATATATTCTTGATCAGGGTCACTAGCCGAGTCGATATAGCCATGTCCGTCTGTCCGTCTGTCCGTCTGTCTGTCCGTCCGTATGAACGCTGAGATCTCGGAAACTATAAAAGCTAGAAGATTGGGATTTTGCATGCAGATTCTAGGAGTTCCTACGCAGCGCAAGTTTGTTTCAAAAAGGTGCCACGCCCCCTTTAACGCCCACAATCGCTTATATACGATATAATATATATTTCGGAAAAGTAAAAATGCAGTTTTATTGTGTTTAAAAATACCTATCGAAATGTAGAAGAAATTTTTCAAATCGGACCATTCGTTAAAAAGTTATGCGTGATCAAAGTTTCTATCTCCATCTCCCTCGCACTCCCTTTACCTGAGTAACGGGTATCTGATAGTCGGGGCACCCGACTATAGCGTTCTCTTTTGTTTATTTTATGTAGCCTCAGCAATATTTTATTTTCGTGTAGTGTAAAATAATTGCACCATTTACACTATTTCTTAAAGCTTACCTTATTGTCCAATATCGAGAATTAACAGCAGAATCTTATTTCACAGCCATCCTCACGACCCGAGTCGGATTTCACGCTCGACCTGCCGAGGGCCGAGCAGTTGCGCTTGAAAATGGACAAGGAGAAGAAGTTCCGCCAAAGATGCCGCTTTATCACCACGTTCCTCAGCCTGGTCTTCTTCTTGCTGACCGTAATGGTGGTGAGCCTAGTTTCGACCCGCGGCAAACGGATGTTCGGCAGCATGATTTGAGGAACCCCGATCACCGACCCCACTAGCATCTAGATACGAGTCTGCTAATTTGAGGGACTGCAGAACATTACAAACTACAGTGCCAACCACAAATGTAACACGTTAACGATGCTCAAGTTTAGCGATAGTGGTAGTCGTAAGCTCCTCGTGGTTTTTTTTGGCAGGGCAGGACCGCCACAGCCGCAGTCGCAGTATTGTTAATAAATTATTTATGTGATCCTAGAAATTAAGTCCGAGCAAGTGCATTTGTTTCTGTGCGTTCGCGTATACTGCCTGTATCCAGCCTATCGTTTGTCAAACATATCGTTAAGTCGATCGAACTGTATTAAATATAAATGTATAATTATAGCTAGGGTCTTGTGAATGTGTTGAGAATAAACAGAATATTGAGTATATTTAATAACATTTATTAATATTGAACATCCACGCACAGGCGAATTGAAAGCTTCCGTACATTTGAGAGTTTTAATGCCTTCGGGGCTTCAGCGGCATCCTTGTACTTATAGACATACATATATCATCGTTATCTTTATCACAAGTGGTTTTGATTTCCATTTGATTCGTTAAACCTGAACCAACTGCTAGTGGGTGAAATGCACAGAACTTAGAAATTAGTGGGCTAATTTGGATATTGGCTGGCAGCTACAAAGCAAATCTACAAAGCGATAAATAGCTAAGAAATAAGGCAAGTTCTGCTGAGAAGTGTCGGGAATGGCGGTGCGACCAAACGGGTCTTTGGCGTGTGCTCATGTTTACTATTTCATAATATGCGTATGTTCTGGCGATTGACCTCGAACACGGTGTGGTCCTCGTCATCGCTATTGACGTCCTCGATGGCCATTGGCAGTGGGGTCAGCTCCTGATTCGCTCGGTCGCCCTGCACGCCGTACTTGCGCTCCGCCCGCGACAGTCGCAGCCTGCAACGATTGGAAATGAGTAAGATTCAGCTTTTATTTTTTTGGATTTGTACAGCTTTTTAATAGCCAGTATTCAAATTATTGATACAAAGGTAAAGCTAATAAAGGTGATTGTGATATAGAGATGCTCTATTGTAGTAGAATTTATTTATCTTTATTAGTCAGTTAACACTTCATTTATGATTGAAGTCTGAATCATAGCCCAAAACCATTCAACTCACCGGTAAACCCGCATCACGAGGAGCAAAATAGCAGTACTGGTAATGCCCACCAGAATGTATACAACGGCTTGGCCGGGAAAGTCGATATCGGAGGACATATGGGTCTGTTCAACGTGCACATCGTCTATGGGAAATCTTGTGGAAGCTTCCGCTGCTGGAGCTTTGGGCTGTGGTGCCGGTGGTGCAGTTGGGGAAACTGACCCCTTGTTCACGACCACCGTAGCATCCTTTGGTCCCGTCAAAGGATCTTCGGGTAGGCGCTCCTTATCTTTTTTGCCGTCCGCTTTGGCAGCCGGTTCACTCTTTTCCAGAATGTCCACGGTCTTTTGGGGCGCCTGTGCGGCTGCTGCGTCACAGAATTGCTCATGGAATAGAATGAACAGCAGCACTGCAGCCACTAAGTAGCAGTACCGGTAAGACATTTTCCGCTATGAAATTCTAAATTGTTAAGAATGTAACCGTTTATTTGGATAAGCAATGACTTTTTAAATTTCTTCAATGTTTTTGTTTTGCTTTAGAGCGCTAGAGTTGCCACAAACGGAAAAGCTACTGAGATGTAATTCCATTTAAAATACCAAAAATAACAATAATCATCTGGTCACATTCCATGGGTTGTGTCTTCGGAAAGATAATTAACAGTTACTAGGCTTAAAGCCTTTTTTCACCCCGGTACTCAGATCGACGAAAAAAATACAAGAAAATTACATCGCGTTACCACCTGTAATGTAGTCTGGATGAACGATCGTCTGGCCCATGATACAATAACATAAGGTAGTCTCGTCGGCTGTCTAAACCATGATACAATAACATAAGGTAGTCTCGTCGGCAAAATCTGGTACATCTACTATTATAACAATGAGTGCAAGTGAAATGGGAACTGTTTAGTAAGTGCGAGCAGAGCGACAATAGAATGTGTGGATTAACCCTTAAATGGTTCAGGGTTTTTTTTGCCTTTCATAATAAAAAGGAGTTTAATTTTTTTTATAAATTAATTTTTAATAATTTGGAATTTGAAATCAGGCGTTGTTTTTGTCTTTGATTCTTAATTCCTCTCACAGCGCTCTTTGTTCAAAACATTTCGGTGGCTGTAAAAATTTTACGCCATCGACGTGTTTGCGGCACACATTGCATAAAGTCACGTTGCTCAAGGGTTAATTCTGTAAAAAAAATCGTCCGTAGACAACCTTTTCCTTTTTTCAAAAAAAAAAATTAAACTCCTCTTATTATGAAAGGCAAAAAAAAACCCTGAACCATTTAAGGGTTAATCCACACATTCTATTGTCGCTCTGCTCGCACTTACTAAACAGTTCCCATTTCACTCGATCTCATTGTTATAATAGTAGATATACCAGATTTTCGCCGAAACGAGTGGTTACGACCTTAGTGATTATATTGGTCTTTGGTCTGGCCCTAGCGGAAAAATTTAAAAATGTAATCTTTTGGGGTGCTTCTTGTCAGAGAAAAGTGTTTCTTATGCCCTCTTCCCATAGAGTCCATCCGTTCGAAACGGTTGGGATTTTTGACAAATGTAAAACTCCGATTCTCACAGAGCACATCAACCATCCACCATCCTTTTGCACAACATTTAAAATGAGCACAACAGCGCTATAAATGATACTTGGTAACAGACTGCAAGTGATCTACGCGAACAAAGAAATCGGAATAATGTCTGCAGATTTTCGCCAGCCTGAAGAAAAAATATGAACAGCTATTGCACAATATTGTCTAACATATCAAGTTCATTAAATATAAATATGTTTGTTTTTTGTTTTATTATAATTTCATATTTCTTTTTATTATTAATGTCAAGGATGGTAGACAGCCAAGCTCAATTCAATGACATGATCTTGGTCTGCGCTTGCTGCTCCTCCAGCCTTTCTCGAGCGCTATCTCCACAAGCTCGGCCTTGTGGTCCACAATTGCGCGCTTTGCAGGGGGCGCAGAGCTGCCTGAGCGTAGACTTTCGCTGTAGAGGATTCCAAGTCATCGAAATCCACATTTAAGACCTTCACAAAGTATTCCCTAGTACCTGCAATAAATATATTACATTATTTAACTGTAATTGTTCTCCAAGGTGTATTGCTCCATACGGCAATGCGTCTAGGAAAGAGTGGAGCAACAATTAATGCTGCCACATGGATGGATCAGTAATTAATTAATTATTACAAGTATAAACAGCATTTACTAATTTGGCACCTCCCATTTTCAAATTTTACCCGTCATTATTTTTTAAGATTTCGCTGTGAATATTTAAATTTTCACTGTCAAGAAGAAGAACTCAGAGTTGCAACAAAAAAACATCGCCAAACTATCGCATAAAAAAGTCCGTCAAATTCGGATGGGGAACTAACTGAGAATTTTCGGAACGGCAAAACCTTTGGACCATCCGTCAACGGATGGTGGATGGATCTCTGTGTGAAGACGGCATTACGTTCTTCTGTAATAGAAACATGTATTTCTTATAAAAGAAAACCTTTTGGCTGCCGATGCGAGTGCGGCTCGCCTAAAGGTTGGTACTTTATTTAACTGGCTTAGCGACGCGGTTTAATTAATCCAATAAAATTTTCTTGGTTTTTATAATATTATTATAATTTTGGTCAAAAGGCATACATCCAGGCAGACATCTCCGACCCTATAAAGTATATATATTCTTGATCAGGATCACCTCCTGAGTTGATATAGCCATGCCCGTCTGTCTGTTTCTACGCAAACTAGTCTCTCAGTTTTAAAGCTTTCGAATTAAAACTTTGCACACACCCTTCTTTCCTTTGCACGCAGTATATAAGTCGGAAAGGCCGGGATCGGCCGACTATATCCTATAGCTGCCATATAACTGATTGATCGGAAATGCCATAACTTTGGTGTTTGTAAAGTTAGGAAGTTGGGATTTTCTATGGGTTTTATATTTGGCGAATCAATCCGACCTACCATAAAGACCGTACGACTATATCCAGTAGCCGCCATATACATAACTGATTAATCGGAAATGCCATAACTATAATGAATAATTTTGGAGAATATAATTTACAGAGTATTCTGCAAGGGTATATCAACTTCGGCTCCGCCCTTTCTTGTTTGCATATGTTTTTGCATTGCTTCTGTTTGAATTAGGGATGTCGGAAATATATCAAAATATCAATATATCGATATTTTTCCTCTTAAAAATAATATTATCATCGCGATATTTTTTGGGCAAAAAAAGGCGATATTGATATTTTGAGAGGATATTTCCGATATTTTTTGTTTGGTCACTCTTAAATCCTAGTACTCAAATCGACAAACGAGTATGCTAGCGTAAAGCCTAGTTCTCAGATCGACAAACGAGTACGCTAGCGTAAAAACTTTAATCTTTCCAGTGTGACCAGCATATCGAGAGTTCTTCAGAATTAAGCGTGCTACGGTCGTACTGTCAATCAGCTGAGTTTGTTGACAAGCAGTTGAAATTCAAATATCGTATTTGAGGGAAAGAGCCTTTAAATGATATTATCAACTACCTTGGCAAAACAATTCTGCCGCTGTACAAAGAAATTAAAAAACAATACAATTTAAATTTAACAGATGTTTGTTTTAATTTACTGATAATTATTTGCTAATTTAAAGTTCATAGCTGCACTTTTATTGTGTTTTTTCGTAAATTTTTGATCTAAGAATTATTTGGCTCTGAGAAGAGGCACCCCAGATAGTATTAATGTTGTTTTGTCCTCACATTTAAACTCCTGCAATCGACTTTTGCGGGTTTTCTGTTTTTCCCTCCATTGATGGAGATAGAAACTTTGATCAAAAACTTTTTAACTTAATGGTCCGATTTGAAAAATTTCTACATTGATAGGTATTGATAAACACAATAAAACTGCATTTTTAATTTTCCGAAATATTTAAATTTTTAAAATCGTATATAAGCGATTGGGGGCGTTAAGGGGGGGGCACCTTTTGAAACAAACTTGCGCTGCGTAGGAACTCCTAGAATCTGCACGCAAAATGCCAATCTTCTAGCTTTTATAGTTTCCGAGATCTCAGCGTTCATACACGGACAGACGGACAGACGGACATGGCTATATCGACTCGGCTAGTGACCCTGATCAAGAATATATATATTTATAGGGTCGGAAACGCTTCCTTCTAGCTGTTACATACTTTTGCACGAATACAATATACCCTTTTACTCTACTAGTAACGGGTATAAATAGTCTATTGTGTCTCTAATTGATCTTATTTGCAGTTCATGGTTGATTATACGTATTCTTAGGCCTATAAAAGACCCAACAGGAAGTCTTTATTAAAATTTAGCTGAACATTAAAAAATATAAAAAATACTCGATATATCGATATTTTCTTACGATATTTTTTAATATCATCGAGTGATATTTTTTAAACAGGAAATATCATCAATACGATATTTTTTCAAAATCCAACAACCCTAGTTTGAATTTGAGAGAAAAACGGATGAGGCAAAGCAGTTTTAACATCTGGCAACACTGGCCGAACAACAATGGCGGGAGCAGAATTTTTGAGAGCAGTTTTTTAACTGTGTAAAACCGGTTACAAACTCCATTTCCCTGCTATTACTTAAACAAATGTTATGGAATAATTGTTATTTGAAATTTTAAGTAATAGCATTAAGTTACCTGAAAAAACAAAGTGTGATCGAACAAAAAATATTGTAGTGTAGATAGTCGATGGTTTCAGGACAATGTTGGAAAATTTCTGAAACCATCGAATACTATCGAATAGATTTTAGTTCCAGCTCTAGTTAGTAATAAACGAAAGTTAGTGATTTTCACTGAAAAGAAGTTGATTTAATTATAGTTCCAATTGCGAAATACAGCTTTTAATTTAGTATAGTTTTATTTTACACAGCGTCTGGCAACAGGTAATTTGGGGCATAATCTAAGCGGTAGCAAACAGCCTGACGAAATGGCGAGTTGTGAAAATGGCGAACAAAAGAAAAAAGTGTGTGTGCTCCAAGGGGAACTCAAATCACGACGTCACATAAAGAAAACGCAGGCACTTTGGGTATTTGCGAGGAAAGTTTACAAATAAAAATGTGCGAGGAAATGCTATAAATTAAATAAATTTAATTGCAGTGCAATGATTATGTGCGCTGTTTTTTTCATATTTTTATGTGTCTAATTATGCCGTTGTGTGTGTGAAGGCGAGGGCGACTGCGTGTGTGAGTGTTTATTTAACCAGGAAGTTGGGTTTTTGAACACGATCTATCGATAGGCGGGGGCGGTGGAGGGTGCTCTACTTGTCATTCGATTGGTCGATACCCTACACAACAAGGTATATCCGACCAGCTTGCATCGCATTCCACCTTGAGCTCGGTGTGTCTGTATTCCGCAAGCCTCTCTTTTATTGCTGTGACATTGGATCATAATAGGCGACCTTCGGGTCGTCGCTTTTTACGTGGCGAGGCCTACCACATTCCCATTCCGTTTCTGTATCGTTTTGTTTCGCCTGCAGATTGATATTTAAAATTCCAAAATTCGAGCACTGATTCGCCAAGATTCCGGCCACAGCTCCCAGGACGAGAGCCGCCAAACGACGCCACCTGGACAGCAGGAGCAATCCATCGTCGACCGCGCAGGATTCGCCTCAAAGGGCCATAGCCTCCAGCCCAGCCCCTCTGCAGGCACAGCATCCCCCAGCGGGAGAAGGCAGAAGGCCGTTGCCACCACCCACCGTCGCCAAGATGAACCGCTCCAGCAATGCCCAGACCACACAGAAGCTCGTCAACCTGGACGACATCTGGAGCGAACTGGTTGAGGGCATCCTGCAGGTGTTTGAGCACGAGAAGTCCCTTACCCGCAGTCAGTACATGCGTTTCTACACGCACGTCTACGACTACTGCACCAGCGTGACTGCGGCACCCAGCGGAAGAAGTAGTGGGAAAACTGGAGGAGCCCAGCTGGTAGGCAAGAAGCTGTACGACCGGCTGGAGCAATTCCTCAAGTCCTACCTGAGCGAGTTGCTCACCAAGTTTAAGGCCATTAGTGGTGAGGAGGTGCTCCTGTCGCGCTACACCAAGCAGTGGAAGTCTTATCAGTTTTCCAGCACCGTGCTGGACGGCATCTGCAATTACCTGAACCGCAACTGGGTGAAGCGTGAGTGCGAAGAGGGGCAGAAGGGCATATACAAAATCTACCGCTTGGCCCTGGTCGCCTGGAAGGGTCACCTATTCCAGGTTCTCAACGAGCCGGTCACCAAGGCAGTGCTCAAGTCCATCGAAGAAGAGCGGCAGGGCAAGCTCATCAACCGGTCGCTTGTGCGCGACGTCATTGAGTGCTACGTGGAGCTAAGCTTCAACGAGGAGGACGCCGACGCAGAGCAGCAAAAGTTGTCCGTCTACAAGGACAACTTTGAAAGCAAGTTCATCGCAGACACGTACACCTTTTACGAAAAGGAGTCGGACGCGTTCCTGTCCACCAACACGGTGACCGAGTATCTCAAGCACGTAGAAAACAGGCTGGAGGAGGAGAAACAGCGCGTGCGCGGCCTTAACTCGAAAAACGGACTGTCGTATCTGCACGAGACAACGGCGGAAGGGCTCAAGTCCACATGCGAGCAGGTGGGATTACCTACCATGTGCCACTTTATAATCCACGTACTAACGTAATCGGTATTTTTCAGGTTCTTATTGAAAAACATTTAAAAATATTCCACACTGAGTTTCAGAATCTGCTCAACGCAGATAGAAATGATGATCTGAAACGGATGTACACGCTGGTCGCCCTCTCACCCAAAAATCTGACCGATCTCAAGTCCATACTTGAGAACCACATACTCCACCAGGGAACCGAGGCCATTGCCAAGTGCTGCACCAACGATGCTGCCAACGATCCCAAGACCTACGTCCAGACCATCCTGGACGTGCACAAGAAGTACAACGCTCTCGTGCTGACGGCGTTTAATAATGACAACGGATTCGTGGCCGCCTTGGACAAGGCGTGTGGCAAGTTCATCAACTCGAACGTGGTCACGAGCGCGAATAGCGCCAGCAAGTCCCCCGAGCTGTTGGCCAAGTACTGCGACCTTTTGCTGAAGAAGTCGTCCAAGAATCCCGAGGACAAGGAGCTCGAGGACAATCTCAACCAGGTGATGGTCGTGTTTAAGTACATCGAGGATAAGGACGTCTTCCAAAAATATTACTCCAAGATGCTGGCTAAGCGTCTGGTTAACCACACATCGGCTTCGGACGATGCAGAAGCCATGATGATCTCCAAGCTGAAGCAGACTTGTGGCTACGAGTACACTGTCAAGCTGCAGCGAATGTTCCAAGACATTGGCGTCTCCAAGGACCTAAACTCTAACTTCAAGGAGTACCTGGCCAGCAAGAATTTGACCATGGAAATTGACTTTGGAATCGAGGTCCTGTCCTCGGGCTCATGGCCCTTCCAACTGAATAACAACTTCCTGCTTCCCTCCGAACTTGAGCGGTCAGTGCGACAGTTCAACGAGTTCTACGCCGCCCGCCACTCCGGTCGCAAGCTCAACTGGCTATACCAGATGTGCAAGGGCGAGCTGATTATGAACGTCAACCGCAATAACTCCTCCACTTACACCCTGCAGGCCAGCACCTTCCAAATGTCGGTGCTGCTCCAGTTCAACGATCAGCTCAGTTTCACGGTCCAGCAATTGCTGGACAACACCCAGACGCAGCAAGAGAACTTGATTCAGGTGAGAATATATCGTATCACTAGCAAGCTGCTTAATTAAGGGGAACTTTCAGGTATTGCAAATACTGCTCAAGGCGAAGGTGCTGACCTCCAGTGACAATGAAAACTCGCTGACACCTGAGTCGACGGTGGAACTGTTCCTGGACTACAAGAACAAGAAACGCCGCATCAACATCAACCAGCCGCTGAAGACTGAGCTTAAAGTGGAACAGGAGACTGTACATAAGCACATAGAAGAGGACCGAAAATTGCTGATCCAGGCGGCAATCGTTCGCATCATGAAGATGCGCAAGCGACTCAACCACACCAATCTCATTTCGGAGGTGCTTAACCAGCTATCGACGCGTTTTAAGCCTAAGGTGCCCGTGATTAAGAAGTGCATAGACATCCTGATCGAGAAGGAGTATCTGGAGCGTATGGAGGGACACAAAGACACATATAGTTATCTCGCTTAAGTTCATGTTAAATGTAAAACGTTCGCTGATTCATCTATGCCAGCCATTAAAATATCATCAATATACTTAGAGATCGTGTAGACCCTCCGCGACCCCTTCTCCCCAGCCCGAAATAAACTGCCGCGCAAACATTCGAACTGTTAGCGAGCTAAAAATAATTGATGCTTGACCATATATGTGCAACTCCCGCCAACACGTCACTAACTCCATCTTCCGCCACTGCAAGGAGCAATATAGCCCATAGACAATAAAAGAGAAGAATCGCCCTCTGTGGAACTAGACTCCGATTTCCGAGAGCAACCAAGGTTCCCACCAACCAATAGACTTCTGCAGGGGCTTTACGGTATACATTTATAGGGATTTTCTTTATTACATATTTTTTGATCAATTATTGTTTTAACTAGTTTATGTTATTCATAATTCACTGTATGCATATACGTCTATTATACTACTTCAAAGCAAACAAGTGTTAAGTTTATAAGTGCGGTTATTATTATTCCTGAATCTGCAACTTTTCGTCCAGGTTCATTCCGCTGGCGATAGCGTAGACGGTGAAGGCAAACTTTGCAACCTGCAGAGATTTAAGTTCAAAATACGCTTTCCTGCTTATTTTTCCCAGATCTACTTACATTGATGTTGGTGGCCAAATTAATGTTAAATATATTCATTGCCGTAAACGTCATCGGCTGTTGGAGCTTCTGCAGAAACTGGAGAGCTGTCCGCTGGTAGCGCTTGTCCTGCATCCACCACTCGGAATGGAACAGTGCGTCCGCCAGCTCATTACAGTCGTCCACAATAGCGTTACAGTAAAAGCAAAGCGGAAAAGTTTGCAAAAGGACAGCCATAACGTAGGTTATGATGCCAAATCGGGTGGACTGATCTGCGAACAGCACCATATTTATCATAACTATCCCCAAAATGGATCCGCAAATTATAAATTGGGCAAAAATTGTACCAGAGATGATCGGTTGAATGGCCTCACAGAAACTGGAGATTAAGCATTCGGGTTTTTTTAAAGTTGTATTTCAGTTTAATTATACAAGATTAGAACATATAAAATATATTTTTTAGTATTAGGTGTTAAACGTCACAAAATAGGAATAAAATATTAATCAAAGGCAGTAGAACGTATAAGTGATAAACTTTAAAGACAAGACCCCAAAATTCCATTTTTTCAGCGAGTTCCTTCCGGTATTTTTATACCGTTGCTGAGGGTATTATAATTTCAGTCAAAAGTATAAAGTATATATATTCTTGATCAGCATCACCAGGAGAGTCGAACTAGTCATGTCCGTCCGTCCGTCCGTTTATACGCAAACTAGTCCCTCAGCTTTAAAGCTATCTGCTTGAAACTTTCCCAAAAGTTGTCTTTCTATTGCAGGTAGTATATAAGTCGGAACGATCTGGATCGGGAGACTATATAATATAGCTGCCATTGGAACAATCGGAAAAAAAATTTTAAAAAGTATAACTTTGTTGCTTTTATTTTTTGTTCTTTGGAATTTTATAATACTTTATTACTATATAATTACGATTTTAATTAAATTTAAATCTATATCATATAAAAAAAAATAGAAATGAAAAATAATAATTGTTTGCTTTTTTTCTATATATCAAAATATTCCTTTGGGATATAGTAAATCTTTACTATATCAGAATTACGCTTTTAGTTTTGTCAAAATCTAATAACAATATCATATAGCTGCCTTAAAAACGATGGCAAAATGTATTGCCAAATCAACATAGTAAAATTTTTAGTAATATAGGCATAGAAATCGAAATAGTCATTTTGTAATAACTGCAAGGGTATATAAACTTCGGCTTGCCGAAGTTTGCTTCCTTTCTTGTTAGAAATGCAACAAATCCAATAGTAAAATATAATAACGATGTTTCTTTATACATTACAATATGTTTACATTTTGTTATCATAGGTTCATTCAATAGAAAAATCTAACATCACTTACTTCAGCATGGTTCTGTGAGCCTTAATGCAATCCACTAGGCTTGTAAACATAGAGTTTGGATCGATGCTAGACTCGCTTTTGGACTTGCCTAGCTGAATGATGCGATCCTTTAGCATTAGAATGTGGGTGCGCAGGGCTGCCACGTATATCACCGGGTAGGAGTCGGTAGCGGTGGCAACGAATATTGCATAGCCGACAGTAAAGTACTCCAGAAAACTCTGAATATACAACTGAGTCCGATCAATTCGCCAGTTTACCAACGGATAGTAGGTGTTAAACGGAACACGGTCATGAAATAGGCCGTCCAGAAGCGTTGAGGTGGCGTAAAGAACGTAGACTACGACGAATATCAGGTACAACCTGGTAATGGTGGCCACCATATCGCGTACCTTGCGTTTCTCCTCCGACTTAACGCAGAACTTGTCCATCTGGTCGAAATGTTTGTTGGCCAGCTCTAGACGAGTCATGTAGACTACCAACGTGAAGAATTTCAAAGCAAAGCACCAGGTGTTGAGACACAGCTGAAGCGATTGCAGCAGCAGATCCGGCGGAAACTCCGCTAGGTGGATCGTGTAGTTAATCGGGAAACTCACGGGTAGTATCAGCATATTGTAAGTGAAGGAGAACACCCTCCAAATCTTGCGACCCACTCCGAAGTCGTTCCGTAGGTTAAGGCCCGAGATTCGGAGTGTTTCCAGTAGATAAGCATTAGAGTCTCTAGAGCTGATAGGCTCCGTTATAGGAGCCGGATACATGAGCTTAAAGTATCCGAACATTTATATTTTCTGCCGCTTAGGACTAAGAAGTAACTGCCTTGAATAGACACCCCTAGTGCTTTTATAGCTCGCGAATCGTGGTTCTTAATTACTGGTTGCCAATTTGAAATGCCTTCCGCTTTTTTTTTTGTAAAAGAATCAAATATATGTCATAATATATGGAAGGCTAAAGCGCTGTTTTTCTTTGATTGCAATAATTATAAAAGACGTGGCCCGTTTCGGGCGTAACTTTGTTACAAGATTTCTGGTTTGTCCAATTTTAATTATTGTACAACACTTCCTTCGGTGGGAACGAACACTTGTTAAAAAAAATGAAATTTTCAGGGACAAAATTTGTCTGGTTCCATTTACAGTTTAAAGGATATATAAATTTTGGACATTTCACAAAAATCTCGTACTTCCAGGTAGCTGCATTTGCTTACATATGCATGTATGTTAGTCAAAAAAAATTGTAAATTCTAGTCCCAAGTCTTATTCGTGATGGCATCATGTCTGCTTAAAAACTATGAAAAATACAATTAGTAGTACTACTAGATCTTTGATTGCAGCCGCACGGATATCTAACAAGGAGATCAAAAGACTGCCTCTGGGCAGTGTCATTAGTGGAATGCTTAATCCTCGTCGTCAAGTGTGAGTACTTTTGTCTGGAAGCGCATTCGCTTTGTGTTTTTCACCACCCCGTTGGTGAGCAGATTAACTCCGGGCTGTGGACAGGGCAGGTCATTCCAAAGACGCTTAACGCGCACCACGGCCTCTGAATTGAAATCGTATCTCTTTGAAGCCGCAGCCGGTTCAGGTACGGAAGGGAGTTTACGCAGCTTGACAATGGGCTGCAGCTGACGACAGCTGTTGTAGCTGCTGACACTTGCTTTGTCCTCCTCATCTTCGTCATTGGCGGCCAGCGAGCAGCCGCGCTTTTGTGGCGATGTACCCTTAGGTTTGGCAACACGCAAACTGAAATATTGGACTATTTTAGTAAAAAAAAATCAGCGATTTGGAACTCGTAAGCTCTAACAATACCTCGCCTGCTTTTCATATTCATTTAAGGTAGGCGGCGCTGCTGCACATATTTTCCCCGGCTCCTCGGGGTGACTTCCAAGGTCCTGACCCCTCAACCAATTCTCATAGCGTTCCGGCTGGAAACGACGCACGAAGGTCTCCATTGAGATCTTTACCATGTCGCTGCGGCACCTGCAAATACTAGCCCGCTTTCCGTACTCGATCCAGCGCCGTGATGCAAAGTTGGTTGACTCGGCGCCATTAAAACCATGATTAAACCCCGCATGATAGCCAAAGGGAAATGTTATCATAATCTCCCCCGCTTCCTGGGTGATCTTGTTAAAGGGAATGTTGTGCTGGCGCAGCACCTTAGGACTAATCATGGTCATTTTGTGGCGCAGATAAGCATTGCACTCCTGGTAGTTCTCGGCAAAGGTTTCGTTGGCAAGCTTCTCTAGACGTCTGCCATACGCCGGCGGAATGGCATACCAGGTTTTGGGTGCTCCGAAATGTAGGTAGTTGATGGAATACAGATCCATATCTTCGGTGTGCCAGGCAAAGGAGCTTTTCCACATGCCAAAGTAGAGGTAGGCCGTGTTCACGCCATCAATGATGATGTTGTAATCTGTATTGACCAGGTTCAAAATGGTGTCCAGTCTCCCGATGTTCCACACGTCCAGTTCTTCGTCACTCAGCGATCCCTTGACGTCGGCCGCGTACAGCGGCGATATGTATGTGATGTTCTTCCAGTACTTGCGCTCCAGATCCTCATAGTCAAAGTGGCGTGGCGTCTGATGTAGCTCTGAGCTCGCCTTCTCCATGAACTGGCGCAGTGTCATCTGGCGGCGCTGCTGGATGTTGATTTGCTGGTATAGCCCGTGGGCCCTGCTATCCGAAATAGTGACTTTGCATGAGTGCAATAGACATATGTACATCGAGAGGTACTTACCCTGTGACCACTTGACAGATTGGCGCTGGGATGGTCATGTTGATGTTCTCTATGTCGTATCCCGATTTCCGAGGCACCCATTCCGCCGGTGGCTGTGGGGCATCAAGAACGTTTCACTCTTTATCCAATTATCTTAGCCAAGTGTAAATCCACATACCTGAATTTTGGCCAAGCCGGCTAAGTGAGCTCCGCGGGACTCTATGTACTCGATGTAGGCGGAAAAGTCCTTAAACTCCTCGTAGCTAGGACGGAAGGTCATGATGCGGGGCACTTTTGTTTGCTCTTCATCGCCGAAAGAGGATGTCGTAGACATTTTTGTGGATTAAACAATATACTTAGGCAATTGACATTGATTCCCTTTACCAAGTGTGACCAAGATCCACTAAAATATAACTGTTACTTTGGTGAACGCAAAAATACCTAGTTCCGTTAAAAAATAATTATTTAAATTTTGAAAATCCTAAGCTAAAATACGAAATAAATAAAAAAAAAAATAAAAGGACTACTTTATTATTATCTCCTCTGTCCATGACTTTATAAAAACCGTTGAAAACTTACAAGGCAAGACAAGTGATTTCCATCTCTTGAGTTGACCTGGGGGTTTTCTTTAACCCCGGAAAATCAATTCTAAACGTGGGAAAAGGAATTACAAATATTGCTGTAGAAAATGAGGAAATACCAAACAAAAATCGATTTCTTCTTAAAGCCTAGTATCCAGATCGACAAACGATTACGCTAGCATAAAAACTTTAATCTTTCCAGTGTGACCAAAAGTTTGAGAGTTTATCAGATTTAAGCGTGCTACGGTCGTACTGTCAATCAGCTGGGTTTGTTGACAAGCAGTTAAAATTCAAATATCGTATTTGCGGGAAAGAGCCTTTAAAAGATATTATCAACTACCTTGGCAAAACAAGTCTGCCGCTGTACAAAGAAATTAAGAAAACAATACAATTTAAATTTAACAGTTGTTTTTTTTAATGTACTGATAATTATTTGCTAATTTAAAGTTCATAGCTGCACTTTTATTGTGTTTTTTCGTACATTCTGGACCTAAAAAACATTTTGCTCTGTCAAGAGGCACCCCAGATAGTATTAATATTATTTTGTCCTCACATGTAAACACCTGCAATCGACTTTTGTGAGTTTTTTGCGTTTTTCCCTCTATTTCTTATAATGTTCAGCCTAGTATCCTGATCGACGAAAACCGTACGCCAGTCATGAGAGAGAGCGGGAGGCAAACAGCTGGCGTTCACTTTTCGTCGGGCCTTTTTACGTCGGTCTCTGATCGACGAAAAAATACCAGAAAATTCCATCTGCCAGTCAAATAAACTAGTAAAAAATAAAAAATTTAATCTTCACGAACATAGCTACGAAAATCGACAGAGAAACAGTACAAAAAAACAAAGTTTGGAATAAAAGCTATGAACTTTAAATTAAAATAATTATCAGAAATAAAAAAAGAACTGTTAATTTTAAATTGTATTGTTTTTAATTTCTTTGTACAGCAGTAGACTTTCTTGCAAGGTATTATAATATCTTTTAAAGGCTCTTTCCCGCAAATACGATATTTGAATTTTAACTGCTTGTCAACAAACCAGCTGATGACAGTACGACCGAGCACGCTTAACTCTGATGAACTCTCAAACTTTGGTCACACTGGAAAGATTAAAGTTTACGCTAGCGAAATCGTTTGTCGATCTGGATACTAGGCTTAAATTTTTTAATCTTTTCCGCAGACTGGCAACGCTATGGAATTTTCTGGTATTTTTTTCGTCGCTCAGGCTTTAAAGCCTAGTATCCTGATCGACAAAAACCGTACGCCAGTCATGAGAGAGAGCGAGAGGCAAACATCTGGCGTTCACTTTTCGTCGGGCCTTTTTTCACGTCGGTCTCCTGATCGACGAAAAAAATACCAGAAAATTCCATAGCGTTGCCAGTCTGCGGAAATAGTTTTGGGTGAACCCTAGCGAAAAGATCACAAAATTTAATCTTTTGCGTGCGCTTCTCACTGAACATTATAAGAAATGGAGGAAAAACTCAAAAACTCACAAAAGTCGATGCAGGTGTTTACATGTAGGACAAAATAACATTAATACTACTGGGTACCTCTTGTCAGACAAAATGTTTTTAGGTTCAGAATGTACAAAAAACACAAAAAAGTCAGCTATGAACTTTAAATTAGCAAATAATTATCAGTAAATTAAAAAAACAACTGTTAAATTAAATTGTATTGCTTTTTAATTTCTTTGTACACCGGCAGACTCGTCTTGCCAAGGTATTTGATAATATCTTTTAAAGGCTCTTTCCCGCAAATACGATATTTGAATTTTAACTGCTTGTCAACAAACCCAGCTGATTGACAGTACGACCGTAGCACGCGTAAATCTGATGAACTCTCAAAATTTTGGTCACACTGGAAAGATTCAAGTTTTTACGCTAGTGTAATCGTTTGTCGATCTGGATACTAGGCTTAAATGCTCTCAAGTTGTTATTAGTTTCCCCAACACTATACAAGATTTTCGTTTCTGCTTTGAAAACACCAAAATTAGTAAAGCTTTCCCTTATTCCAACAAAATAAATGATTAAGAACAAGAAAGGAAGCAAACTATGGCAAGCCCAATTTTATATACCCTTGCTGTTATTATACCTAGTTATTATTATTGCCCTGTTATTATTACTAAAAATGTTACTATGTCGATTTGGCGTTGCATTTTGCCATCTTTTCTATGGCAGCAAAACTAAAAGCGTAATTCTGATATAGTAAATATTTACTATATCCCAAAGAAATATTTTGATAAATAGAAATTCCGTTTCAGCAGCAGATCGCAGGCGTTGAGTCTGTCCAACAGGTTTTTAGGGTATTATAATGTTGGTCAAAAGTGTGCAACGCAGTGAAGGAGACATCTCCGACCCTATAAAGTATATATATTCGTGATCAGGATCACCTCCTGAGTTAATATAGCCATGTCCGTCTGTCCGTCTGTCAGTCCGTCCGTCTGTCTGTTTCTACGCAAACTAGTCTCTCAGTTTTAAAGATATCGAATTGAAACTTTGCACACGCCCTTCTTTCCTTTGCACGCAGTATATTAGTCGGAACGGCCGGGATCGGCCGACTATTTCCTATAGCTGCCTTATAACAGATTGATCAAAAATGTAAAGTTAGGAAGTTGGGATTTTCTATGGGGGTTATATTTGACCAATCAATTCGACCTACCAAATTTCATAAGGATCGGCCGACTATATCTTATAGCTGCCATATAACTGATTATTGGGTTTTATATTTGGCCAATTAATCCGACCTACCAAATTTCATAAGGATCGGCCGACTATATCCTATAGCCGCCATATAACTGATTGATCGGAAATGCCATAACTTTGGTGTTTATACCCGTTACTCGTAGAGTAAAAGGATATATTGTACTCGTGCAAAAGTATGTAACAGGTAGAAGGAAGCGTTTCCGACCCTATAAAGTATATATATTCTTGTTCAGGATCACTAGCCGAGTCGATCTAGCCATGTCCGTCTGTCTGTCCGTCCGTATGAACGCTGAGATCTCGGAAACTATAAAAGCTAGAAGATTGGCATTTTGCATGTAGATTTTAGGAGTTCCTACGCAGCGCAAGTTTGTTTCAAAATGGTGCCACGCCCCCACTGACGCCCACAAGCCACAAGCTATGGCCACAGTTATGATGCTATTATGAAAATTTTAATTGATATGTATTTGTTTCGTCAATACCTATCGATTGGCCTAATAAAAGCTTGCCACGCCCACTCTAACGCCCAAAAACCCATTAAACGCTTAAACGCAATACAATAGCACCATCTAACGGATGACTTTGGAACAGCTGGCCAAGGTGCTAATTCGAGCGGCGAAAAACATACAAGAAGGCATATTTATTTTAAGTTGTTTAGCTGAGTAACGGGTATCTAATAGTCGAGGCACTCGACTATAGCGTTCTCTCTTGTTTTTTTTTTGTAAATGGTAACCCAAGCGTTTTCCGGCTCTAGCTGTTTAATTGAATAAAATGAATTCCTAGCTTATGGAATATCACTTGCATTCGCTTTCTTCACGCTACGGGTGCGCACCGTCAGTACGTGTACTGATGTCCCCCGTGTTAGTCGTCCGATCCGACTCATCTAGTACCTCATTTTGATAACTTTAAAAAGACAGAGAGACAGACACGGCGAGATCGACTCAGGTGTTGATTTCCTTAACTGCGTTGTAGGCTTTTTACTTAAGAACCCTAACCCTAACGATTAAAACATTCTGGGTGACACATCGTATATAGCGAATATAAGCTTTCCCCAGAACTCACTTGGAAACCGATGGTTGATGACTCTAATCGGGTGCCATAACAAAATTAGACCTGGATAATCAACGACTCGTGCCGGCACAATTCATGGAAAAGTGCACAAAACAAGAGATTACCCTTAGATCATAGGCATTAAAAGTGCCTTCAACTGCATGCTTGGATACTCTCGTGGGGTATGTAAATCTACATATATAATATATATTTATTAGACAGATATATTTATTGTAGGGCTAGCAGCCCATCCTGATAATGGTTCAATTGTTTACGGTCCTCTCATAGTGTAAAAGTAAATCAAAGCCAAGGCATAGTATAATTTGCAATGGATTGAACAAGACAAGTTCCAAGATCCGTGGTGGGGGTTTATGGTTTTATGATTACTGCCGCTATATTGTCGGGCGATCTGAGTTGCCTCGCAGGCACTTGAGAACTTGGCCGCTGTTATCAGGGAAATGGGTTCTGTTGATATCAGTATAAAAGCGAAAGGTGTACCAATTGCTCCGCAGTCGTCCATCGTTTTTACGCTATCACATTACGGCAATTTTAACTCCAACGTGTAATACTAAATAAATCAGTGAGACTACCAGTCATGGGTCTTGACACATCTGAGGATAAGGCAAGACGTAAGTTACCGTTCGGATGATAGACACTTGTTTGATTCGGATATTTCAACTTATATTTAAAATCTTAAAGATGTTCTTGTGTACAGACTTAATTCACAGATATAGTAAAAACGTATAAAAACGGCTAGGAATCAACTTTTAATTTGAAGAATTTCTTACCGGGCACGAACGGGAAACCGAATTTTAACAATTATTTATTGTTTAGGTAAGGAAATCCGGATAGCTTTATGGGTTAATAAATATACATATGCAGATGTGATCACTAATCTGTGCTGGTGAAAATACTTGGCTATCATTAAAATTGTGAAATTTTCAAAGTTTAAAATAGGCATTAATGGAGAATAATTTGAGACGAAAACTTGAATACAAGTTATAATATTACAAGACAAACAATTGTATACTCTTCGTTTTTAATCGGTATTTAATCATTGAAACTTAAGTTTGACCGTTTGAAGTGCCCCAAGAGGAGAGTTTGGAGTGCTTTTTAACGGAGTCCTCTACATAACATACTGCCTGTTATGAGTTATTGATAAGTAAGGTACGACAACAAAAATAAGAACCTTCTGTTCATACATACTTATATAACGGATATCTTGATGACTTCGCTCTCTTGCTATAATTGCACTTTACGGCTCTTCAGACCTACCCTAAGAGACAGTTCCATTCGAATCCAGACACTCTAATCTACATATATCATTATCAGACATCTGCCGGGACTAAGCCTTTATTAAGATAAACAAAGACAATCACGCTTGACATAAAGAAAATATTATCTTTTGTGAAGGTTGCCTAACAAGTACATCTGCTGTGCAACAAATTTCGGGGAACTTAATATCGAGATCCATTGAGTTCATATGAGGCAATTAAAATATACGGCTCCATTCACACATTCCGCCCCCGCCTAAATCTACACCACTGCCGCCAGCGGGAACTTTTCCATTGAGAGTGAAGCGGATTTTGTTTTCCTCATTGGCAGGCGTAAATGATAATGACAATGTTATTAATAAAACCCAAAGAGCTCTGTCGGAACCGTTAATTAATGGAATCGTCACTATCACATCATTGTTAAACAACAATAAAACAAATAAAGGTCCTAGAAATAATCTAGCAAAGTGACAAACAATTCGCACCGTCCATTTATAATAAGGCAATCAATAAATCGCATAACCAGACGCTTATTAAACCTGTAGCTGAGTAAACATGGTTTATTATTCCATTGGAGAGAGAAGGCCTCTGCTAATCCACGTAGTTAAAAATCCGCTCAGGAAATTAGCCTGTATAATAATATTAAATTTAAAAGTTGTCATTTATAATTAATATATTTTTTTTAACTTTTCAGCAAGAGGATTGGGCGCTCGCCACTGGCAGGCAATCCTCCTGTTTGTGGGTATGATGATCAACTACTTTCAGCGGGTCAACATCTCGGCTGGCATTGTTCCCATGACTCAATCCACCGCTGGCGCTCCTTTTTACAATTGGGATACGTCGCAAAAGTCCTTGATCCTCAGCAGCTTTTTCTGGGGCTATGTGCTGTCACAGGTGCCAGCAGGTGAGCAGCTTAATTATCCGCAATGTACCATTCTTAAAGTTTTAGCTTGAAGGTCTGCTGGCCAGGCGATTTGGCGCCAAGGTAGTCCTGGGCTCTGCCACGGCAACTGGCGGCATCTTGTGCTTCTTCCATCCCATGGCAGCCAATAGTGGTTGGGAGAGTATTTGTGCCCTACGAGTCCTCACCGGACTAGTCCAGGGATCGGTATATCCTTGTGTTCACACCCTTCTGGCCAAATGGGTGCCGCGCACGGAGCGTGGATTGCTCACAACTGGCGTCTATTCGGGAGCACAGTTCGGAACGGCTGTTATCTTGGTCACCAGCGGCTTTATCTTTGAGTCCACCATAGGGTGGCCGGGATTGTTCTACCTGTCCGGCGGTCTGAGCCTGGCCTGGGCCCTGCTTTTCTTTTGGCAGGCGGCTAATGAACCCTCAACGGCCAGCAGGATCAGGAAATGCGAAAAGGAATACATCGAGAGCCTTACGGGCAGCAATAGTGCGAATCAGGTGAGGATTTGATAGTTACAATGAATATTGGATGACCCTAAGACTCGCTTATTTTCTTCAGTCAATGCCCGTGCCCTGGATGTCAATCTTTAATTCTCCAGCATTCTATGGTCTACTTGCAGCCCATTGTGGGTTCACCTGGGGCTTCTACACGCTGCTCACGGAAATGCCAACTTATTTGAGCAGTGTCCTGCAGCTGAACGTCAAGTCCAATGCCTTCCTCTCCTCGTTGCCGTACTTCGCCATGGGTTTGCTGTGCTTTGTGGTCAGTCCCATTTCGGATTTGCTTATCAACCGGGGCACTATATCGATCACCACGGCCCGGAAGCTCTTTAACTCAATAGGACAGTGGGGACCGATGGCCTGTTTGATTGGACTGGGATACATGACGGCCGACGAGAAGACGTGGGCCATCCTTCTCCTTACGCTGGCGGTGGGCATCAATGCGGGTTGCTCATGCGGCTACCTGATCAATCACATTGATCTGTCCCCCAACTTTGCCGGTCCTATGATGGGAGTCACCAACGGGATTGCTGGAGTTACCTCCATTGTGGCTCCTCTAGTTGTCGGTGCGATTATATCGGATGAGGAGGATCCCAGCCAGTGGCGAATGGTGTTCTTCATCACGGGAGGAATTTACCTGGTGTGCAACACTCTCTTCGTGATATTTGGCAAGGCCACCATTCAGCTGTGGAACGAGCCGCCATCCACGTCTAGCACAATGACGCTGCGCAGTAACCTGGAAAACGACTCAAGGTCCATTGCTCCCACGTCGGACAAAGACAATCGGTTTTGAAGCTTAGCCAGAACCAGGACCACATTGACAATCTCGTTAATTGTAGTAATGATAAGTTATTATTAAAGCTTGCCGTCTGTGCCAGCGATTTTCGGAAATGCCTAGCTCTAACTTAAGATATTGGTTTATGTTTACAATTATGCTAAAGGAAGCTTAATATGACTTAGTTATGTGATAAGCCCGAATAAGACTTTACGATGTGTGGCACGTTTATAGGATAATTATGTCGTTTTGGGTATGCCAATAAATGAATTGTCTATGCACACATACTAATAAATATTTACAGCCCTTTGTAGTCGCCGGAATGAGTCGTTTGATTATCCATTGTTGTCCTGGAATCGCACCGACCTCGTCGCCTGTTACTTGACCTTTTGCTGCAGCAGTCGCTGCTCGTTAAGGCGCTGATTGATGCGTCGTGTGTTGGCTATCGAGCGGATGATGGTCCAAAGGGCCAGAGACCAACCAAGCAGGATGGTGCCGCACAGCACCGGGCCAAAGGCATTCGCCTGCCCAACGGGAATCTCGGCCCGCAGCGGCGTCTTTAGCTGGCAGTCCACGTGCACCCGCCTCCAGTTGCAGCGCTCCAGATTAGCAATGGTCGTCGGCTGGCCGTCCTTGACAATGTTCTCGTCGAATCGGCTTTCTGGTGCATTAAGGCAGTAGAGCTTATCGGGTCGGGCAACCAACTCGTTCTCGACGAGCTCACTATCAGCCATCGGGCAGCTTAGGTAGAGCTCTGGCAAAGGTATGGCCACCGTGGCCGCCGATCTGTAGAGTTCTTAGTTAAAATAGTGTGCAAATGCAATTCAAAGTTCAAGATCACCCCACCGCTTATCGCTGGGTGCATGGTAGCGAAAATGCACGGGCAACCTCAGGGTCTCCGTAATCTTAGGTGTGCCGCTCAGTAAGACAGAGAAGGGCTGCGCCCGTTCCGTGGCCACTTCAATGTTGACGAACTTCGGATAGACGGCACTTAACTGGAAACTTAGAATGTTATGGTACATTCTCTTCGTTAATTTGTAGCGATAACGCACCCTCTTCAGACGCTGTAAGTCGTCGAGTTCGTCCGTGCTTATGTAAACAGATGCGGGCAATGCCTGGAGCAGCACATACTCGCAGTCCTTGCCGACCAAGGGATAATCGAACCGCAGGCGGTACGTAAGGGTCCTTAAAAAACGATTTTCATTTAATTTTTTTTTAATTTCAAAAGAAATCTCCGAAGCAATAACCTGTGCATGCCGGCTTTATCCATTTCCACTTGAACGGTTGGTGATTCTACTATATAGCAGTTGCTCAAGCCTCCCAATAATACCAAAACCAAAATAAATAATAAACACTTGTAATTCTTTCTGTGAAACATTATTTTAATTAAACTCAAACGTCGAAGTCAAATTGTAAATAAAAACATTTTCCATGGGGTTGTCGATTAACTTCAATTTATTCAGGGTTGCCACATTGTTTTACTCCGCTTAAATTATTATCAGGAATTTCTTTCCTTATACAATGCGGATCCTTGTCGCGCCAATTTATCCGCCATTTCGTTGCCTTCTATGCCCTTGTGGGCCTCCACGTAGTTCTAAGGATACAAAATAATTAAAATCCAAAAATAGGAAGCTTTATAAAATAAACTACCCACCCATTTCACTATTATATTATTGTTGTGCAGCAGTTCATCCAGCTCCTTAAAGTCAACCACGTTTTTCACAGGCTGGTTGCTTTTTAGCTTCCAATCTCGTCTTTTCCAATTTGGCACCCACAGTGTTATGGAGTTGATCAGAAACTGTGAGTCTGTGCTGATGGACAGTTTTTTTATTCCCAAATCTAACGCTGTTTTGATGGCATGAATGGCAGCCTGAATTTCTCCTACGTTATTGGTGACGCGCCCTTTTACAGGCTTGGCAGCATTTCTTTAACAAGGAAATCGGTAAAATAAACCAAGGTTTTATAGTGATTTTAACCACTTACAGCTGGTGATTCTTGCCGAAATAGACTCCATAGCCGGCACAGGCTCCTGGTCGCCCATTACCTATACAGGAGCCATCTGTGTACACTATTACAAAGCCTTCCGCATCAATTTCAAACTGGAAGGCACCCACTTGCTTCAGTCCTGTGGCTTCCGATACCTGAGAGACATGTCGAGGTATTTTGTTTCTAGATTCGTCTGTGCCTTTCCCTTTTCTCTTGCGATTATGGATGCCTGCCTAAAAACGGGAATATTAAATCTTTTTAAGGGGATTTACATATATCTCCTACCGAACTGCCACTGTTAGATGGCTTGGGATGCCCTTCCACTTCGTTCATAGCGGCGTTCTAAGGAAAGGAGGTCAGGAATGGCATTTCACATATTTTCTACTTTTTACCAGCTCGTCGTCCACCAATTCATCATCCTCTTCGGGCCAGGCCTCTGTGTATTTGGACTTCTCAATCCTCTCGACCTTGTCCTTCCAACTGGCCGGAGCAGGCAGTTTCTGGCCAAGAGGCACCGCCATATCCTGTGGAGCATATGATTTGGATCCATTGACGAACTGCTCTGCCTCTTGGCGCGTGTTAAATTTCTTGTACTTGGCGTTTTTAAAGCCCTTAACCTGCTCCTCACATTCTGCCCACGAGGCGTAGACACCTGTCGTCCGACCGCTGGCTACGGCGTAGAAAGCCATGGCACAGCGTTGCAAACAAAGGGCATTAAATCGGGGCAGAAGCATTTTTCAATGGCGTCTTGTCTGAAACATATGTGACATTGCCTTGCCGGATGGACGAAAGTAAATAAACCCAAAGAGTTGCCAGATCAAGATAGTAGCGGTGAAAAAATGTGATTGGAAAAAAGTACAATTGTCGGATTTACAAAAGATTTACTTAAATCCAACGCCATGTACCAGCCTCCTTTGCCTCCCCCGCCACCTGTCCAGCCTCCCCCTCCACCTCCTCCACCACCGCCAGAATCAAAAGACGTTCTCTCTCCACCGGGAGTGAGTGTTTCTTCACACGCCTACTCGACAATTGATACCCTGACTCACAACTCCGACCCCTTGGATTATGTGTATCAGGAGTCACCAGCACTCCACTCCAACTCCGTCCCCAACAATGATTTATACCAGCAGCCGGCAGCCTACGCTTACGACGGTTATGCGAACCAGGACCCAGCGCAGAAGTACTATTGCCAGGAGACCCCTTACCAATACCAGGCATCAGGAACTTTCTACGAGAGTTACAAATACCCGGACCGCTATCCCGACTACGAGCCCAATTACAGGTCACCCGCCGAAAGGGAGAGATACGATTCCTACGGCTCAAGTCATGGGTACCACCATTATCCAGGCTACAGTTCGGGAAAGCGATATCAACCGCGTCATGGTCAGGAACACCGACATCCTCAAGAGCCCCGATATAGCCACGAGCCCCGACATGGACATGGCCACTATGCCCACAGGACGCCAAAGGGATCGCAAGGCTACCGCGGATCTGCGGCCAGGAGCACAGCCAGTGAGGATTACACTTTACGAAGCTATCGCCAGAGGGAGCGAAATGAGCCAGCGGAGAAGCCCAGACCCAAGCCCAAAGTGGAGTCCGAAAGGGACCGTCTTCTGCGGCAATGGTGTGCCAACTTTTGCGAGAAACCGGAGGATTATGTGAAGAAGATGAACGCTCTCAGCGAGGCAGATGCCCCAACGGAGTCGTGGGTTCGATCGTCTCCAGCAGAGCCCTACTACGAGCGCACCAAAAACGAGAACGAGGTGAAAGGACGCGTGCGGCTGCAGAAGCTATGCAACCTGTTCGACGAGGAGCTGCTGCAAAGGGCAGAGCGGGTGCGTCAGAAGCTGCCTGTCTACACCGCGCCGCCCAGAAAAGCGCGCAGGCGCGTCTGCAATCACAAGCACAAATCGGAGGCCTGTTCGTCGTCCTCCTCTTCCGATGAGGACTCGGACGAAGACGCCTTTAAGATCGAGCAGGATTGCTGCATGGAGGAGCTGGCGCATAAGGTCCAGCATCCGCAGCGGGTGCATACTGATCTCTGGCACAACGACGCCGGCGAGATGAACGACGGACCTCTGTGCCGCTGCTCGGCCAAATCCCGACGCATTGGCATCCGTCATGGCATCTACCCGGGCGAATCTGGCTACACAGAGTGCGACCCCAATAGCAACAATGCGGGCAAGCTTTTTCACTACAGGATCAGCATATCACCGCCCACAAACTTTCTGACCAAAACACCGACCATTATCAAGCATGATGAGCACGAGTTCCTCTTTGAAGGCTTCTCGCTTCTCTCGCACGTGCGTCTTACCGACCTGCCCGTGTGCAAGGTTATCCGCTTCAACATAGAGTACACCATTGAGTACGAGGAGGAAAAGATGCCCGAAAACTTTACCATCCATGAGCTGGATCTGTTCTGTAAGTAAAACGAAAGAAGACTTTATATTGTCATTATATGTTACCGATTTCAGTCAAATACCTTTTTCATGAGCTTCTGGAGTTGGTGGACTTTAATCTGACGCCAAATGTTGCCTCCGGCAGCTCTGAGAAATCCTGCCCTGCATTCCACTTCCTCCCGCGCTTCGTTCGTGACCTTCCAGACAATGGAAAGGAGGTTCTGGCAATGGTCGAGGTACTCCGCTACTTGTTGGATAACTCCGCCCAACTGGTGGAACGACAGCAGCTTCTTCATCTGAATCAGATCAGTCAGAGTGAGTGGCAGAACTATGTGGACTTCATCAAGGGAATGTTGGTCACAAAGCCGGGTCATAAGCCGTGCTCGCTGCGCGTTGATCAATTGGACAGGAACAACTCCGATCTGCCTGAGTGCGTGGATCGCGAGACTGGAATCTCACATCCGGCAATCGTACACTTTGGTATCCGTCCGCCACAACTAAGCTACGCGGGCAATCCGGAGTACCAGAAGGCGTGGCGGGAGTACGTCAAATTCCGCCACCTAATGGCCAATATGTCAAAGCCATCATTCAAGGACAAGCGGAAGCTGGAAGAAAAGGAACAGCGCCTGCAGGAGATGCGCACTCAGGGCCGCATGAAGCGCAACATCACGGTGGCCATCAGCTCGGAGGGATTCTACCGGACGGGCATTATGTGCGATGTGGTGCAGCATGCCATGCTGGTACCCGTTCTGACAGGTCACCTGCGGTTTCACAAGTCGCTGGACCTGTTGGAGGAGAGCATCGGGTATAGTTTCAAGAATCGTTATCTGCTGCAGTTGGCGCTTACTCATCCGTCGTACAAGGAGAACTACGGCACCAATCCGGATCATGCCCGCAACTCACTGACCAACTGCGGAATTCGACAGCCAGAATACGGCGATCGAAAAATTCACTACATGAACACACGGAAGCGGGGAATAAACACTTTGGTGAGCATCATGTCCCGATTCGGTAAGGATCATGAAACTGTTTCGAATATTACGCACAACGAACGATTAGAGTTTCTCGGCGATGCTGTGGTGGAGTTCCTAAGCTCGATCCATTTGTTCTTTATGTTCCCGGAGCTGGAGGAGGGTGGATTGGCCACCTACCGGGCGGCCATCGTCCAAAACCAGCACTTAGCCCTGCTGGCCAAGAAGCTACAGCTGGAGGAGTTCATGCTGTACGCACACGGATCTGATCTGTGCCACGAGCTGGAGCTACGGCATGCCATGGCCAATTGTTTCGAAGCCCTAATGGGTGCCCTTTTGTTGGATGGAGGAATTAAGGTGGCGGATGAGGTGTTCACGGATGCCCTCTTTCGGCAGGACGACAAGTTGCTGAACATCTGGAAGAATCTGCAGGAGCACCCGTTACAGGAACAAGAGCCGCTGGGTGACCGCAGCTGCATTGATTCGTATAGAGTGCTCAGGGAGCTCACCAAGTTCGAGGACTCTATCGGAATCAAGTTCAAGCACATTCGTCTCTTGGCCCGCGCGTTTACTGACCGTTCAATTGGGTTTACGCACTTAACGCTGGGGTCCAATCAGCGCCTTGAATTTCTGGGAGACACTGTGTTGCAGTTAATTTGCTCGGAATATCTTTATCGCCACTTTCCCGAGCACCACGAAGGACATTTGTCTTTGCTACGTTCTTCATTGGTTAATAACCGCACACAGGCGGTGGTCTGCGATGACTTGGGAATGCCCAAGTATGCGGTTTACGCAAACCCCAAGGCGGATTTGAAAACAAAAGATCGTGCCGATTTGCTTGAGGCTTTCCTGGGCGCCTTGTACGTCGACAAGGGTCTGCTGTATTGCGAGCAGTTCTGTCACGTGTGCTTGTTCCCGCGCCTTCAGCTGTTTATTATGAACCAGGACTGGAACGATCCCAAGTCCAAGTTGCAGCAGTGCTGCCTCACCCTGCGCACAATGGATGGAGGTGAGCCAGACATTCCCTACTACAAGGTGGTGGAGGCCAGCGGTCCAACCAACACGCGCGTATACAAGGTGGCCGTTTACTTCCGCTCAAAGCGACTGGCCACCTCCAGCGGCTCCTCCATCCAGCAGGCGGAGATGAATGCCGCCAAGCAAGCGCTAGAAAACTCAAGGGACCTCTTTCCGCAGCTGGATCACCAAAAGCGGGTAATTGCCAAGAGTATAAAAAAGCAGACGGGCAACGAGTTGGACAACGAGAGTGGTCGTCAGCCCCAGGAGGAGAAGGTTAAACGGCCTAAGTACGCGACACCGCTGCAGGATGAGAGTCACCTTCCCAAGCAGTATCGCATGCACGAAAACATCTCCAGTGACGAGTTGCCGGAAGATGATGAGTTCGAAAACAATGCTCCGAAGAGCCCAATAAGTGAGTTCACATATGGAATACACAGTAATACATAACAATAAAACCTTATTTTTTAGTGCCCCCAAAACTGAAGAGGAGTGTCAACAGCAGCAGCAGCAGCATCAGCAGCGATGAATCCAGCTCATCTCCCAAACGCAAGCAGCGCGTGAGAAAAAGTTTCTCGGTATCCTACCCAACTTCATTGGAATAGCCGAAGGTAATTGCAACTTTAAAGTATACTGAAAATAGGGCTTCGATTGCACTAAAAATAAACGTATGGTCGAGATTTAAACTATTGAAGATAACTGAGTAAAGAATGACATCAGTTGTTGTGTAATAGTCCTGACACTTTCGTTACAACCTTTGTTTTTATAACATTTAGTACCGCCGACTATTATGGAGTTTCAACTTGCAGTTTTAAGTATCGGAAAACCCTTTTTTATTTGCCTAAATAATATTTTGCTACACTAAAGCCCGTTTCTATAAGTTTCGTAAGTCACATTTAGCTCAAGAAAGCAAACATGGCATAAAAGAATTATTCTGTTCTTATGCAATTTCCTAATAGTCCGGGCCTGACACCGAGAAATTAATACCTGTTACCGTATGTGGCAAAAATATAGTGAAAATCGGCTTCCTAGTTTTCTGACAACAAAGACGAGAGTTTCTTTGAGAAATACATTACAAAACTGCGTCAAAATACATAATTCAGATTATCTAACTATGCTTAATAAACCTAAATTTTATGAAAAAATGATCAAATTTCTTTTTACCAGAGCCTATAAAGAAAACAACCGTGAGCACGCAAAAAAAAGCTTAGTAAAACAACCGAATTGAATTTTGGTTAATATTTTAGCCAATGTAAACTTAACATGATTGCCCTTCGTACAAAATTGTGAATTACGAGTTCAACAAAGCGAAATGATCTCTCAGATCGTGGTGGTTTCACATCCAGCGCTATTTAAACAAGGAAAGGCGGCGGCCCAGCCCGGAACGTCCCGAACCGCTCACTGCGTTGGTGATGTAGCTCATTTCAGGAAGATTGTGGATGTCGCCGCGGGCGGCCACCGAGGGCGGGGAACTTAGTAGGCGCTGGGCAACGCGCTGGATGTCAGCCGCAGTCACACTCTCTGGAACAATATTAAAGCATAAATTGATTGAAATTTAAAAAATAGCGCGTATCGATGTTGTTACCAATTTCCTTGATAAAATGCTGGGGTCGTTTGCGGTGCCCCGTTACCAGTACTTGGCGGCCCACATCTTCGAAAACAACAGGTCGCGACTCCAAGTTCATTAGCAGCATTGACTGTAGCTGGATCTTAGAGCGCATTAGCTCCTCCCGGCCCGGTTCAGCGGCCATGCCCATCATCTCGCGGGTCAGCACTTCGACCATATCGCTCATGTGCTGCGGTGGTGCGCTGCCATGGATGCAGAACAACCCAGTGTCGGCGTAAGCATGGTTGTATGCTGTGGCGCTGTACATCCAGTGGTAGCGGTTCAGCACCTTGGTATACAGACGCGAGTACATGCCCTTGCCAGGACCGCCGGCGGAGAAGGAGCCACCACCGCCCATCATGATATTCAGGACGCAAAGCGGCACGAAGTCCTTGTCCTGATGGGAGCAGCCTTCGAAGCCAAGAACCACGTGGGCCAGCTCCGGCAGACCCGCAGCCGCATAAATGGGGATTTCACATTGTTCCTATGGGTAATGGTTTTTAAGGATTTAAACAAAGATTTCCAGAACCTACTTTAACTAAGCCGCCGGTGTATTGCGCAATCGACGTATCCACTTGCTTGGGTCCCAAATCGTCCAGGGCTTCCGTCTCCCAGATGGCCTTGTCCTCCACAAAGTACATTTTCACATAGTTCACCAGCTCGTCGTGATCCACCTAGAATGAAGTTTCTTAACAGAATTTGAACATGCTAAAATTTGTTTAGAGACTTACGCCCACACCAGCGATGACCATCCGCGTGGGAGAGTGGTGGAACTTGAGGTAGTTCATTAGCACCTTTCGATCGATGTGGTCCAGGTTTTCCAGCGGACACAGCTTGGGCAGGCCCAAGGTGTTTTCCCTGTAAGCCGCCGAGTGGATCATGTCCATAAGAATGGGCTCCTGCTCCGGCCGCATGCCCAGCGTCTCCAGCTCAAAGTTGACGGCACGTTTGGCTAAGCTCACCTCCAAATCGCTGAGTGTGGGCCGTAGTGTGACGTCCGCAAGCAGACGCGTCACAGAATCGATTGCCCGGCTGTCAATGCTGGCGGCATAGATGAGCGTGTCCCGTGAGCTCTGGCAGTCGCAGATGCCGCCATTTTTTTCCAGCTCCTTAAGTATGGCGTCCTTGTTGGGAAAGTTGACTGTGGACTTTTGGAATAACGAGGCAGTTAGCTGGGAACTTACTTTACAGAAGCGCAACTCACGTTGAATGCCAACTTTTCGAGGAAATGCGATACGCCGCTGGGGTAGGCTACCTCGTAGCGCGGCCCGGAATCGATCACTAGACCTACGGTACAGAATTGGCCGTACCGTGGTTCCGAGGCAATTCGCAGACCGTTCGGTAGCGTTGTCACCTTGGTGATGGCGCTCTCTGCTAGGGGAGCCGCGTAAACGGCCTCCGGCAGGTTGGGCAATGGCTCAGTGAGTGGCGGAAGGTGGGTGACGATCTCCTTGGAAGGCGTGTTCACCTTCTGTGGCCCATCGTTCGTCCGCACGCCGCCGGTGATCTGGCCGATTCCGGTGCCGCTGCCCACCTCGTCGCCGCCCAGGGTGGTCACCTTGGTGGCAAAACGCCGTGGAAACCTGCGTTACGTTGGGAAGGGGGGGGCAATGATTAATTCTCGCCGGCTCCATAACCACCCAACCTTTCACCACCCCTCGAGATTCTTACGTGCGCCAGGAGTGTCTGAGCATTTTCAGCATGCTGATGCTGCGCGCGTTTATCATGTGCTGGTGATTTGGCTTTGGTAAGGGAATTTAAAAAATTTATGTGATTTATATTTGAATTTGATTCAGAAACATATTTTTTTATTCTTTTTTAACGAGTGAATTTCAAAGAAAAAAGAAATGTTGATCTCTTCTTCTTCTGTTCTTGACTTGTCAGTCACACGAAAGTCAGGGCTGCAATTGGTGCCAGGGATGCCAGACTGCGTATGTTTCAATTTTCCGCTACAATAATAAGTCGTTACATTTACGGTTTCAGAAGGGGTTTTATTGGTAAAGGACCCTGAATAAGTGAGCGAAATTAATCAAAATTGAAACGCCTCTTGCCATCAAAACGATAGCCATAGGCCGCTGCATTTTTTGTGTCCACAAGTGCTGGATTGCGGTGCTTAAAGAAGCTACCGTGGCCATGGGCTGGGCGGGAGGCGCTATTGGGGATACCTTCCACTTCGCGGGGGTAAAAGGCCTCGAACATCCCCTCTGGAGGCAGGCAGCATTCGGCTATCTTGGGATCATTGGGATCATAGGCCACAGTTTCATGTCCCAAAAACGCAGTCAATAGGACCACAAGCATTGCCTTGAGTAGTTTCGTAAGTACACTCATTATCTTACAGTTACACACAAACGCCGACAGGTGACTTTTACTTTTGCTGGTCGAACCCGTTTAAGACCGACTTTACGAGTCTGACACTTTTGTGAACTGAAGTGATGTTGACCAAAACGATGGCTGATATACTTTTGTACATATGTACATACATATATGCATGGTTGGAATCAACAAAAGCGAAAAACAGTTGCTTTTATCGCGAAAACTCTGGCAACACTAATTGAAAATATGCCGGCATCTCGGTTTCCATTCCTCCAGTTCAAGATTCAGATACACCACAAATTTATTTCTTTTATTTCCCTGCCACTCATTAGGCTGACACGTTTTCTTTAAAAACTCCAAACCTTATTACAATGGATCCATCTAAAAAGGAGACTGGCTTCCTAGATAAAGCTTTATTTTACGGTAGGTTTGTACAATTTTTTCCTTATCTGTACTTTTACAGATTTCCAACGGGATTTATTCGAAATCTGAAAAGTGATATCTAGCACCTATATGTCTATGTAGTATGACCTCTCAATAATACACTAACATGCGTAAGCTTCATACCACCGAATGGTCAAACCAAATTATATGATTAAATTTGGGATGTGGACCCACTATTTTTATTGTGTGCGTTGTATGTATATGTTTTACGCTTTGATTGTGTTATTTTGTTTTTAATACGCCTCAGTCGGAAATGAATTCAATGCTTATTTCGTGCAGACGTAAACTTGGAATTTAAAATCATATAGCTGGCAAACTATAAGGAATATGAAAAGGATTTAAATGGAGATATGTTTGGTAGTGTTTTGGCATTTATTAAGGCACTTCATTATTATACCATTGCAGTGCAACGCAGTGCAGGAGACATCTCTCATGTCAATAGCTTATATACTGCGCGAAATATACGGAAAATCATTAAATTTTACCCGATTTCACCCTATTGTTCCAATGGGAGCTATAGTATATTGACGTCCGATCGGCACGCGTTTTTTCCTGATCAAGGTATACATACATACAAAAATACGATTTGGAAAGATTCATGTAAATAGCTTTTACACTGCGCGAAATATCATTAATTCTTGCAAGATATATCCGATTGTTCCTATGGGAGCTATAGGATATCGACGTCCGATCGGGTCGATTTTCAAACATGTTTTAATTTCAGATCGCTAGCTTTTAAACTGATCTCGCAAACGGTATTGAAACAGACGGACAGACGGACGGACGGACAGACGGACATGGCTATATCGACTCCCCTATTGATCCTGATCAAGAATATATATACTTTATAGGGTCGGAAACGTCTCCTTCACTGCGTTACAAACTTCTGACCAAAATTATAATACCCTCTGCAAGGGTATAAAAAAGAATTACCTGTGGAATTTAGTAAAGAACTGTGAAAAATTTCAAAACGATTCGTCCGGTAGATTTTGCAGGATCATGTTCGTCTACTTTGAAACTGGCAACCTTTCAGGAGAGCGTTTTAAAGTTTTGGTCACCAAAAAATCGAATATAAAACGCGTCAGCTTACCTATGTTAGACTGTCCAAAACTTCGGGTAAATCAATATAAATTTTTAATACAATATTCTTAAAATGTTTTGCATTCAGAAAAAATAATACAAAAAATTCAAAATAAAAAATGTAAATACGGTCCCCCTTTAATTTTATTTTTCTTTCAGTACCTAGAAATCCTGATCGTTACCCACCGATTCCATTGCCAGCACCTCCTCCGAAAATTGAATCCCAGTCCGAAGATATACCTCCAGCAGCTGAGGTTCACTTAATAGAAACTGGAATAATTACCCATGACCTAATTGTAAAAAGCATTATTTTCGACGATCAATCTATTAGGAAGGGCTTCGTGCGCAAGGTATTCGGAATCCTGCTGGTAAGTATATAAGATATATGTATTTACTCTGTTGAATCTGTCTGATTCTCACAGGTCCAACTACTGTTCACATGTGCTGTGATGGCTGCATTTGTTTACCATGAGCCCACCAAGCACTTTGTGCAATCGAACCTCATTGTCGTTTTTGTCGCCATGATTGTTAACATCGTCGTTTTGATAATGATCGTCTGTGTGGAGAGCGTGCGACGCAAGCATCCAGTTAATCTAATTTTTCTGGCCATCTTTACCTTCACCATGTCCCTGCTCTTGGGGACGGCATCGAGTTTAATGGACTCTAATTTAGTACTCGTAGCAGTGGGAATTACAGCGGTGCTGGTGATCGCTCTTTCCGTGTACGCCATGCAAACCAAATACGATTACACCGCTATGGGCGGAGTAATGTTAACTTTTGTGATGATCCTACTCGTTCTGACAGTATGTAGATTTTCGATGCCCGGATTCGTAGATAGCTTGCCGATTGCTGGCCTATGCGCATTAATAGCGTGCTTTTTCCTGATCTACGACATGCAGTCGATAATCGGTGGCAATCGGGCAGAACAGTTGGATCCCGAGGAATATGTGTTTGCAGCATTGACCTTGTACCTTGATGTGGTTCGCATATTTATTTATATCCTTCGGATTCTAGAGAAATTTTATTAGTGTAGCTAATCTCAGATAAATAACCTTTTATACTGAAAAGCCTTTGTAAGCCAGTTAATGCATTATTAGCTTTAAGGGGTTATCTGGGTCTTGACACTTCAAAAAATTAATTTTTTAAAACTTTTTTATGTAACAGACAAAAACCACTTTTTTGAAGTCGGTAGTCACGTTTTCTCAAAAACTATTGCACCGATCGACTTCTGCTTTTGCACACTTCTTTTAGATATGTTTTTCTTGTCCTTAACGGAGAAATTTTTTTTATTTTCAATTACAACTCATTTTATAAGCCAAAATATGGCCAAAATGTACGTAAAAAATTAAACTTTTTATGAAAAGCGCTACAAAAAATAAAATTTAAAAAAAAAATAGCTCGTAGAGGACAAGCCAGACACATACACTATCAGAACAACTTTAGTTTTTTGATTTCAGATAAAAATTGACGGAGATATTTTTCCAAGGACACAATTTTTAATGTGGTCAAGTTCAAGCCTGTCTCAACGGCTCAATTTTTAATATTTTTGGTTCAAATTTTTACACAATGTTGGTCAAACCTTAAACATTAATGTACAATAAATGAAATTTATGAAATTGTCGTAAGATCTTTTAAAAAATTCACCAAAATAGGCTTTTTTGTGCTTCAAGACCCGGATAAACCCTTAAGCGAAATATACAGCTTTTGCTTTAAAAAAAATGTGAAAAAGTTGTGTCACATCATATGATCAACTCCAAAGTCAGAACAAGAAGGGTGTGAATTGGTATTAGTTATTCAGAATTTTATTAATCTTACTTTTTTGGCTCATCTTGTTCTAGGATAGTTACATTATATTTATATTATTATACTGTATATGTTTGTCTATGCGTGAGTAACTATAAAATACAATCACAAAATGTATGCCATTTGATTTTCTTATCTACTTACAGTTGGGGCAGTTAACTAAGTAGGGTATTTACAAATATCGATGCAGCAAAAACATGGAAACAGTCACACAGATATTCATGCAGATTTCGTTTAATAAGTAACTAGGTTTTGACTAAATCGTTATAAATATTGATAAGCTGCACATCCCAACGTTTCTCTAAATTACTGTGCTCTGGTCTGTTCATTTCTGGTCTTGTCTTGGACACCAAATCGTCTTTCAATCTCTGCTAAACTGGGAATCGCATTCGCGTTAGCTCTTACATTTTGGGAACTCAAATTTTTTTATTAAATTCCCACTAATCTTGGTTTGATCCGCCGGCTCCTGAGTGTGTCTCCGTATGTGTGTGACGGTAGAAAACGTTTTATCCAAATGCTTTGGCCACGCCATCGTTTCTTATCTCAGATTGTCCTGTTCAGTCGTCCGTGAACGGATGGTCGGATGTCTCGCTGCTGTTGCGCCGCCGGCTCTCTAGTATCCGGGTGGCCTGTTCCAATGTCTCTTTGTAGAACATGTTCCGGGGACTATCGCTAGGCAGCGAGTACTCCGAGTTGTCCATTTGCGAGGTGAGACCCAGCACAATGTTGAAGGCGGACGCATCGTAACCGTGGCATCCGGAGTATCGGTACAGTGGTTTTTTGTTGAACTTGCAGCCATTCGATTGGGCACCTGCATGTAAACAAGTATTTTATTAATATACAAATAATTTTTTTCGGTACCTATATGAATTTGTATTTTAAAGAGACGCTATACATTATACCTTGTTATACCCTTGCAGATAGAATTATAATTTCAGTCAAAAGTTTGCAACGCAGTGAAGGAGACATTTCCGACCCTATAAAGTATATATATTCTTAATCAGCATCACCGGCAGAGTCGATATAGCCATGTCCGTCTGGCCGTTCGTCCGTCCGTTTCTACGCAAACTAGTCCCTCAACTTTCCTAAAAGTTGTCTTTCTATTGCAGGAAGTATAAAAGTCGAATAGAGCCGGATCGAGCATAACATATTGCTCCCATAAGAAAAACGAACAATGAAAAAAAAAATTGTATTTTGCTGTTTATCTAATTATCAAAATATTCCTTTGAGATATAGTAATTAATTACTATATCAGAATTCGCTTTTAGTTTTGTCAAAATATGACAACATATATCTAACAACATATAATGCAGCGCAAAATCGACAAAACTTCATTGTTTTTAGTAATACATATAAGCAGGAAATCAAAATGCAGTTGTTTTGTAAACTTCGGCTTGCCGAAGTTTCACAGTCGTCCTAAAACAAGTGTACGCAGATCAAGTTTGAAAACCGCCCCGATCGGATGTCTATATCCTATAGCTCCCATAGGAACAATCGAATATAACTTGCAAGAATGGAAGATATTTCGCGCACTGTAAAAGCTATTGACATAAATCTTTCCAAATCTTATTTTTTTATGCGTACCTTGATCAGGGTAAAAACGCGTGACGATCGGACGTCTATATCCTATAGCTCCCATAGGAACACAAGGGTAAAATCGGTTAAAATTCAATGATTTTTAGGATATTTCGCGCAGTATACAAGCTATTGACATGAATCTTTCCAAATCGTATTTTTTATGCATACCTTGATCAGGGTAAAAGCGCGTGACGATCGAACGTCTATATCCTATAGCTCTTATAGGAACAATAGCGTGAAATCGGTCCAAATTTGATGATTGTCAGAATATTTCGCGCAGTGTGTAAACTACTAACATACATTTTTCCAATTCTTATTTATTTACGCATATCTTTATTAGGGTAAAAGCGCTTGCCGCTCGGAAGTCTATATCTTAAAGGAGATAGGAAAAATTGTTAAAGGCTGCGAAAGTATCCCTTTTTTATACCCTTGCAGGGGGTATTATAATTTTCGTCAAAAGTGTGCAACGCAGTGAAGGAGACATCTCCGACCCTATAAAGTATATATATTCTTGATCAGGATCACCTCCTGAGTTGATATAGCCATGTCCGTCTGTCCGTCTGTCTGTTTCTACGCGAACTAGTCTCTCAGTTTTAAAGATATAGAATTCAAACTTTGCACACACCCTTTTTTCCTTTGCACGCAGTATATAAGTCGGAACGGCCGGGATCGGACGACTATATAACTGATTGATCGGAAATGCCATAACTGCTGTTTGTTAAGTTAGGAAGTTGGGATTTTCTATGGGTTTTATATTTGGCCAATCAATCCGACCTACCAAATTTCATAAGGATCGGCCGACTATTTCCTATAGCTGCTATATAACTGATTGATCGGAAATGCCATAACTTTGGTGTTTTCAAAGTTAGGAAGTTGGGATTTTCTATGGGTTTTATATTTGGCCAATTAATCCGACCTACCAAATTTCATAAGGATCGGTCGACTATATCTTATAGCTGCTATATAACTGATTGATCGGAAATGCCATAACTTTGGTGTTTTCAAAGTTAGGAAGTTGGGATTTTCTATGGGTTTTATATTTGGCCAATTAATCCGACCTACCAAATTTCATAAGGATCGGTCGACTATATCTTATAGCTGCTATATAACGATTGATCGGAAATGCCAAACTTGTGTTTTCAAAGTTAGGAAGTTGGGATTTTCATGGGTTTAATATTGCCAATTAATCCGACCTACCAAATTCATAAGGATCGGTCGACTATATCTTAAGCTGCCATAAATGATTGATCGGAAATGCCATAACGCTGTTTGTTAAGTTAGGAAGTTGGGATTTTCATGGGTTTATATTTGGCCAATTAATCCGACCTACCAAATTTCATAAGGATCGGCCGACTATTTCCTATAGCTGCTATATAACTGATTGATCGGAAAGCCATAACTTTGGTGTTTCAAAGTTAGGAAGTGGGATTTTCTATGGGTTTTATATTTGGCCAATTAATCCGACCTACCAAATTTCATAAGGATCGGTCGACTATATCTTATAGCTGCTATATAACTGATTGATCGGAAATGCCATAACTTTGGTGTTTTCAAAGTTAGGAAGTTGGGATTTTCTATGGGTTTTATATTTGGCCAATTAATCCGACCTACCAAATTTCATAAGGATCGGTCGACTATATCTTATAGCTGCCATATAACTGATTGATCGGAAATGCCATAGCTTTGGTGTTTGTTAAGTTAGAAAGTTGGGATTTTCTATGGGTTTTATTTTTGCCCAATCAATTCGACATATTAAATTTCATAAGGATCGGCCGACTATATCCTATAGCTGCCATATAACTGATTTATCGGAAATGATATAACTTTGGTGTTTGTAAAGTTAGAAAGTTGGGATTTCCTATGGGTTTTATTTTTGGATAATTAATCCGACCTACCAAATTTCATATGGATCGCCCGACTATATCCTGTAGCTGCCATATAACTAAACGATTGAAAATGCCATAACTTTGGTGTTTTTAAAGTTAGGAAGGTGGGATTTTTTATGAGTATTAAAAATGCATCATATGAATAATTTTGGAGAATATAATTTGCAGAATATTCTGCAAGGGTATTTCAACTTCGGCTCCGCCCGAAGTTAGCTTTCCTTTCTTGTTTCTATTTGTATATGACATTTTTGCAGTAAAGCAATTGACTTGAAACGATGCAAATCTAGTTTACTTATGTATACCTTATTCCTCTCGCTACTGTTTCACTTTTAGCAATTTCGGCAAAGTCTGCAAGGGTATTAAAACTTCGGCTTGCCGAAGTTAGCTTCCGTCCTCGTTTTTTTTTAATCTATTTAAGCTTGAACCAATCTGATATTATTTAGGTTTTTTTCATTGTGTGGTGTGTGGTGTTGAGTGTTTATGAAAATAAAATGGAGTCAATTAGATAAACGATTAACTGGAAAAGTTGCTTATCAAATACAAAAAAATATAATTGGGCCCTAAACAGCAGTTCACCTCAGTTTCGTGATGAAATGGATACCATATTGATGGTGGAAAAATCAGAAGTTCCGGGAATAGCTGTACAATGTGAACTGCTGTTGCCTAATGGAGATCTACAAAGGAGGTATGAATTCGACATAACGGATCTTGGACTCCGACGTCGCCTTGTATGCCGATTTTATGGAATTCTTATCGTAGGTTATCCGAAATTTATTTACAAACCTTCCCCTGTTATTTTAAAGTCATGAATTTAGATACAGCTGGTCTGCACTTTGCCCTGCCTGGAGTTCCTACCAAAATATTATTTGCCTTACAATTATGTAGTGCCTATATCTTTGGTATTCACTATGTTCTTATATACCTGCTTTTACGTTTGGCGGGAGTGGAGAAGAGTTGCCCCCTACAACTACCTTGTGCTTTTGCTAAGTACATGTATCGGATCCTTCAATAGAAGCGTATACCTATTGAATATGGTACAAAATCATTGGGTGAGTCTAAATTATTTAGTTAGTTTATATATTTTTAATCACCATCCACAGTTGAATCCATCTTCACTTGTCTCTCCGCCCGCCAATCCGTCTGGTCTCTGAGTTTTAAAGCTAACTTAATGAATCAGATGACTGTATCAACATAGCTGCCATAGAAACGATCAAAGAAGGAAGCAAACTTTGGCAAGCCGAAGTTTATAGCAGTTATTACAAAACGACTCGAATTTCGACCTTTATTTTTAACAATTAATAAAAAACAAGAAATTATTTAGGTTTTTTCATTGTGTGGTGTGGTGTTGAGGTTTATGAAAATAAAATGGAGTCAATTAGATAAACGATTAACTGGAAAAGTTGCTTATCAAATAAAAAATATAATTGGGCCCTAAAACAGTTCACCTCAGTTTCGTGATGAAATGGATACCATATTGATGGTGGAAAAATCAGAAGTTCCGGGAATAGCTGTACAATGTAAACTGCTGTTGCCTAATGGAGATCTAAAGGAGGTATGAATTCGATATAACGGATCTTGGACTCCGACGTCGCCTTGTATGCCGATTTTATGGAATTCTTATCGTAGGTTATCCGAAATTTATTTACAAACCTTCCCCTGTTATTTTAAAGTCATGAATTTAGATACAGCTGGTCTGCACTTTGCCCCCTGGAGTTCCTACAAAATATTATTTGCCTTACAATTATGTAGTGCCTATATCTTTGGTATTCACTATGTTCTTATATACCTGCTTTTACGTTTGGCGGGAGTGGAGAAGAGTTGCCCCCACAACTACCTTGTGCTTTTGCTAAGTATGTATCGGATCCTTCAATAGAAGTATACCTATTGAATATGGTACAAAATCATTGGGTGAGTCTAAATTATTTAGTTAGTTTATATATTTTTAATCACCATCCACAGTTGAATCCATCTTCACTTGTCTCTCCGCCCGCCAATCCGTCTGGTCTCTGAGTTTTAAAGCTAACTTAATGAATCAGATGACTGTATCAACATAGCTGCCATAGAAACGATCAAAGAAGGAAGCAAACTTTGGCAAGCCGAAGTTTATAGCAGTTATTACAAAACGACTCGAATTTCGACCTTTATTTTTAACAATTAATAAAAAACAAGAAAGGAAAGCTGACTTCGGGCGGAGCCGAAGTTGATATACCCTTGCAGAATATTCTGTAAATTATATTCCCCAAAATTATTCATATGATGCATTTTTAATACTCATAAAAAATCACAACTTCCTAACGTTAAAAACGCCAAAGTGATGGCATTTCAAATCGTTCAGTTATATGGCAGCTATAGGATATAGTCGGCCGATCCGGCTCGTTCCGACTTATATACTACCTTCAATAGAAAGACAACTTTTGGGGAAGTTTCAAGCAGATATCTTTAAAACTGAGGGACTAGTTTGCGTAGAAGCGGACATGGCTAGATCGACTCTCATGGTGATGCTGATCAAGAATATATATACTTTATAGGGTCGGAAATGTCTCCTTCACTGCGTTGCAAACTTTTGACTGAAATTATAATACCCTCTGCAAGGGTATAAAAAGCAATATATATTTTTACTATCCGTTTATTTTTTTATCATTTGTTTATTAAACTTAAAGGAGTACTTACATAAGTTTGAAAAAAAAATTTGTTTTCATTAAGTTATTCGTTCTTGAAGAAGAAGGGGGGAAAAAGAGGCCGTGTCCCTGTCGCCATGATTTCTATGCTTGTCGTTATTTGAAATATGTATAAAACAATATAAAAACAATTTTTTCATGAAATGGCGGCTACTAAAAGAAAAAAAGTAGATTTTTTCACTAATTTTTCAATTTTGTCAAATTTTTAAAATATTTATAAATTTAAAATTTTTATTTTTTGTTGGTTCCGGCGATAGAGATATTTTTAATGAATATTCATGCCAAATTTCAAGTATATAGTGGCGACCGCATCAAAAAAAGTAGTTTCGAGAAAAACGCGTTTAAAGTTTTATGTTAAGTTTCGGGCAGCGTAACTTATAGAATATTACGTATAAATTACATTCCCTTAATCAGCTATCCCAGCTCCATACAATGACCTTCAAACGATTAGTGTAGTATACTGGAAATAAGGGTATTGTTATAGAAAGAAGGAGAGAAAGTTATTCATACTAAGGTAGCCCGGGCTTCTAGCCACTTATTGTTCCAGTCGTTCGATCAACTGGTCTAGTTGCCACGTCACTAAAACGTCTATAACTTTAAAAATAATTTGAGTTTTGAAAAATCTTTTTAGGAAGAGGGTATTATAATTTTGGTCAGAAGACCCTATAAAGTATATATATTCTTGATCAGGATCAATAGGGGAGTCGATATAGCCATGTCCGTCTGTTTCGATACCGTTTGCGAGCTCAGTTTAAAAGCTAGCGATCTGAAACTTTCACAGTCGTCCTAAAACATGTGTATGCAGATCAAGTTTGAAAACGCGGTCGGATGTCCTATAGCTCCCATAGGAACAATCGGATATAACTTGCAAGAATGGAAGATATTTCGTGCAGTGAAAAAGCTATTAACATAAATCATTTAAAATCTTATTTTTTTATGCATACCTTGATTAGCGTAAAAGCGCGTGACTATCGGACGTCTATATCCTATAGCTCCCATAGGAACAATAGGGTGAAATCGGTCAAATTTGATGATTTTCAGAATATTTCGCGCAGTGTTTAAGCTACTGACATAAATTTTTCCAAGTCTTATTTATTTACGCATATCTTGATTAGGGTAAAAGCTCTTGCCGATCGGACGTCTATATCTAATAGCTTCCGTAGAAAAAATTTGTTAAAGGCTGCGAAAGTATCCCTTTTTTTCTATTTTTATATGACATTTTTGCTGTATAAAAGCAATTGACATCAAACGATGCAAATCTAGTTTATTTATGCCTTATTCCTTTCGCTACTTTTTCAGTTTTAGCAATTTCGGCAAGGGTATTAAAATTTCGGCTTGCCGAAGTTAGCTTCCGTCCTCTTTGAATATCAAAACTATAGAATTATGAAATTTTTTTTTCGATTTTCTCAAATTTCTAAACTAGAAGAGCCCCTTAATAAAAAAAATGAAGCTGTGTCGATTTTGCGCTGCATTTGTCATCGTTTCTATGGCAAATATATGATATTGTTGGACGAATTTAATTTAATTAAAAACGTAATTCCATAATATTTAAATATTACCAAATCCCGAAAAACAACAAAAAAATTTAAAACAGCAAAGTTATACCAAAGACCAATATAATCATGTTTATATGTTTATATTGGTCTTTGGTTATACCGTCTTGCAAAGGTATAAAAACGACAAATAATACATTATTATATCAAATAGATATTAATAATTTTCAAATATATACATATATAACTGAAGATTATGTCCGTGTCAGTCACACATTTGTTCCTGACCATATATTGCGTCATTATAGTTCTGTCGACTTTTCTTTTCCAACAATTCTTCCCCGCGTTATATTAAATTTATTTTGGTATGCTGAGTTAAGGGTCGAGCCAGCTTTAGAAGCTTAAAAAAAAGCGTTTTTCCGAGGACTTTTTTTGGAAGGAAAGAAATATATGATTGAATTGAAACTTTTAGGTTTTATTGTTATATATTTCAACAGTTTTCTCAAATTGTTTCATTAAAATATATTTTATATTATGCCTGGTACAAGCATGTCAAAGTGTTCGTATATAAAAAATCGAAACGCTTGCCACTATTACTTCTGTAGCTTTAAAAATATTTTAAATTTCATTCTGAAATTTTAGGGACACATTCTTGGATAGTTTGGGTAGACATTAATGCAAAAAAAAATTCGATTTTTTAAAGCCTCTAAAGCAGGCTACCCACCCCCTTAAAGAAGGTATTGTATTAAACACATACAAATTGATTACCTATATATTTCGAATATTTAAGAGGGACTTGTTTTTTAGGTTTATTGCTATCCGGTCATACTAATTCTGGAGATCTTGGCCTTAATGCTGTACTCTAGTCAGAAGCGGTTTCGGTTCACCCAGATACGTGGAATTTCTATAATCTGCCTCGTGTTTGGTTTCTTCCTACTTCTGGCCTACCGTTTGAACCGGATGGTAGAAGTCTTCTCCGGAATGGCCTGTACAGTGGAGGCGTGGTACGTCATCTATGACACCCAATACATGCTCTGCGGACGACATGGCTACAATATTGGACCCGAAGAGTGTGTCTTTGCCGCCTGTAACATCCACTGCGATCTGCCCAAGGGGCTGTGGCGTCTGATGAAGATGCTCTTGCTCAGCAAAATCTTGGAAACTATTCGTTTTTTCCGCGAATGCTTTAGGACCGAGGTTTGCTAGTGCTGTCCCAGCTGGCTTGGAAAAAATTTATTTTTAATTCCTTTTCGACTGTCAAAATTTTTTTAATAAAAATGATCTTCAGCGATTCTTGAACTCTTCATTATCAGCAACAAGCTAAACATGTTCCTGGAGCAGGCTTGTCCATATTTAATCAGAGAGCTATGATAATCATCACAGAAACACCTCTTAAGGAATGGGTGAATCTGAAATGGAAATGTATTTGAAGAGTGGCATAAAAGCAGCCTTGGGTAACTCGAAAATGCCAAAGTGAAAACGATTCGATAAGCACATCAACAAACTAAAGTAGATGTACCCGCCACAAATGCAACATTTTTAGGCCAATTAAAATTATCCCACGGGTTAGAGGAAAATACTTGGTAAATCGAAAGACAATTTCTCATAATAAACAATCTGTACCTCCCCCTTTGAGCAATAATCATCGATTATAAAAAAAAAGTGTGATCAACGGGAAACCCAAACAAATATCCAGGAACGAGGCCAGCGACAATATGGAAATTATTCAGAAGCTTAATATCCTATTTTGGATCTACTACATTGAAAAACAAGAAAGGAAAGCTAACTTCGGGCGGAGCCGAAGTTGATATACCCTTGCAGAATACTCTGTAAATTATATTCTCCAGAATTATTCATATGATGCCTTCTTAATACTCATAAAAAATCCCAACTTCCTAACTTTAAAAACACCAAAGTTATGGCATTTCCAATCGTTCAGTTATATGGCAGCTATAGGATATATTCGGCCGATCCTTATGAAGTTTGGTAGGTCGGATTGATTGGCCAAAAATAAAACCCATAGAAAATTCCAACTTCCTAACTTTACAAACACCAAAGTTATGGCATTTCCGATCATTCAATTATATGGCAGCTATAGGATATAGTCGGGCGATCCCGGCCGTTCCGACATATATACTGCGTCCAAAGGAAAGAAGGGTGTGTGCAAAGTTTCAATTCGATATCTTTAAAACTGAGAGACTAGTTCGCGTAGAAACAGACAGATGGACAGACAGACGGACAGACGGACATGGCTATATCAACTCAGGAGGTGATCCTGATCAAGAATATATATACTTTATAGGGTCGGAGATGTCTCTTTCACTGCGTTGCACACTTTTGACCAAAATTATAATACCCTCGGCAAGGGTATAAAAATGGAAAATATGCCTGATAGTCATATAGTCAGACAAGTTGTTCCACTTTGAATATATATATCATGTTGAAAATGATGCAAGTGTTTACATTTCAGCCGAGTCTTAAAAAAACGAGGGGAAACGGAGTACTCACAAAAGTATTATATCCTAAAGAAAATATTGGTTCAGCTTGAAGTTCATTTTTTCAGTTTTCGTTTTCGACAATTTTAATGAACCAACTCCCAAATGAACTTTATGATGACAGGAATGTGTCAATTAATAAAAATGAAGAAATTCCCATCGATTAGGAATTTAAACGAAATTCTAAAAAATTTGCAATTAAGTCTATTATGTTATAGGCAAATATGTGGATATTATTGACTACTTCGTTTGGGACTTTGGCCCGGGAAGTCATTGCCATAAATCCATTTACAGATGATAATTATATAAATTTCCCTGATTGATTCCCATCAATGAAATGCCCTGCAAATGGCGGTCATTAGTACACATGCCCAGCCCCAACAGAAGTATTGGTAATAGTGGCCCGAATGTAGGTTTGATTGATTTATATTGGCGGTAGAAAGGTACCCGTTCCTAATGACAGTTTTATATATTGCTAAGACTGTTACCAACTGCCAACTCACCGATTGGATCGATGCACTCGAGGGTGAGGCAGCACTTCAGCCAGGGCAGCATGATCTTCTCGCTTACTAAAGGACTGTCCGAGAAAAAGACCGCATCCAGATCGACCATCCGCAGAAAGTTAAATTCCTCAGCTTTCGAGGCGAAGTAGTCGAACATTTTGGGGTGCGTCAGCGAGGACACCGCTGTGGGTGTGTTCCAGCCAAGGACACCCGCGTTCTTCACACCTGCTCTCCTTACTTCTGGGTTCATAACTATGTTCTGCAGATTCTGCAGCTGGGCTGAGCCGCCCCGCACCCGCATGTAGTTTTCTAGAAAGAGAACTGACCGGGCACGCATTAAACCGTCCTTGATGACGATGGGTCGGTAGGCGTGCGTCCTCTGATCGCCGACGAAGGAGGGGAACTCCGACAGGTCATACGTTATCACCGAGCACCGGCTGTTGTTGCAGTAGGCGCCCAAGTCCCGTAGCTGCACTTCCGACACACCCAAATCATAGATGAGCAGGTATTCGGTGGGCAGCTTCGCAGCAATGTTTTGGGCCAATATGATGGCAGAGGCCGCCTGTCCCTCCATCACATACGTGACGATGGTAAAGTTGCTCTTTGTACCATTGTACGGCGTCGTAATTCGCTTGCGCTGCCCCCATTGGCCCCGATCTGCTGCCTGGCCACCGAAGGTAACAACGTCTTGAGGACGTCGCAGTCCTCGCAGCTCGATGAGCTCCAGTTCCGCCTTGGTGGCCGGCGCTGAAAAATCTGTTTTTCGCAGGATTTGATGCGAAGACCCGATAGCCCCCGTGTCCTGCTGCTCCAGCTGCTGTTGTTGGGTTGAGGCATCCTTTGGTGTGGTGAAGCCCAGTAATAGCAAATATTTCGGGTCTATGTCGAGCTTTTTGGGTTCCAAACCAACGCGAAGGTTCTCCTGCAAGAAATAAGAAAGAATGTGTAAGTAAGGCTTTCGATTTCTACATGAATTAAGGTAGATTAATGCTTCAAAAGAGTATCTAAAATCATAATTTATGTAGTTCCAGACGGCGTAATGGTAAAGTAAATTTGACCACCACCTTCATACCCAAAAAGGCAAGCTTAGTGAGTGGAATTCGCCTCGTCATGGGAGCCATTTCTAGGCGATAAACACACAAACACACATGTGAGAAATCTTTCTATTATGGCCCTTGAGCACGCTCTCTCCCCGTAAAACCAGCCCATACAAATACCCCAGCCCAAAGTGAAACGCGGCCGTACAATGAATCCTTCTCGTGCCAATGAAAAATTTCTGTCTATTATTTATTTTGACTGTGGCCTGAGAAGAGCGTGCCACATGCTCTGGCTCCTGGCGCGGCTCCTCCTGTCAAATACTGGTGTCAGGTGTGCCCGAATGCGGACAGGTGAATGGGCCGAAGGGAAAAAATAGAAATTAACATGCGGCAAAAGGCTGCTGTCAAAGGAGCAGCCCAAGCGTCGCCAACCCGAAATCGCATAACCTTGCCCGCCATTGGCAACATTATTACAGTGCAGTCAAACAAAAAGTTGTTTAAGCCTAACAAGAAAGGAAAGCTAACTTCGGGCGGAGTAGAAGTTGATATACCCTTGCAGAATACTCTGTAAATTAAATTCTCCAAAATTATTTATATGATGCATTCTTAATACTCATAAAAAATCCCAACTTCCTAACTTTAAAAACACCAAAGTTATGGCATTTCCAATCGTTCAGTTATATGGCAGCTATAGGATATAGTAGACCGATCCTTATGAAATTGGGTAGGTCGGATTGATTGGCCAAATATAAAACCCATAGAAAATCCCAACTTCCTAACTTAACAAACACCAAAGTTATGGCATTGACAAAGGTTCAGTTATATGGCAGCTATAGGATATAGTCGGCCGATCCTTATGCAATTTGGTAGGTCGGATTAGGAAGTAGGTCCCAACTTCCTAACTTTACAAACACCTAAGTTGTGGCATTTCCGATCAATCAGTTATATGGCAGCTATAGGATATAGTCGGCCGATCCCGGCCGTTCCGACTTATATACTGCGTGCAAAGGAACGAAGGGTGTGTGCAAAGTTTCAATTCGTTATCTTTAAAACTGAGAGACTAGTTCGCGTAGAAACAGACGGACAGACAGGCGGACATGGTTTTTTATGAGTATTAAGAATGCATCATATGAATAATTTTGGAGAATACAATTTACAGAATATTATGCAAGGGTATATCAACTTCGGCTCCGCCCGAAGTTAGCTTTCCTTTCTTGTTCAGATTAATTTATGTTGGAATTTAAGAGATTACGTTTAATTAATCAAATTATTGAATCTATGAACCCAAATTAATAAATATGTAGGTTTATTTTTATGGTAAAGTAAAATTCTGGGCCACTTCAATAAATGTTATGTGTCTACAAAAAAGAGCATTTGTTCCTAATAACTCAGGCGAGTACAGGCCAACAGACATAACTCCTTCACTCATATGATTGTAATCAAAAAATAAATATTATTGAAAAAGCTTACAGGTGGTAAACCAATGAAAGTAAAAAAGTAATATTTTGGGGAGAATATAAAAAAAAATAATAAGACAAGGCCAATGGCACATTGTTGGAAAGATATGCTCCGCCAATGCCGGTGATCATCTTGGGGGTTATGGTCCCAAGGGCATTTGAATCAATCAACTCTGGAGGTACGGCACTGCACTATATAACGAACATATTGATTTTGTGCCAATCGGTTCTGTGCACGCTGCAGTGAATTGAAGCCACTGGGGGATGTTAATTTTTGCATTTTTCATTTCCGTCGCTTTACCTTGGGGTAGAAATCGATTTTAATGTCAAGAACCGAGTAAAGTTGTAAGGATGGAACATTTTAGTTGACACTTTCGAACAGAGAATTTTGTATATACAATTCCACTAAGCAAAATAAAAAAATCCACTTATACAACTGCACTTAACAAAACTACACAAGATGGAGGAACTATCGCCTGATGAGCAAATGATGCTTAGGGATACCTTCCACATCTTGGACAAGGATAACGAAGGCGCCGTCACCGCCAAGGAGATGGCGGTTGTGATCCGCGCCCTCGGTCGTCAGCCCAACGACTCTGAAGTACAGTGCATGATCAACGAGGTGGACTTGGATGGAAATGGGTCCATCGATGCTCCGGAGTTCTCCAATTTGATCCTGCGCAAGATGCGAGACACAAACCACGAGGATGAACTGCGCGAGTCCTTCCGCGTTTTTGACAAGGAGAACAACGGCTATATTAGCACCACCGAGCTTAAGAATGTGTTCACGGCACTGGGGATTAATATTGGCGATGACGAGCTGGAGGACATAATACGCGAGTACGATCTAGATATGGACAATCATATTAATTACGAGGAGTTCGTGAATATGATGACCACGCGATAGCCTCCATGCGGGTATAGTACATTTAGCGTGGGTTGATTTTGATGAGCCTTAAAATTACAATTTTCGGGGCAAACTGAATGGTGTCCAGAAAAATCAACCCACATATCGCATTAAATTTCCATACTATTAAATAAATTCTTTGTTTCCAGTATGTTATAATTAGCTTTGGCTTATTTGTCATTATATTTTGTCGAATTATTGTTACTGAAGTCGACATCAAACAAGCAAAAACAAAACATCGTTCCAACACAGAAACAAAAACAAAAATAAATTATTTTGGCCAGCATGTGCAGTTTAACCGACGCCCAGATCGAGGAAATCCGGGAAGCTTTCCAATTGTATGACACAGAAAAGACAGGATGGGTATCCGTTAAGCAGCTCGGAGGAGTAATGCGCGCCCTTGGTGAGATCCTCACTGAGGCGGAGATCTATGACCTCGCCAACGAAAGTGGCACGGACTTTGGGGGTCAGGTACAATTTAAGGACTTCCTATACGTCATGTCCAAACGACTGGAAGAACAGAATAGTCTTGTGTCCTTGAAGCAAGCTTTCAAGATATTTGATCGCAACGAAGTAAATTATTTTACGACAGCGGAGATAAGAACAATAATGACCAATCTGGGCGAGAAAATGTCCGATGATGATCTGCACGAGATGTTCCAAGATATCGATTTGGATAAAGATGGAAAAATATCCTTTAGCGAATTTGTTACTGCCATGCGAAGTTAAATTAAGAATTCTAAATTTAAAGCGTCAAATAACACAAACCCCTTTCCAAACAAGAAAGAATTTTAAAATATTCAATAAAAACGCTATTTTTCGATTTGAATGCTTTGTTTTGAATGAAGCTATGTCGTTCTTCGAATACATACTTATTAATATCTAACATAAAATATTTTTTTGGGAAAATTCCATCCAGATAGTTTTAAAACTGAGAGACCAGTTTGCATAGAAACGAACAGATGGACTAACGAACATGCCTAGATCGACTCTGATGTTGATCAAGAATCATTATACTTTATAGGGTCGAAAACGCCCTTCACTAAGTTGCAAGTTTCTGACTGAAATTATAATGCACTCTGCAAGGTTATAAAAAGGACCACTCAGTGGAGTTTTCAATTTCCATAGAATTCTCTTTCAGTCGAGGGCAGCGCCCAAAAGTCGGTAGAAAAACCTTGTCCCAAGAAGTCGGCTCGCGTGTCTTCATTTGACTGTGCTCGTGACTCCCAAATAGGCGAAATGGCCGCCGGGGTGTGTCAGAATGGTCATTGGAGGTCAGTAATCATAAAAACAAGCCATGCTGAACCAATCACACCACTCGCTGTTTACCCTTTTGTCTGCTCATTTTAAAACTATTGTGATATTACATTTAGCGTAAACCACAGGGTTTGACTTTTATCGCACTTCAAAATATGCTGTTATCTATTAACACGGTTAATACGCGCATACATTGTTAATGACTCATTTGAAAACCAAACAAGCACGCCTCTGTAATAAAGTATTTTAAGGTGACTAAGTTCCACACTGAAGTGTAGTTTATAAATGCTGAGTAAATAATAATATAATTGTAGCCAACATTCAATTTTTTAAAAGAAATTAAATGTTTATACTTTTAGTTAACATTCTTTTACTGGACTGAGCCAAGATTTAATATTTAGCAGGTGTGTATCCTAAGGTTAAAATAAAGATTTGGTCTTAAGGCCAAGAATTTGTCGCCTTAACCCTTAGTTAGGCCTTTGAGTTTTGCTTAAGAGTGTTGTACTATATTGTCAAATTAAAAGTCATGAGATGTTCTGCGAGTTTTTATACCCTTGCACAGGGCATTATAATTTCAGTGAAAAGATTACAACGCAGAGAGACTAAATTTCTGACCCAATAAATCCGTCCGTCCGTTTTTACGCAAACTATACCCTCAGCTTTAAAGCTATTTGGATAAAACTTTGTAGCCAGATTCATTATTTTTAAAAATCGAAATCGAATTATAGAGTCCTACAATTTGTACAACAGCTGTAAGGGTATATAAACTTCGGCCTACGTCCTTTCTTGTTATTGTCGAATTGGAAGTTATATTCCACGAGATTGACTTTGATAGAGCGAGATGCCGGCATCACCTGGAAGGATTTTGGCTTTTCTTCTTTTAAATAAATAAGTAGCCTTTGATTTAGTTTAATGTGTGAGTAAAGTTTCTAATAAGCCAGTACAAGTTAATAACTGAAGCCGAGAACAACACACAACAAAAACACCTTTCAAGCAGGACAAACAATCTTAAACTAAATGGATCCACCCGAGTATACTCTGTCCAATGACGATCTCGCAGAGATTCGAGAAGCATTCGCCCTTTGCGATCCCCAAAAGACTGGAAGAATCAGTCCAGAAGATTTAGGAACTGTTATGCGAGCCCTGGGTCAAAACCACACGGAGTCTGAGATCTACAGATATTCCGAAGGACTCGAGGGAGATTTTATTGGTTACATAGAACTTGATGATTTTATTGAAATGATGACCAGAATCTATAAACTGATGGAACACGATGACTATTTAGAGGCAGCATTCAAGGCCTTTGATCGGGATCAGGATGGGTTGATATCATATAGCGAACTGCGCAACGTTTTCAACAATCTTGGCGAACAAATGAGTGACGAACAGTTCGATGAGGTGTTCCGCCAGGTTGATATCGACGGAGATGGGACCATCAACTGGAGGGATTTCGTTCATGCCTATAAATACTGAATTAAGGTTCTATGTTCTTATACTACTATGTGATGGCTTGAGTCTCAATATCTAATTTATTTATATAAAGAATAAACATTACAAATTTCTAGGAAAAAATTATTTTAGGTAATGGGTCAATGAATTTAAACTTATTGGGTCGAGGTTTTAAAAATGTATGTGTAAGCTATATAATACAGCAGTACGATTTTTATAATAAAACCGCAAAAATGAAAATATCTCGCACTTTATCGGCATATATTGAGGAACAACGAAGTTATAATTATACCCGTTACTCGTAGAGTAAAAGGGTATATTGTATTCGTGCAAAAGTATGTAACAGGTAGAAGGAAGTGTTTCCGACCCTATAAGGTATATATATTCTTGTTCAGGATCACTGCCGAGTCGATCTAGCCATGTCCGTCTGTCCGTCTGAGATCTCGGAAACTATAAAAGCTAGAAGATTGGCATTTTGCATGTAGATTTTAGGAGTTCCTACGCAGCGCAAGTTTGTTTCAAAATAGTGCCACGCCCCCTCTGACGCCCACAAGCCACAAGCTGTGGCCACAGTTTTGATGCTATTATGAAAATTTTTATTGATATGTATTTGTTTCGTCAATACCTATCAATTGGCCTAATAAAAGTTTGCCACGCCCACTCTAACGCCCAAAAACCCATTAAACGCTTAAGCCTGGCTAGCGCCCACATTTCCGCCTTTGATGGCCCGTGGTACCAATGTCTTGGGGTAGATGGCGCAATACAATAGCGCCATCTAACGGATGACTTTGGAACAGCTGCCCAAGATGCTCAACAGAGTCAACGTTAATTCTCGATAAGGATTTCTATTAAAGGAAATTGCGATGGTTTTCATTTGTCAATACCGAACTATATCCCAAGAACTATGCAAATCAAATCTAGTTAGCCAAATTGGAGGTCTGAGTCAAACAATGGCGTATGTGTGTATGTATGTAAGCATATACATATGTATGTATTTACATTGTACACAGTTGCAATTGCCCAGCAAAGATAACTCCTTTCAAAGAAAGCTATTCGCTATACCCGTTACTTGTGTTGTGCAAGCATTTAGACTTTAATATACATAATACTATTTAAGAATGTATGTGTTTAGCCAATATAAGTATGTATGTTTAATATTTCTAGTCAATTTATTGCACTCAAAAACATAAACATAAACACAGCTGCTGGTGCAGGACAAAAGCTGCCTGCGCTAAAGCAGCGCTGGTTCTGATGCTCGTGCTGTAAAGCTGCCAGCTCTAAGAGATCGCCGAATTCAAATTGATAATTTGAACTTTTTTAGCTGAGTAACGGGTATCTAATAGTCGAGGCACTCGACTACAGCGTTCTCTCTTGTTTTATATTCTTTTTCCAAATTATTCCTATGGTATAATCGTCAGATTTTTATAAAACTAAACCCGTTTTTCGAAAGTCACCAAAAGTACAACATCTCGGAGGTTATGCAGATATGTTAGGAAACAACTTAGTAACAATACTTACAAAAATACTTGCAACAAAAAATAAGACTGCAAAGCATTATCCAAATAGCTTAAAAATGAGGGACTAGTTTACTCAGAAACGGAAGGACAAATGGACATAGCTAGATCGACTCCCTGGTGATGTCAATATATATATATATACTTTATGCTGATTTGCAAACTATTAACTGAAATTATAATACCCTCTGCTAGAGTATAAAAATTAGTCGGGTTCAAGTACTGGTTGTACAACTTAGAAGGCGTGGAACCGATCTAAATATGAAAATTCCAAATGTCATCATCGACAATTATTGAAAGATCAGTAACACCCGAAATCTGAAACCTACTACATACACAAAAAACTACAAAATATAAAAACCATTTTTAACGAAAAAATAAAAAAAAAGAAAATCATGGAAAACCTAGAAAATGAGGAAATAACAATTCAGCCTCTAACAGAGGAACAAGTCAAAGAGATCCGCGAAATCTTTGCGCTCTATGAAACCCAGACGCCTGGAATGATTAGCCAAGTTAATATTTGCGAAGTGATGTTCGAACTGGGCGTTTTTCGTACCGAAGCTGAGATCAATCGGTTGCTCAAGGAATTTGAGTTGGAACGCAACGAGGAGGTCACGGTGGTGCAGTTTCTGGATGTTATGACCAAAATCTACCAGCAGATGTACAACAAGGATTCCCTTAAGGCGGCGTTCGACGTGCTTGATAACACAAAAAATCACTTTATTAACGGCAGCGACCTTCGTCACGTGGCTCTGTCTATGGGCATAAAGTTTACGGATCTAGAGTTTGAAGAAATGTTCAAGGAGATTGATTTCGACGCCGATGGTAAAATAGGGTGGAACGATTTCCTCCGTGCTGTTACTAAGCCCTAAGTTTGACAAATTGCAGCAAATCTACGACGTATTCATGCATATCAAGAGAGCTCAGTAGGTCTGAAGCCCCGTACCGATAATTTAAAAACATTATCGTCCAACTACAGTTAATTGTATTACTCTGTGAGTGGGTGGCGGTGCTACATTGAATCGATGGCGTCAAATTGATATAGCTCAATAGCGCTCGTTTGATGAGTATCTATCAAACAAGTAAATATGAAATAGCGGTATAAACGCTCTACAAACGCATTGATAAAGCTCGCGGTCATTGGTGCAATTTAAGTCAGTGATGGACAAATGGATTTCTGACACAAATTATCATAAATAGGGCGGTATTAATATTTAAAAATAATCGGAGGAAAAAACCAAGCATTGAGTTAAATTTTATGTAAAGTACCGATTCTTTAATTCTTCTGTAATTGGCTTACAAATTTTTAAGTTACATTCCTTGAATAAGTAGCATTACCTGTCCCCAACATTTTAAAATAAAACCTGATGTCTTTTTTATTTAATCCAGCCCCTGTCATTCCCACGAGCCGAGCAATTAACAAAATAAAAATTGTACGTTGAGTTTTAGCGACATAAAAATATATTTGGTTGAATAAAAAAATGCTAAGCCTGTGACTAATTATTTTCTTTTGTAATGAATTGATTAATTAGCAACAATAGAAAGTTAAGCAAAATAATTATTTACTTTTGAAAATTTTAATACTTTAATAAAAAACAAGAAAGCAAGCAAGCCGAAGTATATATACCCTTGCAGTTATTACAAAACGACTATATTTCGATTTATATTCCGATATTACTAAAAACAATGAAGCTATGTCGGTTTTGGCTGCATTTTGCCATCGTTTCTAGTGCAGCTGTATGTTGTCAGATTTTGACAAAACTATACTACTACTACTACTATATCTCAAAGGAATATTTTGATAAATAAAAAAATAGCAAAATATTTTTTTTTATGTATAAAACCGTAATTTCATAGTATTTAAGTATTGTAAAATCCCAAAGAACAAAAAAATTAAAAACAACAAAGCCGAATCCGCCCAATTGCCCAATCCGGCTCATTCCGACTTATTAACTGCCTGCAATAGAAAAACAACTTTTGGGAAAGTTTCAAGCAGACATATTTAAAACTGAGGGACCAGTTTGCGTAGAAACGGACGGACGGACGGACGGACGTATGGACGGATGGACGGACAGACGGACGGTCAGGCGGACGGACAGACGGACATGGCTAGATCGACTCTCCTGGTGATGCTAATCAAGAATATATATACTTTATAGGGTCGGAAATGTCTCCTTCACTGCGTTACAAACTTTTGACTGAAATTATAATACCCTCTGCAAGGGAATAATAGACATACATTCGTTGTTTTCAACATTATACATATATAACTCGAGAAATATATCTTTGTACATATTAAATTTTATAAAAATTCTTTATATACAGCAGCCATTTAAACAATTGTAAATAGAAAATCGTTACAGCCGAATTGTTCTTCCTTTTTATGATAAATAAGTAATTATAATGCCTATAGGCACATTACTGATAGATACAATTTAATTAAAGGTTCATAGACACTTTTTCCTGAATTAGTCGAAATGCGTCATTTGTTAGCACTCAATCACTTTTAATGTGAATCGATATTCTTATGAAATTAAATCGAACACAAAACCAGTTTGGTAAAAAATGTAGTAATTTACTGATGAAACACAATGCAATAGCAACTGTTGCAGTGCAAAACGGGTTTATAACCTCTTTTCTGTTTGACTTTGATTTGTAGCTATTTCCATTAATTGTGATTCCATTTCCATCAAATCAGTGTTATTGTTTATCATTCTATCTATCTCTATATATCTTTATATCACCATTTTTATACCCTTGCAGAGGGTAATTAAATTTTTCGGTCAAAAGCGAATGAACGCAGTGAAAAAAATGGAACAAACTCGACACATATAAAGTAAAAATTTACAAATATATTTGATCATCGGATTTCACGTCATCTGAGTTTCGTTATATAGCGTCGCTGTTTCTAGCGAACCTTGGTAGTCTCTCAGTTTTAAAATATCGAAATTAAACTTTGCCACCAACCTTTCAAGGTTTCAACACTATTATTTTAAACTTTTCCATTATTATATATGTCAGAAACAATCGGCCGACTATATCCTATAACTGCCTATAACTGATTGATCGGAAATGCCAAACTGATTTTGTATGATGGTTTTATATTTGGCCAATCAGTCCGACCAAATTTCATAGGAATCGGCCGACTATATCCTATAGCCGCCATATAACTGATTGATCGGAAATGCCATAACTGTGGTCTTTGTTAAATTAGGAAGTTGGGATTTTCTATGGGTTTTATTTTTGGCCAATCAATCCGACCTATCAAATTTCATAGGGATCGGCCGACTATATCCTATAGCTGCTATATAACTGAACGATTGGAAATGCCATAACTTTGGTGTTTTTAAAGTTAGGAAGTATTAAGAATGCATCATATGAATAATTTTGGAGAATATAATGTACATAATATTCTGCAAGGGTATATCAACTTCGGCTCCGCCCGAAGTTAGCTTTCCTTTCTTGTTTTTAATGATACCAAAAGTGTACATTTATGTTTGCTAACAAAGATAAAAAACAGTTGTAAACTTCGAGGCAAAGACTTTATTTACGACCTCATTATATTTGCTTTTTATGAAAAAAGAACCCAAAACGAAGCGACGCATTATTCAGTTTATCAGCCATGGTAAAATGTGAATTACAAACCTCTTCCCAAATACATATGCTAACACATCTACCCTGAACCGCAAAAGGTCCCATATATGAGTAGGTATCAGAGAAGTGGTTAACCGCAGTTCCCTCGCGTAACCTACTAATTTAAGGTGTCAACGGACTCCAATCTTTTTGGCATATGAAACCAGCACAGTCATGCACCGTAAAAAATTAACCTTAACCTGGTCAAGTTCTCCTCCCCTTTCTCTTTGTGGCGCTGATGAAAATGATCCTACGAGCTTGTTTGTCTTGGCCAGGAAGACTGCCTGGCGTATCTAGCTATTAGCTGCCCACACAGCAGGACTTGCGATATTATTGCAGCTATAGGATATAGTCGGCCGAACCTTACGAAATTTGGTAGGTCGGATTGATTGGCCAAAAATAAAACCCAAAGAAAATCCCAACTTTTTACTGAAATTATAATACCCTCTGCAAGGGTATAATAATCTATATGTGCCGCTCCGGGCACGGAGCCATAGTTCAAGGACAAGTTTATTGCCAAAAACTAGACGCTGCCAAAACCAAATGTCCTCGATATAGAGCCGTTTATCAGCATTTAACTATCTGCTCATAGTGGCAACTATGAGTCATATGTACATAAATCAATTAGATTTGAATTCGTTTTTCCCAATCTCCACCCTGATGGTAAATTTTAGGTTTTTCTTATCAAAGGAACGAAAACATATGCGTACTCTTTCTTCTATTTTCCCTATTTATGTGACAGAGCGTTGAGCTCTAGCGCCAGATACCAACAGATAATTGTTATTTAATACCCTTATCTAAGTCATTTAAGGCGCGGTATGCGATATCAGTGGTCGGCACTTAGGGCCCCAAATGCCCTGAAAATGTGATTCAACTCACCTGAAACTCTTTGAACTGCTGGTGCGTCTGTACGACGAGCTCGCCGGCTGGTCCGAATGCGATGAAGACGATCGTGGCGATTATAACTCCGATTAGTATCAGAATTAGGTGTTTCGTGCGCATGGCCGCTAAAATCGACTTTGACTTTGCCTTGTAGCCAATTTTGCGAGCAAAAATGCGCTTCAGAGTAAGTGAGGCCTCCAGTCTGAAGGCTTTTCTGGCTTTTCTTTTTAGCCGAGTGGCAAAGTTGGTCTAGTCTCTAGTTCTTTGCATTAAACCAATTTTATTACGTTTTCTTCATTGCAGCTATTGTTTCCATTAGCTTTATTTTGCAACCTGTTAATTAAAAAATAAAGGAAGCAACGTTCAATATTTTTATTTTCTGGGCTTCAATATTTTTGAGTGTTTTAAATAAATACAGATATTTTTCCATCTTACCAATTGGCAATTGCATAATAAACCCAGCAGTGATGAAACGATAAACGAAATAAATTTGTAAATGATGCCAAAATGGACAGAAAAAAATCTAACAAAAATTGATGCATCATGGAGTGGTCACCAACCAATTTTTTTTTCATACCTACTTTTCAAGAGATGGGTAAACATGGGTATCTTTTATTTTTTCGAAATAACGATTTTTAAGGGGTGGTCAAATGATTTTTTCTGCAGGCAAAAATGAGAAAACGATTCTTTGTGATTAAAAAAAAAATTGGAAAAAGTCAACTTTTATGTTTTCGAAAATTTTCGATGATTCTATATTTTTGAAACTAAAGGTGGGCAAAAAAACATATTGGTGGACAAACGATTAATATTTTCAAATTAAAACAAGAGAGAACGCTATAGTCGGGTGCCCCGACTGTCAGATACCCGTTACTCAGGTAAAGGGAGTGCGAGGGAGATGGAGATAGAAACTTTGATCACGCATAACTTTTTAACGAATGGTCCGATTTAAAAAATTTCTTCTACATTTCGATAGGTATTGATAAACACAATATAACTGCATTTTTACTTTTCCGAAATATTAAAATTTTTAAAATCGTATATAAGCGATTGTGGGCGTTAAAGGGGGCGTGGCACCTTTTTGAAACAAACTTGCCAATCTTCTAGCTTTTATAGTTTCCGAGATCTCAGCGTTCATACGGACGGACAGACAGACGGACAGACGGACATGGCTATATCGACTCGGCTAGTGACACTGATCAAGAATATATATACTTTATAGGGTCGGAAACGCTTCCTTCTAGCTGTTACATACTTTTGCACGAATACAATATACCCTTTTACTCTACGAGTAACGGGTATAAATATTCGATTTTAGACCATACTTCTTTGAGCTTAAACAAGTTTACCCTAATGTGCAAACGCATGTTACACGTACGATCGGTAAAAGCCAGTGTCTTATTTGGGAAAGTTTAGTCACTCGCATATCTATGCGTACACCCCGAAAAAATTTCAAAATCAAACTTTAATCAATAATTGTTCGGCCATTTATTCTTGTACTCAAGTCATTATTTTTTTTAACGAATCTTAAGTGTATTGTCTTTAATGGCGTCAGATATGTACATATATTAAACAGTGGGTTATATTTTATTTATTAGCACTAAGAAAAAGTGTACGCCCAAAAGTCTGATTACAGCTGTTTAAAGCTAAGTGGAATGTGCGATTACCGTTAGGACTTTTGACGCCGATCTTCTGCAGAATGTCTAAGCTGTAGGTATTTTTTTTGGGCAGAAAATCCTATCCCACTCCTCCACCCAAAAAATTATAAACAATTGCAATTCGACTGGCAGTATCATGTCAGAGGCTTGTTCTAGCCGTCCGCCCTTGCTAACCAACCGCGAACATAAGACAAAGCTTCAGATCGAAGATAGTTTAAGTCTGCAAGGGTATTAAAACTTCGGCTTGCCAAAGTTAGCTTCCCTCCTCGTTTTTTATTATACCCTTGCAGAGGGTATTATAATTTTGGTCAAAAGTGTGCAACGCAGTGAAGGAGACATCTCCGACCCTATAAAGTATATATATTCTTGATCAGGATCACCTCCTGAGTTGATATAGCCATGTCCGTCTGTCCGTCTGTCCGTCTGTCTGTCCGTCTGTCTGTTTCTACGCGAACTAGACTCTCAGTTTTAAAGATATCGAATTCAAACTTTGCACACACCCTTCTTTCCTTTGCACGCAGTATATAAGTCGGAACGGCCGGGATCGGCCGACTATATCCTATAGCTGCCATATAACTGATTAATCGGAAATGCCATAACTCTGCTGTTTGTTAAGTTAGGAAGTTGGGACTTTCTATGGGTTTTATATTTGGCCAATCAATACGACGTACCAAATTTCATAAGGATCGGCCGACTATATCCTATAGCTGCTATATAACTGATTGATCGGAAATGCCATAACTTTGGTGTTTGTTAAGTTAGGAAGTTGGGACTTTCTATGGGTTTTATTTTTGCCCAATCAATCCGACATATCAAATTTCATAAGGATCGGCCGACTATATTCTATAGCTGTCATATAACTGAACGATTGGAAATGCCATAACTTTGGTGTTTTTAAAGTTAGGAAGTTGGGATTTTTTATGAGTATTAAGAATGCATCATATGAATAATTTTGGAGAATATAATTTGCAGAATATTCTGCAAGGGTATTTCAACTTCGGCTCCGCCCGAAGTTAGCTTTCCTTTCTTGTTTTTTAAAATTTTTTGGATATTCGTATAGGAGCTATATGATACAGATGTCCGATTTTAATTTAATTAAAACCATAATTCCACAGTATTTTAATATTACCAAATCCCAAAGAACAAAAAAAATGTTTAAAAAAAAGTTATAATTTTTTGATTTTTTTCCGATTTTTCCTGCCCGATCCGGCTCTTTCTAACTTATATTCTACCTGCAAAAGAAAGACAACTTTTGGGAAAGTTTCAAGTAGATAGCTTTAAAACTGAGGGACTATTTGAGGAACGGACGGACAGACCAAGAATATATGGTGATCAAGAATATATACTTTAAAGAGTCGGAAATGTCTCCTTCACTGCGTTGCAAACTTTTGACTGAAATTATACTGTCTGCAATGGTATAAACATAGACATAAAGTTCAACAAATTGGTCAAAATTGATACTGACTAATAAAACTAAGAACAAGCTTGCTTAGAAACGGACTGCTGAATAACAGTAAAGAACAAAACTTATTCCATAATTTTAATAGTCACTCATTTGGAGTACTGCATTTCTAAACACCCTCAAAGCGAGCGCCGCGTGGTCACCTTAATGGGGTTAATTTTTTGGCGCAGGGCCAAATAGCGAGTGCAAGGTGAGGGCAATATAGCGACTTACATACATTCGTTCATATGTACATATTTATATTCCAGCAACAATGTGACAATGATGTGCACTGTGCGTCGACTTACTTGTTTTTATAAGGCGCCTTACAAAGGGCAGCGGCTATTTACAGTTGTTTTTGTTGTTTCTCCGCGTTCAGTTGTTGTTGCTAAAGAAGAAATGAAATGAAGGTGGCCCAGAAATTACCGGCGCAGTCTCCATTGAACTCTTTTGATAAGCTCACTCCCTCGCACACACACTCGCACTTATGACTTGTTGTTGGCTCAACACTTTTGAATAATTTACAGATTCTCTGGCTTGCGGATTTTACTTTCGGTTTCGAATTTGCAGCGGTAAATATATGCGAATCACGACGAGGAGCGCACCGGACAAACAAAACACTTGAATTCGATTTTTAATGGACTTCACCAGCGCTTGTTGTTGGCCTGCTTTGTGCATTTTCACCCGCAGCGGAAAAGGGAGGAATCTGCCAGCGGAGGAACAGTTCAGCAACCAAAAATACAGAAAAGTTACTAACTTTACTAGAATAGGAAAGGCCGTGCGCGCTTTTGTCTGGCTCAAAGTTTATTTTATGCAAATTCGTTGCGTGATAGTGGTGAGGTGTAGAAACATCGATCACTCTTTTGGCATATCGATATTTTAAGGGCATCGAGATAATCGAATTAGGTGCCATTCACACTGCAGTCGAGCTATATTGTTATCGAGTTAAGAACACAACTCTCCTTACATACAAAGGCTTAGCATAGTTAAGAAACATAAATATTAATTTTAAAAAAAATGTTTATATAAGTATTCATCATTTCCTAATAAAAAAATATTAGAAAAAATAGCCCCACATTCCGCCCAACGCACATATTTTTACACAGGAGCTCCCATTTGTCGTTAAAACAAACGGTTAACAAATTTTTTAAATTGTGTATAAGAGTGATTTGCGTTAAACGCTTCTATTATATACAGCATAACATTACTGACACTTTTTGATATTTTGCAAGTTTTCAAAGCGTCAAGATCCGTTTTCGCCCACTTCCTTACAAGAGCGTTGCGAACAATTGTTTGCGACCGATACAAAGCAAGGAATTCATCTTCTTTTTTATGAATAAGGTGACCACTAGTCCCTGATCCATCAGTTTCTGCTTAAATATATGTTTTTAAATTTAATTGATTAACTAAATACTTTTAAAATACTTAAACCAACCCAATTTCAGAGCACACTAATAGCAACAGCGAGTTGTACCGATTAAACCTTACGATCCCGTAAATGGATAGTTGTAGACGAAAATAAACCATTTTTTATTAACTTATCTGTTTTAAAATAAAATTTATACGTGTTGGCTACAATATTATGTAAATTTTGGTTCGCATCTCTGGTATTTGACTACGTTACGTTTTTAGAAACTTGCGATGGTCTGGCAACTCGGCGTTCCCACACACACATTTGCCAGCAAATGTATCGGAAATATGCAGTGTTAAAATATTGAAAAACTAGTTTGCAAACACAACCGATAAGTGCGAATAATAAGAGGTTACAATACTAAATTAAATGGTAAACAAACGCATATGGCCGGACTAAAAATCTGGATAGAGTAGACAGTGAAAGCCAGAACCCTCTCTGGAATGCGAGTGTGTGTGTGCGTGTCTGTGTTGACAAAATACAACAAATCGGAGCGAAAACAGGAAGTGTGTGAACGATAAAACATATAGATTGAACATTCCGTATTGAAATAAAAGACTAAAAGTCTGGCGCTGTAACAGGGGTCTTTATGTCTAGACCACTCACGTTAACCGAAGATCTGGGGGCGTTATTTTTTTAGTGGTGCCATGTTTTTCTGGCTTTGCGGCTGATGCTGCGTTGAGTTCACCAAATATTTATTGAAACATCACGTCATTTGTGCTACAAAACTGAAAACCCCATTGTCGGTAGAATTTATTGCACTGCATTTAAATAAAACGATGATTGTGTGCGTCATACAATTATTAGCTATAGTATAATTATAGTATGTTGTTGCGAATAGCTTTCGTATGTTAATACTTCGTTTTTTTTTTTTATCAAAGTTTCGCGCTATCGCCCAGCCAGCTCAGAAGCGGCCGCTCCCCAACTGAGAGCGCGGAGAACCCAGCTCTGGCAACTTGCTCCTCTGAATCCTCCCCCAAATACTTTCCCGCCGGATCCGGCCTCCATATGACGGACGGCGAGCAGCAGGATGCGCTGGTCAAACGGGCCGAGGACGAGCGCGAGGACATCTTCCGGCGCTACGAGCTGGGCTTGGATCCCAGCAACGTGGTAGACTCCTGGGAGAATCCAACTTTGGAGATCTATCACAAGACAGACAAGTAAGAGGGCTAAAATCGAAAGTACCCCAGCCAGGTCCAAAACCGATTAATATCTTATTGATCTACAGATATGGCTTTATGCACGACTCCCGCCTACCGTCGACGCGGGATGCCCAGGAGAAGCATCGCACCAAGATCGAGCTGGAGCGAGACATGAAGTGGATGAAGATGCTCAACCAGTGGCCCCCGCCTCAGGATAAGCTGCATAAGCGCGTATACAAGGGCATACCGAATCGTGTGCGCATACTAGCATGGAATAAGCTGCTAAATGTAGAGCATTCGATAGAAAGCAATGCTGGCGTCTATTCGCGCATGCTGCTGCTGGCCAGGAAGTACTCTACGGAGACGCGACAGATCGATGCGGATGTGAATCGGCAGTTTCGTGACAATATGGCCTTTCGTGAGCGCTACAGCGTGAAGCAGTGCTCGCTGTTCAACGTTCTCAACGCCTACAGCATCTACAACTCGGAGCTGGGCTACTGCCAAGGCATGGCCTGTGTGGCCGGTGTGTTGCTGCTTTTCTTGCATGAGGAGCAGGCCTTCTGGGCACTGAATACCCTGATCACAGACCATAAATACGGAATGCACGGGCTGTTTATTGAGGGATTCCCTAAGCTGACGCGATTTATTGACCACCATGATCGCATCATGTCAAAGATAATGCGTAAACTACACAAGCACTTTACCAAACACAACGTAGACGCACTTTTGTACGCCATTAAGTGGTTCTTCGTCGTCTTCGTGGAGCGGGTTAGTAAATACAACACATAATTATTATCCAAATAAATAGAACAATCATCTTTTTGCAGGTCCCTTTCAGTTTAAGTCTACGCGTGTGGGACATTTTCATGTTAGATGGAGATCGCGTTATTCTGTCCATGGCCATTACCATTCTGTATCTTCACAAAGACGAGCTGCTGCGCCTGAAAGACATGGACGCCATTATTGAGTATTTGCAAGTAAAGCTGCACAAGAACTTCGGTTACAGCGACGACGACGCCATTCAGGCCCTGGAACGAGTGATGAAGAAACTCAAGGACCTCAAGCTGGATGTGCCGCCGCCAGCCAAGTCGAATGAGTTCCCCACCCGCAAACTGGGCGTCTTTGTGGAGGCGGACATGGAGAAGAAGATCGGGCGCAGACGCAACGATTACACAGACGCAGAGAAACAAGTCATAACAGATGTGATATCAAGGTGGGATCCAGAAAAATGGTATTGTTATATTGGTTTAGATAATGTTTATTTGACTTGCAGACAAGAACAAAATGCGATTGAGGTTCAATCCACAGTGTCCTATGAGACTTCAGAGTGCGCCACGGGTGAGTCTTAAAAAACACACAAGTCCTAACACTGTTAATCTTTTAATACTAATGCTTGCTTTAAACAACCCACTTACCCCCGACTGTAAATATAATCTGCAATCCAATTGAAAATCCCATTATTATTTTGTATTGTGTGGTGCAAGTTTATCACAAATTGTGTGTATATTGATGTAAATGTAAACAAAAACACGAGCAGTTTCCCAAAACAAACTTAAATTCGTGTTGTCTTATATGTAATCATATGTAAAAAATCCTGCTTAGTTTTAGAATAAGATATGATTTTTTTTCTTATATGATGTATTATTTTCCATTTAATTTTAAATTAAGTTCGTAGCCACATTCAGCGGGTCATCGCCCAAGGGCGTCATCTCGCTGGCCGAAGCATTAAACTAATTTAATAACATGCTGATATTGACCTTTGCACGCCGGAAGAAGAAAACTCTTATCCTTTTAATTTCATCATTGAAACGAGAGAGTCGTTGTTAGTGGTTCTGGATGGAATAAAAAGTTTTAGACGTACCCCTTAGATGTAACGGATCGAATGGGCACTAATTCTAGTTGTATGTGAAAGGTATTAGCTTTTAAGGGCCAATAACCAAGGCAACCACAAAATCTGTTCATGCTTATTAAATACGCCCACTCAACGTTCATGTAATCGGATGATCCATTTTGTAACCATTCTCTAACATTGTCCGCTGCGTGTACATATATCCGTTTCAATCTCAAACCACCGCTTCTGCGTCTTCCTGGCAATTGGAGCTGCAAAAACCGAAATCAGACATGACCTAATCCGCAATCGCTTCTGTAATTTTGTTCCTAGGTGATGGATACTCAATGAAAACCTTTGAGAGTATCACTAGCTTAGCCACTTCTCCGGCGAATAGTAGCTACTCGCTGTACAGCAACGGATTAGTGGTGACCAATATTGATAGTGCCCAAGACTCCGCTCGAAGCCAGAGTATCCATAATCTCAGCTACCTGCAGCCGCATCCAGCTCTGCCCTACGGGTTACAGCATATGCGGCACAGCTTCAGCAGCGATAGCGATAGTCGCAATCGCCTCGATCTGGATCAAGCTCTGGAGGTGCTCCAGCAACAGCAACTGCCCCTGAACCCGAAGAGTTCGAGCAGCCAGGTGGTGTATATTATTCAAAACGGAGGCGGAGGCCGACACATGGACGAGCATCGGGATATAGCGGATGACGACGACGATGATGCGCTGAGCGTTGAGAACACGCGCCTCTAATTTTAGTTGATTCGTATTTCGTAATGTTTCCTTATGTAGTTAATGTTTTCCTATCTGGTTCGATTCCCCCAAAAACCTTGAACATTCGTTAGTAATATCCACTCGTACTTAGCTTTCATTTTTGTATTGCCGAACCAACAGGAAACTATAATTGTTATTCAGCATCATTGATGTTTGTATTTAATGTTTTTTCCACTTTCTTTCTTGTCCTGAAAGCTGATAACTCTTAAGACTCCAACTATTCCGTTTAAAACTACGTACAACGATTAATATTTATTGTTATTCGCCTAGCTACTTTTCCACACTTCTTTATACCTTCTATCCTACTAATTACGTACTTTAAGCTTTACTTTTGCATTTACATATTTTTGCTCTACGAAAGAAACTCAACTTTAGTTTATGTTAAAGCCAAATTGAAATGGTAGTTGTAATCTGATTAGCCAATAATTATATGATTATACATATAGCGAAACGTACCACACAAATAAATATGATTTTGTACTGAAAAGAACACACTCGCCAGCATGGTTGATACCACAGTCAGCATTATATATTATTGTACTGCCAGAACTGTTTCAGGTTCAGAGCCGAGTATTAATCCGAAGTATTTGACTCAAATTGCACCTCACAAAAAACAATGTCAACAACACTAACATCGCTAACTAAATTTCACATTGCCACAATCACAACCGAAAACTAAATGCAATTTTCCAAAAATCACCCTTTTTTTTAACGCATTGGCAACATGACAACCTGGGATTGGTCAAACTAAATCGAAAAAATACGACAAACTCAAAAACGTTTACCTATAAACGAAAATTATTAGTTACGCTTACTGTTCCCGAGGATTCCCACTCAATACGAAGTTCGCTTGCAGGTACTTCAGTTGCCTCGCACGGCTCGTCGGAGACCATGTCACTGGAGGACAATAAGTAAGTAGATTTATCAGTCAGTTTAAGTCAAAATGATAAACTTACAAAGTTTAATTATTGATTTATTATTGAACACAAAATGTAAAGCTGGTGGTAATAGGAGCACCAACTGCAAGTGCAGTTTCATTTTGAAAGTTTTACAACCAACTTAATCAGGTTGAGGAGAGATTAGACTCTTACTTACGATCAAGTATCATAAACTAACCTTGGGTATCCTGTACCTCTTGCAGTATCCACCTGAGGACCGCCAACATGCTGCAGAGCACTCCGCAGCGTGAGATGCTTCTGGGCACCTGACGTCAGCTGCCGCCTGCGTTTTCCACGGCACAGGCAGCTGCAGATACTCGCCACCCACTAACTACAGCCACCTCTACGGGGCTAGGAGTAGCAGGAGCTTCAGGAGTTAGTCCCATTTGTTCACCAAGAGCTACCCCCACGCCGCCTCCCGTGCCGCCTAGATCTCCGCTGACGCTGGGATGACTAGCAAAGCAAAAGGCAGCGACAAACCGCAGTGAGATCACTTAGTTTCTGATGCTCGTCGTCGTCTGCCTTTGCTTAGCTTTAAGTATTCTAGACCTGCCACCGCAAAAACCACTACAACTAGGACTTTCTTAGGGGCCGTAGCATTAGCAGGCATCAAGCTTCCAGAAGTCAGGTGTTACACCCTTTGTATATACTCCACGGGTGAACATATTGTTCTAGCAGAGAAACTTCGGACACGACTTGTTAGTGGAAACCGTTTCTGGGATAGATGCGCCAAATTAAACTTAAAGAAGTTACAAGTCGAACATTTGATAAAAGCAATCGAGAATTACATACGCAAAATGATAATGGAACAATATTAAAACAAGAGCAAATCGTATCTAATACAACTACAAAGCGGTTAGAAATCTATTATATTGCATATTGAATTCAACTCCAAATATATATTATAGAAATTGTTGTAAATTGTACTTGTATATACGTACCGAACAAAATACAAAGCAACGTTAAAATGTTACGTCCATGAAATGCAAACGAATGTAAAGGCGAAAGGCAACCAAATATAAATTAAAATCGAATGATTACTCTAGATATATGTATAGTTATACCAGCATAGCAGAACAAACTGACAAATGTATTTATAATTAATTTCATGATTAACCTTTACAAGAACATGAATCACTAGCTTAAGTTTCTCGGCAAACGGAATTATGATTAATTAAGTTTAAATTATGTTCAAGAGTGTTTCAAAATAAAACTGTCAACTGAAGCTAAGCTAATTCAAAGACTTGGTGTCCAACTTTCCGCCCTTTTCAATTATAGAGCCTAGATCTTTGAGGGACACCTCCCCGGATCCTCGTTCCAGGGGTTGTGGTTGGTTAGGTCCTGGTTTCCAGCCAACAAAGTATATAATTTGGAAGGTTGCAGGTATGCCCTTTTCGTTGGGCTTGTTGTACAGCTCCTGGTAAATGGCACTTGCCGCCAACATTGTTTCCCGACTGAGATGGGCGGGCCGATTAAAAGCAGCATTGTTCTCCGCCATTCCCTTGAGATCCCACATTAGTTCGAACATGCTGGGGTAGCCGATTACTAATTCGTCGGTGTCTATGGTCAGCATGGTGAAGCCGGCGCGATTTAGCAGGGATCCAATGTCACGAATCTGGGTAAACGGCGAGATGTGCGGGGATATTCCCCCTTTGCGTTCCAGCTCTGCTAGTTGAAGAGAAGAACGCAGCTCGTACAGAGTGTCTCCGCCAAACATGGAGGCAATGAACACTCCATCCGGTTTCAGACTACGTTTGATCTTGGCAAAGCAGCCGGGCAGATCATTTACCCAGTGAAGACTTAAACTGGATATGACCAGATCCAAGGAGTTATCCTCAAACTAAAAAGTTGTCTGGTTAAAAACTATGACTCTGAGTAAATAACCTTTTTGCCCACATCCAGTTCTTCCTCATCCTTGACTAGTTTCAACATTTGAAGGCCGGGAGTGCCTTGCGCCTGCTCCAGCATGGCGGCACTGGTGTCCGTGAGAGTAAGGTGCTCCACGCTCTCCGCGAGAATGTGTTTGGACAGGTACCCACGACTGCATCCTATGTCCGCCGCTGCCTTAAATTCTCGCTTGATGTCAAACACTCTATCGGCCAGTCGAAACCCCACCTCCTCCTTGAGATAATCGTATAGTCCGACATCTTTGCTGTTAAATGTGGTAGGTCTTACAAGAGGTAAAAGGGCAAATGGGCAAAACTCACCTGAGGGCGGCTCTTTCCTTTTGCAATCGCTTGGCATTGCGGTCGAAAATGTTTTGCGAGGTTTGGGTAAGTGAGGAGAGAGGACGAAGCTCCCACCTTACCTTTAATGTGGATATTTTGGTCAACTTTCTTATCATCATTCCGCTTTGGGTGCTGTAATAGACCCAGCTTTCAGTTTTTTAATAATGACAATATATACATCAGTAAATAAGCTGTTTATTGGTATGCAGTATTCCCTAAACGAATATTACGCTGAATCGTGGAATTTCGTGCAGCTGTTGACCAGCTGTTAGAGCCTGATGTTCCAGAAAAAAAAGCAAACATCTATTCGATATTTTTAACAGCGATCTCAACATCGATGTATCGATGTATCTGCCCAACTTCGTTTCCTTTACAAAATCCTCTAACACCACCGGAACCACCAAAACGAAACGCTTTGAATTATTAAAAAACAAAATTGCGACCATTGCCATTTTCCAACAGATCTGATTCCATAATCATGCTAAGACAGTACTTGGTCAGACAACATGCGGACGAGGAAGTGGATCCATTGCTGACTTTAATACAAATTTTTTTATTTATTTTTTTATTTTGTTCAAAACATCGGGAAAACCAGAGCTGTCTTTCTTTTTCATTAACAAGGCTTAACACTTTTAAATTAACAGTTTAGTAAAGTATCTTTTAGTTGTATATAATTATGCCTACTTTAAGTCAATAAAAGAAACTTAGATCAAATAATATAAAATAACATATTTTTAAGTCTTAATAATTTAAAAAAATCGTTTTGAAAAGTGCACCAAATGTCAAAAGTCTAGTAAAACGAATCATCGATATATAACAGTATTTTTCTGGTAGATATAATAGAGTGTTCGGGCCAAATCAGTCTTATAAACATTTATTTCTCATTATTTTCTCTCATGGTACATTCCTTCGGGAGCCCCTGTGTAAGATAATGTGCGTTGGGCACAATTTGAAAATATGTGAAACAGGAATTGGTCTATTAAACAAATATTCGCCACAACTCTTCTTTCAGTATTGAAAGCGAACGAAACCAAAACAACAGGAGCGCGTCGTTAGACAACACTACTCGTCAGTGTTTTGGCGCCAAAAGCGACAAAGATAAATGCCACGGAATATTTGTATTTAAAATTAAAGACATGAGTTTCTCGCGCAGCGCCCTACGGTATGCGCACACCAATGGCTACACAGGGCTTCTCTACACTCCTCGCGGCGAGTTTATCATTACGTGTGGCACAGATGGAGACATTCGGCACTGGACTTGCATCAGTGACGATGATCCACGCTCCACTTGCTTGGGCGAATTCGTCATGTGCATGGCCCACACGGGAACCCGGCTGCTGGCCTCCACGGATCGCAACACTGTGCACGCCTACACCTTTCCCGAGATGGACAGCGATGGCATACTCATGCGGTTCACGGCTCCTGCAACGTGCCTCAAGGTTGCCGGGGGCTACACGGCTGCCGGGAGCGAGGATACCACCATTAAGGTGCTCAAAGGAGAGGCAGCTGGCAATGAAATTATTCTGGAGGGGCATTCGGGACCGGTTTTGGCGCTGGATATGGCCGTGGAGAGAAGACTGCTTGTTTCCGTGGCAGGAGACGGTCAACTGAAGATTTGGAACTTCGAGGAGGGTAAGGAACTAAAAAGCATCGGTGGTCTGCCAAAAGTTAACAGTTTCGAGAATGCAAGTCTTTATGGCACACCCCATTTCGAACCACATAGCGGTGAATTCCTGGCGTATGCTTTGGACAACGAGATTGTGGTTCTAAACACGGCCAACTGGGAGGTGGCCTTCAAGCTGCGCGATAACTCGGTGTCCAGCAACTACAGCTGCTGCCAGTTCTCGCCTAACGGTGAACACCTGGCCGCGGGAACAACCAAGGGCGAGGTGAGCATTTTCGATGTCAAGAAGCGAAAGGCTGTGCCAGTGGAGATGCCGCCCAATGACTGCAATTCCATAACGTGCCTGGCCTGGAATCGTTCTGGAGAGGAGGAGGTGGCCTTCTGCGATGCCACTGGGCAGCTGGGCACCGTGTTCCTCAGCGATGCAGCCGACTCAGGCGGTGCGGAGGCATTGGAGGATCACCAGGCCGAGCTGTTGGGCAATGACTTCGAGTTTGTCGGTGATGATGACTTGGAAGGCGCAGCCAATGACGGCGATGGTGTTAGTCTGGAGCAGCTGAAACGAAAGGTTATGAACTTTGCTGATCCCGTGGAAAACGATGAGACCTCAAACCAATCCCTGGCCAGCAGCAGCCGAAGTGCTCCAGCTCCGGCTGCCCACCAAATCAAGCTTTTTAAGCAGCAGATGGCCTTCCAGCCAAGCGCCACGCCCAGTGATCTGGACCACCGCTATATGGCTTGGAATGATGTGGGCATTGTTACTGCCCATGTAGAACCCTCTGGCGATGGCGCTATCGACGTGGAGTTCCACGATGCCAGCATCCATCACGCCCTGCATATCAGCAACTACAATCAGCACAATTTAGCCAGTGTGAGTAGTGGAGCTTTGGCCCTGGCCTCCAACGAATCCAGCAAGCTGGTGGTGATTGCTTTGGCCGCAGCCGGAAACAAGGAGTGGTCACTCAGCCTGCCGGACTGCGAGACTGTGGACGCCCTAGTCGCCACCAGTCATTTAGTGGCCGTGGCGACCAGCTCTAGTTTCCTGCGTATCTTCAGCGTGATGGGCACACAGCGGGAAGTGCTAACCATTCCGGGACCTGTGGTGGCTCTTTCCGGGAACGAGCACAGCCTGATGGTAATTTATCACAGTTCTGCGCCTAGCCAGACGCAGCAGCATCTTTCCGCCATGCTGGTCAACACAAATGGCCTGAGTTTGCGCCTTGAGCATCTGCCAGTGCCGTTGACCCCGGGAAGACAGCTCGCCTGGCTGGGCTATAGCGACACCGGATCACCGAGCATCGCCGACAACATGGGTCTCCTGCAGTTGTACCGTCGAAGCAGCAACGCCTGGTTCCCCATTTGTGACACCATGAAACAGAGCACCAGTGTGTCGAACAACTACTTTGTGGTGGCCGTTTCTGAGCGCCGTCAGATAGTCCAAGCGGTGTTGTGCCGTGGCTCCTCCTATCCCATGACCAATCCAAGGCCCATGCTTCAGGAGCTGCGCATGCAGATCCCGCTCTGCGACATCGACGTGGAAAAGTCCGAGCTGGAGGATGCCCTGCTTCGTTCGAGTCTAATGCAGGTGGAGGGTGCAGAGAAGATGCAGAGGGAGACGGCCATCAAGTTGTTTGCCTTAGCGTGCAGCAGCGAGTGCGAGACGCGGGCTAGGGAGCTAATAGAATCGATTGCCTGCACCGATCTGCTCCAACTGGCGGTAAAATATGCTACAAAGCGCGGACGCATTCACTTATCCGATCGCCTATGCGAGTTGCTGCCGCAATTGGAGGCTGTACAAGAGGCTCGGAAGCAACAGACTATGTTGGGAGCCAGTGGCATTGCTGCTACCATTGTCCTGCCCATGACTCCCACATCTGGCTCGCAGTCGGGTCCTAAGCCTAAGGCCATCGAGTTGAGCTCGACCAAGCGGGGCTCCTTGAAGAGATTAGTTAACTCACCAAATATGTTTAAATCAGCTTCGGTGGCATCTCGTCCGTCTACTCCGGATATTTTACAATCTCCCCTGGATACCCAGGAGAATATATTCGGCGAATCCGAGTCCGAGGTTCCCATGGGAAAAACGCCGGAACACAGGACTCTTTTGAATTCGGTCAATCCGTTCGCCATGAAGCGCAAACTGGGTGATACTGGAGTTATTTTTGGATCCGAGAAGCTCAAGTTGGCCAAGAAATAGTTTATTTGTAGATTGTTAAGTAGGTTTAAGGCTTATATTCTAAATAAAAGAAAAAATCTTGTCCCTTATACAGCATTAAGTTACTCAAAAATTCTTTCATTCTAGCCATTTTATGACTTTCTTTTCCAGAAATAATCCGTTTTAATACCCGTTACTCGTAGAGTAAATTCAAAAAAAGTTTTTGATGGTCAAACCATCTTTTGAAATTTGTAATTTAGATTTCATTTTGCTCTGCTGTTAAATTTAAATACCTAATTTAAAAAATTCATTCAAATTAAAACACCTACATATAAGGCTGGAAAGACGACCATCCGTTAAATTACCTATTTAATAACGACAGAGTGGCTTTAGTATTATTATCCCTTAAACTAGCGGTTATGTGAATTTAAAAATTTGCATTTTTGGTTTTAACTTATCTTTCCACAGACAATTATGTGTATTACAAACAAGTTTACCTAGAGCAGAAAAACTTTTTATGTATACAACAATTTACAACAAATATTAAAGTAATATAAAAACAAAAATCCTCTTTGTTTTTGCTTTAAAATTGAATTCAAATGTTATGCTTTCACTAAGCTTTTACTTGGAATTCTTAAATGCAAAAGTGTGACCGCACTTGTGCCTTATAAAATACCAAAGTTGCGGTTTGCCACGATCAATCGATTCGATGACAACATTCAATCGTAACGAACTCCAAATTCGGGACTTTCCACGAAAATCAAGTCAGTCATGCTTTCGTTTTAGTTTTATTTTATTAAAAGTGTTACACCATAAAATTTCAATACAAACATACACTCGCACACAAAATAAAAAAAAAACATAAGGTCAGGTCATAATTGATAGGCGCCACAGCCAAAAAAAACACTAAGTAATAAATAAAATTCGCAGTGATAAGTAAGTATGGCGGCAGTGAATGTTTATCAAGTTCCCTTTGTTTACCCAATTCTAGAACAGAAAGGGAAGCTTGTGGAATCCATGGTAGATCTAGTTCCGGTGAACTGGTCCCCGTTATTTAGAAAGGCTTTCTGCTGCACTCAAGAAGGTTTTAATTCTCGAGAGGTGTTTTTCAAAAATTACCTAAACTTCAACTCGATAGATGATCAGGCTAAAGTTGTTTATTAATTTTAGTCATTAAAAATTTCCTCAGGGTATTATTCAAAATAACCCGACTCCCCTCTGTACGCCTCTGCAAGCACATATGTACATATAAAAGACGCTGGCGCATCGTCTGTTTATTCGTTGGCTAAACGTCGCGTCGTGCACTTCGATCGTCAGCCGCTCTGATATTTTATATATTATATTGATATATGTACATAAGTCCCGTCTGTGTGTGTCTGGTTGAGCTTTGTGTTCGCGTTAAATATCTAAACTGCGATCGTATTATAAAAAATCAGTTAAATCAACAGATAGCAATCCTACCCTTTGTGTGAGTGAGTGCATAAAATAGACAACAAAAGATCAAGAAAAAAAACAAGCATCCAAAATGACGAAGAATAAAAATCAAAAAAAAAAGGCGACCGCTGCGAAAAAAAATAACAATAACAATGGGGCCGATACTGCGATCGATTTGCTAACACCTCCGGCAACGCCGCCGGCCAACAGCGGTGTCAAAGCCCCTGGCACCTACGCCAATGGGACTCCACGGAAACCGCCCGTGCCATGGGGTAAATTATATTATATATTTGCCATTTCATCACATCTGACCGATTTACCTGGCCACAGAGCGCGAGTTTATTGGAACGTTTCTCCTGGAGATGGCCGGGCGCCAGGTGATCAGCGCTCAGACCGAGTGGTATGTGGACAAGATCAAGATGCGCCATATGTTCGAAGCCCACCTCGGATGTCTGCACAATAGCAGCGAGGTGCGGCTGAAGCTCTCCATCCAAGGAGCCTGGAATGTGAGTACCGAAAATTATACTATATTATCATGTTATTTATTTCCTTTGTCTATATATAGTTGTCTTTGTTAGTATAAACAAATTAAAATCCTTTTTTTACTATTTGTTATACCTTCGCAGCAGGGCTTTATAATTTTGGTCAGAAGTTTGTAATGCAGTAAAATTTGCATTTTCGACCCTAGAAAGTATATATGTATGTATATTTTGATTCATGATAACTAGTATGTTTCTGAACCGTATACGGCCTCAGTATATTAAATTTTTAAATATTAAATTTTAGCAATTAAGTTTGAATCGCAGCAATGGGATATAGACGTTTCAAATTGGCTTCCGTCCTCGTTTTAATGTTAGTTCCCTTTTGAGTTACGCATAACAATTTTAAATTTACAGTACGAGTTTTATTTTTTATAGAATACTCATTTTTATGTTAGTTATATTTTGTTTAAAAAACATTAACATTTAAATTATTAATTCCAATATTGTTTTGGTGAATTTTTAAAATAAGCTCATGGTATAAACATTCCTTCAATGTTCCCAGAGTAATCAAGAAATATAGAATACTAACACTCATACCGATTCGCTAGCCCACCCGCGATAAGAGTGTGTTTTGCATCATTTCCCTTGTTTTGCGCCAAACATTCGCTTTGTATTATCAACACAAGTCACTACCACTGCCATATTCGATCAACGATGTGTCTAAATCATTTGCTAGCAAGTCGTCTAATAACTCGCTCAAGCATATGAGTCATTCAACAGCGCGATTGCCCCACCTGATTCATCTTTCGCTGTGTTAATTTTGGGGATGCCCTTTTACTTTTATATAAATTGGATAAACATTTTTGATTGCACGGAGTCTTCAAAAATCTTCTCTGAAGGTAATTGTGCGATTAGACTTTAGATTAGACTTTTTTTTTTAGCCTTTTTCTGATTAACTGCATGCTACTCAAGTGGGTGCACACATGTTTTAAGCTTGTTTAGGGGAGTCCCAGGTGGTAGTGTTTTAGGTTTATCGGTCGCCATCTATACTGCTTATAACCTACTGGTTGTTACGTAAAAAAACATGTTAGTCATGAAATTATTGTACATTTAGAATCTGGGTACACATCGCTTTGGATAGTATAAATAAAAGTGTTATTTGTAATTTGATAACATAAACAACCCTATGAATGCATTTTTTGTAAACGGCATAAAACTGCATAATTTGTTGCCTAAAGACGTTCATGTTGAATTACTTGAATGATAACAATATTGACAACCTTTATAAAAGGTATAATCGTCTTTGTTTTAATTTAGTTCTTTAGGAGTCAAATAGCATATTGGCATAGACAGATGTATAAATATATATTTATACCCTTGCAGAGGGTATTATAATTTTGGTCAAAAGTGTGCAACGCAGTGAAGGAGACATATCCGACTGCGTCCGACATCTATAAAGTATATATAAAATATATATATTCTTGATCAGGATCGCGGCCTGAGTTGATATAAGCATGTCCGTCTGTCCGCCTGTCCGTCGGTATGCTTGGACGCAGTATATAAGTCGGAACGGCCGGAAATGCCATAACTTTGGTCTTTGTAAGGTTAGGAAGTTGGGATTTTCTATGGGTTTTATATTTGGCCAATTTATCCGACTTACAAAATGTCATAAGGATCGGCCGGCTATATTCTATAGCTGCCATATAACTGAACGATTGAAAATGCCATAACTTTAGACGGCCGATACTTATGAAATTTGGTAGGTCGGATTGATTGGCCAAAAATAAAACCCATAGAAAGTACCAACTTCCTACCTTTACAAAGTTATGGCATTTCCGATCAATCAGTTGTATGCCACCAATGGGATATAGTCGGCCGATCTCGGCCGTTCCGACTTATATACTTTGTGCAAAGTAAAGCAGGGTGTTAGCAAAGTTTCAATTCGATATCTTTAAAACTGAGAGACTAGTTTGCGTAGAAACAGACAGACGGACATGCTTATATCAACTCAGGAGGCGATCCTGATCAAGAATATATATACTTTATAGGGTCGGAGGTGTCTCCTTCACTGCGTTGCACACTTTTGACCAAAATTATAATACCTCTGCAAGGGTATAAAAATATTGCTTATATATTAAGATTATAACGACTGAATTAAGTGATTCCCCGTTTTCTTTGTTACGAAAAACAATGCCCTTATTATAGTATAGGCTGTAGTAGTCTTAACACATTGCAGATTGTAGACGATCAGATATCCGAGGAAGACGTGCGATAAGAAGACATTCAATAACAGAGCTGGGTGGTTTATGTAAACAATAACAAGTGGAATTAAATGCTTTGTCTCGTTTCTAACCCGATCTGAACAGATTGGATCTTTGCTGCATAGGACAAATTTTCTGATCAACACTCCGCGTGGAAATAATAACTATCGCATTAAGAGCTTCGCCTTAATGGATTTTCGCAAGGAGAAGTTCAATTTGCTCGATGAACAGCACCGTATGCGAGATGCCGCTTCCCCGTCCAATATTCCCGGAACTCCTGCGGAGAACAACAAACCCATTGCTGAAGGTAGTATATGCATATTTTGACAAATCTTTCAAACTGCATGAGAGTTATGTTTGCAGAATACAAACTCGATGCGAAGGCTACGGCCACGCTTCTGAAATACCAAAAGACGAATGCGCAGAAAATGGAAATTGATTTCGAGCTTAACTCTCTGGGTTGCTATATCTGCCAAGAGAACTTTGATACAATTGAGAAGTATGAGGAGCATGTGGAGGACCATGGCGATGAGTCTGATTTTAAGTCCCTCAAAAAGATGCAAAAGTTGTAAGTTTAGATAAGGACACTTTACATGTATATGCAAACAAAATAATATGATATCTTTACGTTTGAAAATGGTAAATTTATTATTCTATAAATAATACGATATATTCTTATATCGCTGGACCATTTATCTTTTGATTGACGATGTTTTGGTGATTATAGAAAAAACTGTTATAAATATAAAAACAGTTTCTTTTTTAAATTTTCCACTTCTCAATTTGCTATACTTATGAATAAAATAAAACTTTTGTATGTATCAATAATATAATTTTAAAATGACTTCGCTGTATTCGAAAACCTAAATATTTATGTGAAAAATTCCAAACTGATGACCATTTTAAATGATTCAGTTAAAATAACATTGCGATGTTGTCTTTTGCGCAGTTCCTCGCCTATGGTGACCCTCTGTTATCAAACCTGCGTGGACAGTCACTACTTTGGATTTACCTTAAAGACCGACCACAAGGATTTGGTGGTGGACAAGTTCATAATAGTGCAGTCGCGTCAGTTCTACTACGTATACAATGCGCGTATGCCGCTAAAGGTGCCGACGAGCGGAGAACTCGTCTTCTTTGTGGACTCGCACGTCTTTATGATCCTCCGGGAGCAGCCTATTGTGATCGGGTTCACCAGCCAGGGACAAAGCTATGTGGAGCAGCACCACTTTATGCGAACGGAGGCGCTGCCCAAGGCCAGCTTCAACATCAATCCGTACCGGCTGTCCAACCACGAGACCTTTAAGAGTCAAGGTCTTCCGCCAGCCACTCCGCCCACACAGGTGGTGAGTGCCCTTAAGCACGAGGATGCCCAGGTTCGGCTGGCGGACTTGGACAAGCACTATCGCAACTACTGTGAGAGAGGCAGGGAGATCACCCAGGAGAACTTAAGCGGGGCACTGCGCACCCTGCTCCAGGTGGAGGACATAGAACGGCTGCAGCACTATTTGGCCCTTAAGCAGTCCAAAATGGAGCTGCACCAGTTCGGACGCGAACTCTCGGTGAAGATGAAGCTGGGCGTCACCAATATGAGCGTGGAGGATGTACTTTCTCCTTACGACGATGTGCTGATCATTAACGAACGGGGAAATCCGGATTCGGGTGTACGGCGTCTGCTTGAAAACACCAACCAGGTGCTGGAACTGGCCCTCAAGGATTTCGACTCCATCGTGCAGTGGGCTCGCGAGGTGGACGGTAAATTCGGATCGCTGGACAAGCAGCCACGCGTCTATTTTGCCCGCGTCCTTGGTGTCTCCACCCAAAGAGTGAACATCACATGTGAACGACAGCTGCCGGATAATACCACCTATACCCTCATCTTTCGACCGCTTCGGGCAGTGATGCGTTACCAGTATCGGGCACTTCAGCAGCTCGATCTCACCAGGGCCTCCGATGTGCAGAGGATCCTTTTTCCCGGTGAAATTCCCCGCGAGCCGGTTGCCCATGGCATCTTGGAACTGAACAATCGGCGAATATCCAGCAATCCGGAGCAGATGCAGGCGGTGCAGCAGATAGCACTGAGCAAGAAGCTACCAGCACCCTATATCGTGATTGGACCACCGGGAACGGGCAAGACGGCGACCATTTGCGAGGCCATTTACCAGTTGTATGTGCGCCGACCGGAAACGCACATCCTGGTGCTGTCTGGTTCGAACACGGCCTGCGACGAAGTGGCACTGCGATTGCTCCGGGCCATCGCAAAGGCTCCGGAGAGCCAGCCGCGACCACTCACCCGTGTCTTTTCCGCAAGCTGCGACCGTCGCATCGACAACATCGACGATTTGCTGCTGGAGTACTCCAATATGTACGGCGTACACTTTTATCCAGCCGTTCAGGCGGTGCACCAGTATCGTATTGTGGTCTGCACCTTAAGTTTGGCCGGAAAGCTATCTACTGGGGGATTCGCCAAAGGAGATGTCTTTTCGCATGTTTTCGTAGACGAGGCGGCCGCTTCCACGGAGGCGGAGGCTTTGATGGGCATAACCTGCACCATATCGCCGACGTCTAATTTAATCTTGTCCGGGGATCATAAGCAACTGGGACCGGTGCTGCAGTCGCAGCGCGCCAACGAATGGGGTCTGGGATTGTCACTTTTTGAAAGACTTCTGCAGAGGAAGTGTTACCAGTTGGACGAAGACGGTAGCTACAATATGGCCGTGCAGTCGCGACTCATACGCAACTATCGGTCTCACCCGGAGATCGTTTCACTGTACAGTGATCTCTACTACGGCGGAACACTAAAGGCTCATGCTCCCATGGGTGAGTAGCTTCCTTAACCATATTTCCAGGATTATACATTTATGACTTTCGTATTTCAGAAAGTGTTTGCCGTTTTCAAAACTGGTTTCACACGCCAAATTCTGATTTTCCCATTTTGTTCCATTCGGTCTTTGGGACTGTAATGAACACCAAGAGCTCTGTAAGGTAAGTTGAAAACTATTTCCCATGCCTTTTTTCACAAATAAAAATTAATTTTAAACATTTTCGGAAATAGTCAAATTCAGGCAGTATAAAAAAAATATCAAATTTTTGTATGGATGCACTATGATATTACTTTTATAAAAACAGAATATTTTTGATGATTTAGACATTTACTTCTTCTTATTTAACAGTCTGTGCAACAATAAGGAGATCGACGCTGTAATGGACTACATCAAAGACCTTATGTATTTCGGCCTCAATGGTGAGAAGGTGTTGCAGACGGATATCGGGATCATTTCGCCGTACAAGAACCAGTATCAACGCATCCAGGAGCAGCTGAACATGCGCAAATGGTCGCAGATAGATTGTGGATCTGTTGAGCTATTTCAGGGCAAAGAGAAGCAGGTGATAATCGTGTCCTTCGTGCGCTCCTTTACTCCAAAGCTGGGCTTCTTGAACAATGAACGGGTAAGTTGTGAAAAATAGTTATAGCAAAAATGGATGGGGGAATACAAATTATTTAAATTATTCTTTCCCAAGACTAATAGAATTAGATTTATAGTCATTTTGAACGATTTCAAATCGGATGTAACTGGCAAAAAACGATCGGAAAATTAAAAAATTGCATAGCCTCTACGTTTTTAACTCTTACATAAGAAAATAAATTTTTAAATAAATTTGTATATGATGACGGTAAATTTATATGAAATACTTCGAAAATGTGTTTTTAACGTACAATAATTTGTATCTGGTTTGATATAGAAGCATACAAAAAATTAATTTAAAATTGAATAATCCATTACATTTATAGCCTGGCAATATTAACTTCGGTTAAATAAAGTTAGCTTGATTTTGTATTATTGTTTTATTATTGGATTCAACAATTCCTAAAGTTTCTTAGAAAATCAGATTTTTTTTTTTTTTTTTTTTTTTTTTTTTTTTTTAAAAAAAAAAAAAAAAAAAAAAAAAATTTTTATTTTTTTTTTTTTTTTGGGGGTTTTTTTCCCCCCCCTTTTTATTTTTTTTTTTTCTTTCTTCTTTTATGGGGGTCAAAAGGGTGGGGGTTCGAGTGTAACATGAATTTTAATAATTCAGAAAATAAATTTTTAATTTTCTTTTCAATTTGGTACTTGCTTTACTTACTTTTTTCTGACATTCAGTAAATTGGGGACACTTTTGAGAGCTCTGGACATAGAGAAACATATTGCTTTAATGACATTTTTCTCATTTAGCGCTTGAATGTACTACTTTCCCGTCCGAAGTCCCTGCTTATTCTGATTGGTAATCCGCGAACTCTTAGCCAGAACAACGACTTCCGGCGGATAATCGAGATGTGTCGTGACCGCAAAACGCTGGTTGGAGTTCCGTACTATCAAGAAGATGACAAACAGAACAAACAGAAGGGGCAGAAGACCGCCCAAGATGAAACTGCTGTAGACCAGCCGGCACCCGGTTTGGGCCAGCCCCTAAAACGAAGTAAAAACCTTTATAAATTCAAGTGTCGCCAGAGAAACATAAATCGTGAATCCAGTATTTTATGATACATTTTCTTTCCCAATTCTCTGATTACTTGGTTCTCTGGCGCTGTTAGCCTAATATTATTTATAACTTATAACCCAAATCTGTTTCCATTCAGCTTCCAACTCCAAGAATCCAGCTCAGGCGGTTAAGCTGTTTTACAACAAAGAGGACCTGCTCAAATTGGGAAAAGAGTACAAGGCCCATAAATCTGAGCTAGACAAGATCTTTGACGAGTTGCCGAAGGTTCCACGCTATGTGGACAAGAATTCCGACTCGGTTAAATTGATTGATAATCAACTAAAGGATTTGAAATTGGAAAACAACAAAGATACAGTTAAGCCTACGCTTGCTTCTCGTCCAGCTGTTCCACCTTTGACTGTAACTCCAAGAGCTTCTGTCATGGCAGCAACTCCAAAACCAGCTCCACGGTCTTTGGAAAGCCCGATCCCTATGTCTTACGGAAATCCGGTATCAAAGCGTCCGGAACCCAAGGCCTCAGAACCTCTCCCCATACGGACATTTAGTCGTGGGCAATTCTATATCAATGGAGTGCCTTGCGGTATTGAAGTGCCTCAAAATCCCAGCGCACCGCCATTGTCACCGCCCACAACAACCAGATCTTCGACTTACCAACACATTCCCAGCGGTAATTTGCGGTTTAACAATATACGCCCCACGCCCGAAGAATACAATCGTCAGCCCCCGTTTAACGAGCAGCATCGTAGATCGACCTTTCGCGAGCCCCACGGAAACTGGAACAGTTTCGGGTGGCCGCCACGGAACCCTCCTACGCCCCCACCAAAGGAAAAGAAGTCAACATGCGTTATTTCGTAATTGTAGCTTCTGCGGAGGCTACCTCCAATCTATGGGGACGGTGCGGTCGCTTGGCGTAACAAGTGACCGTGTAGTCCTCTTTTTGACTTTGCTATTGGCATTTGTGCGATCTAAGATCGTCCATGCGCCAAGTAGCAAAACAACTTACCACATAGACCTGCACCTGATGTGCGCACTTCCGAAAATCAGGGCCAAAAGAATGGGGCCCCTTGAACACCAAGGTGGCCGTAATCTTTTGCCCTGCTTTTTCCCTCTGGATCGCATTAAATGCAAATTTAATTGATTTCAACAATGACATGGGCTCTCAAAGTGAACACTTTTTGGTTGCAAAGGGTCATGGTTTTTGATTTATAGTATGGACCCCATTCCATAATATAAATCGCAAATCTTGCACGCCATTCAATCTTTAAGTTTGATCTTGGGTGTTTTAAACTGCATAATTATTATATTTAGAGTACGTGGGATCGGTATTAAACTAGTCCTTCTGCCCACACAAAAATAAATATTCCGCACAATTGTAACCGTAACTGTTCCATATCTATAAATTGTAAAGGCTTGTCCAGTCTGGTTACTACAATGTATCAGGGATCATATAAATTGCAGAAAAAATGATTCCATGTAATTATGAAATGACATTTGATTTTAATAAACATTTCAAATTATAAGCTATGGTAATGTTTTATTTTTTTTAAGTGATTGTAGAATCAAACGATAAAATTCTTTACAATTCAGAAAATTTAATGAGCGGAACAACAACTTTTAAGTCACAAATTTCAAATCCTGCTGTTGGAAAAATGTTGACTTGCTTCGCGAAGTTTCTACTTGGTAGTGGAACATTTAGACGTCTAAAGCGCAACCTGGCTGTTGTTTTGGTTATTAGTAGAGATGGTTTACGTTTTCTGTTTTTTTTCGGAATGTGTAAACTGGTACGTTGAAAAGCTTCGCTCTACATTACAAAATGTATGGAGTAAATTTGTTTACATAAGGAAGTTTTTCTTTGTAATGTTGTGTACCGATAATGTATAAGTGTTTATTGATGTGTCAATGGATTTCATTATAGCAATGTCTGGAAATTTCAAATTTTTAAACCCTTGTTTTTAAACATTTACGACGCATAGAAATCGAAATCGTTTTATATAATTTCATATTTTTGAAATAACTGCAAGTTTGCTTCCTTTCTGATCATATTTTATAATATAGCTGAAGTTGACTGTTTTTTTGTTATTCCTTATGCTAAAAATTGTCTTCATGTCACTTTATTATTTCATTGGTTATTATTTCACTTCATTTTTGTGGTTTGGACTATTGTAAACGATTATATGTCCTATTCAAGAAGTTTACCTTTTCAAAGGTGTCTTCCTTGGTGGATGACAACAGTGCTGAAAATGGTGGTTTTGTTATAATTTACATTTGGTCCCTTCGGCTGACAACTGCACAAATACGATTAACATATTCAAACTCTTCTTAGATTTTTTATTTTGGACCGTTACAGTTCCAATTTGATCATGTTCACTTCCACGACCATTTAGCTTCGAAAAGTGAAAGGTAATGAAGTTTACCCACCGGCGGGAGAAGACGACGAGCCGGTTTCGATATTAACAGTCAGACGTAAGTTCTATTTTATCCTGGATCTTGGATGCTATTCCATGTTTTTATGACCAGTCGTTTGGATAATCAAATATAATATCTATTAGAATTCCTAATATATTTTAGAAATTCGGTGTGCTAATTTTGAATTTGGCCTCAACCTCAAAACAAGAATTTTGATTTTTTCGACTGTGTTTGGGACTCATTCATAGGAGGACGGAGTCTTACTACTTCGCTTCTGACTACTTTTTTTAAAACTATTTTTATACTTTTTAATCGAAGTTGTTAACCAACTTTTACTAAAGCCGTTGCTATGAGCTCTACTAGTAACTCCGTTAAAAATGTTGTTTTGGTTTATATATATTTATTTATATTTAATATATAATATATTTATTTATTGGTTTCATTTGTATTCGAATTCCAGTAGGCCGTTTAAACAATCCCAGTGTCAGAAGCTAACGACTCTTTTCTTTAGTACATACATTTTTCGTAATCCCTTCAACCAGTTGAAATAGTAAAATAAAACATAATAAACTTTGTAAAAATTATAGTGAATCCAACTATTTGAGATTCAAAAGATTCTGCTACATTCTGCGCCTTAAAGAATCTCTAAAGATACTGATACCTCTTTGAAAAATGCATTCCTCCGGCAGGAACAGTGGTCGGAGTACTGCAGCTGTGCCAACGCAATATGGTCGTGGTAACACCACCTCTGGAGTCACAGTGCGTTCCAAGTTAGCGGCACCTCTATCGACGCAGGCGGCGGGAACACGCAGACCTGTTCACGGCGGAGCGGGCGATGGAGGATCCGATGCGGCTTGGAAGCAGACGGGGCGTCGTCTGGCCAATATTAACCAACCTTCTCGACTGGTCCAGCCCACCATAGCCTCCTCGCTGAGGGCCAGCTCCAACAAGCAGACGGCAAAGCAGCAGTTTGAGCAAGCGGCCCAGGAGAAGGCCAAATCGGGAAGTCCCTCGCCAAAGGACACCGAAACGGAATTCAAAAAGGCACCCAAGAAGCGGGTGATGACCCAAGCGGCCAAACAGGCGGCTCGGGCCCGTCTCTGGCCAAGCACCAGACCGGCGGGCGGAGGCTTCACCTCGAGTCTTCGCAAGGATAGGCTCCCAGGACCCGAGGAGCCCAGTCCCTTGGCGGATTGCGAGGCCATGGCGGAAAGGGCGGAGGCCAAAGATAGCAAGCCCCAGGAGCTGTTGGAAGCGGGCATCCAGACCAACGAGGCGGAGATCCTCGACCATACACTGGTTCTCGGCGAAGTCAAGATGGTAAGCCCCTCAGTAGAGCTGGTGGAGCAGATCGACCGGGAGCGGCGCGAACTTAAGGCGAGTGTGGATCGCCAGTCGACGCGCAGGTTTGCTGCCCACGAGCAAGAGGAGGAACTGCATCTGGACGAACTGAAAGAGTTTTACTTGCGGAACGCAGTGACCAAGCGCACGCCCAAAAAGCCGCCACCGATTCAGTACGCTTTCTACGACAACCAGTACCAGAACGTGTTCAAGTCCATGGACGCCTTCTTCACCCGAGTCCAGACTTCTGTGCCCAAGTCCGAGTCTGTGACCACCATCCAAGAGCGCATCAAGCGCAAGGAGCAGGAGCTGCTGAGCCTCTTTGATAACGTCGACCTGAACGACTAAATTCGAAACGGATAAAATCCCATAACATACCAGTGATGTTTCAAATTAATTGTGTAGTGTTGTAGAAGTAAAGGCTTTCTTTCAACTTAAGAAACTGTGGAATCCCATTATAGAGCCGATAATAAAGTATAGAATATTATTATTTTTTTTTACCATTACTAAAAGTAAAGGTAAATCTTTTCAACGCTAAACAAATGACGTTGTAATCATCTTTTGAACAGTGTAATTAAGAAATCATTTAAAAACGCGGAGCATAAAACAGTGTAAAAAGCTGGTGAAATTTTCAGAAGCCGGTGAGAATTCAAAGATAGAAAATTCGCAAAGGGGTTTTTTAAAATTTGGTGGAATAAATAAACAATTTATTTTTGAATCAATAAACACAATTTTGATAAAAAAAAGAAAGTCACGTTTTAATAATTTTAAAATATAATATAAATCGGAAGTCACCAAAATGCTTTCAGAATTCAATCATTATCTTTCATTTAATCCAGACTGTTTATTGCTCCTTGTTGCTCCGGGTCCAGGACTTAAGAAGGAGACCGATATTAAACTTGAAATGTGGTCATAAAATTTAAAATATGAAAAATAAATGTGTATAAGAGTGATTCGCCCCGAAAGTTTTTATAAATCGTTATCGATATTTCGTCAGAAGCGTCATCTTTTGAGTTTTGGCGCACTTGCCAAAAATAATATATTTTCTTTTCTTTTTCGACTTTCACTACACCGTAAACTTTTGTCTGAAATTAAAATAAAAAAAATACGGTTTTGAAAGTTTTATATGTTAATAGCTTTTACACTGTGCGATATACAGATATATGACATTTATAGGGCGATTTCGATAAAACTCAAAATATATATTATAATACAATATTAATATATTGATCAAATAAATAAGACTCCATAAAAAAATTATTGGCCATTTTTGTAATCCAACTCCAAAAGAATTTGTCATTTAGCGGCTTTGGACAATTTGTAGTAGATAAAAAATGGGGGAAAGTTGACGGTCCCAGCTTACTGACCATTAAACTTATACTGACCATCCCAACTACAGAGTTTTTCCCTACATACATATGTATGTTTGAAATTGTTGTACATTTACGGACAATGTTATAATGTTGGTGACTTTAAGGCTTCATATAATTCAAGTTTGATTGGGTCAAGAATTGGTAAAATTATTCATTGATGAATTCAAAATCATCTATCCATTAGCATTCAAATGTTTAACAAATGGGGTGAATTCATAACTTTTTATTCATTATTAAAGATTGTTTATATTTCAGTCAAATTTAGCCCCTTGTAGAATTTTTTTGCATATGAAAATAAAAAATAATTAGGTTAACAAACATTAAAAAAATACAAAAAAAATACAACATTTTAGTTTAAAATCTAAAGACTGGAAACATTTTTTTCTAAAGACACCCCAAAATTCTATTTTCATGTCCCAGTAAAATCTGTCTTGGGTAAATACGCCAACTGGACACACCTATTTGAAAAAGACCGAGTCAGCGGGCTTGTCCAGCAAGTTCATAAAAGTGAAGCAACAAGTGCAGGGCCGAATTTAAATTGCAAAGCAGCAGCAGTGTGCTAAACTAGCCAGGCCAGCAGCTGGCACTTTCTCCGAGGCCAGAAAGCGGAGTCAAGAAGTTTTCCCAACCATCGTTTCAGCAGTCAACGTTGGCAACTGGTTGCGCGAGCAATGGAAAAATCGCCTCTAAAGTTTCCCCATGAAATTCGCGATGTGGAGGAGAGCACAAATGCGGAGCTATTGGAATACTTTAATGGTATGATATAGGGTTCAGTAATCCAATGTCACCTTTCACACTTTTTCTGTCAAGGTGAAAGAACTGGCTTTGTTCAGGTCGGATCGGAGGGATATTTCTTTCCTCATAAGTACAAAGAAGAGGCCGATAGGTATTACAACTTTGAGGCACGACCTGATGACATCTGGATAGCCACGGTGCCTAGATCGGGCACCACTTGGACACAAGAGCTCATTTGGCTGGTGGCCAATGGTTTGGATTTTGAGCAGGCCCAGCGGCGACCGCTCACCGAACGCTTTCCATTCTTCGAGTGAGTATTTGTGATGTTATTCGACCTAATGTAAAGAGTTCTTCTTTTTCCAGATTTCCCTTGTTTATGCATCCCAAGGTAAAGGAGGAGCTACAGAATGAGAATAGAGATTCAGGTGAAGCTGTGGACTTCATTGAGAAGATCTCCCGACCTGGCTACGAGACGCTGATGGAAATGCCCCGCTCCCAGCGACGATTTATCAAAACCCACTTTCCTTTTTCTCTACTCCCGCCCAGTGTCATGGAAAATAGGTGCAAGGTTCGTTACTTTACACCTTAGCTTGGGGTCTAGAGTTAAAACTATTAAATATATGTGTTGCAGGTCATCTATGTGGTTCGCGATCCCAAGGATGTAGCCGTTTCCTATTACCATTTAAACAGGCTCTTCCGGACTCAGGGTTACGTGGGAGACTTCGAGCGTTACTGGCGCTACTTTCAACGTGGATTGAGTAAGTGCTATTTTTATGTATGTAGTCAGCATCGTAGATAACCCTTCGTGGCAGATCCATGGCTGCCCTATTACAGCCATGTAAAAGAAGCAAAAGAGCATGCCCAGCTGTCCAACGTGCTCTTCCTGCGCTACGAGGACATGCTGGTGGATCTGCCCGGCACGGTTTACAGCATAGCCAACTTCCTAGAGTGCCCGCCGAAGCCCGAGGACCTGGATAGGCTACTTGATCATCTGAGTATCAAAAATTTTCGCGAGAACAAGTCTGTAAACATGAACGAGATGGCCTCCGTAGGCATCCTTAACAAAGGAGAGGCAGGATTCGTGCGCAGCGGAACCAAAACAGAGTGTCAGCCACAAAAGGAGTTTGTCGACAATCCCAAACTTTTGAAGAGCGCGAACGAATGGGTGGAAGAGAACGTTAAATGCTTAAAAACCATATAATATACCTAACTTTCTTGACTATCTTTACTGTTTTTTTGGTTTAAATTGAAACGGAACTAGACTATGACTAACGTATTTGCACTTTGAAACTATCCACACTGGCGCTGGCAATCTGCTTGTGGACTTCGTTGACCTCCGCTTGGGTTAGGGTGCGCTCCATGTGGCGGTAAACAATGCGGAAGCAGACACTCGATTTCCCCGTCTTCGGGTGTTTGAACTTGTCCACCAGGCTGATCTGCAATAGGGATATAAGACGCATGGTAAACTTAGAAGGGATCGGGAACACCATAACCCACCTGCTCCACCATATCACCGGCCACAGAGCGGACCAGATCGTAAAAGTCGTTGGGCGAGAAGCCGGCATCCACCTCCACGTCGTCGGGCAGCCAGAAGGATAAGTCGTTTGTGCACTGCGGATAGTGGGAGATGGGTTTGTACTTGGCCAGATTTTGCAGGTCCTTTTCGCTGAACTGGGAAAGAAAGCCACTATCGTTTGACCAGAAGAGCCGGATATCGGGTATGTCGAAAAGCACCATGGCCAGACGCTCTAGACCGACCCCGAAGGCATAACCAATCGACTGATGGACGCCAGATCTTTGCAGAATCTCGTGGCGCATGATACCGCAGCCCAGGACCTCCAGCCAGTTATCTTTAAAGTAGATCTCAAGTTCCCACGAAGGTTGGGTGAAGGGAAAATAGGTGTCCACCCATCGGTATTTGATCCGAGGACCAAACAAATCCTTCGTCAGGCCCACCAGCACGTGCTTCATCTCATGTTCCATCAGCTTAACGGCCTCTAGCGTGTGGCAGGGCTGTTTGGTTTGATCCATGAACTTGGAGGAAGGTAGGATGAGCTTGGGATCGGCCAGCGAACCGGACCAAGTCTCCTCAAACAACTCTAGACCGGGATTGCGCTCGAATAGCTTATCTTTGGTGACCAGCCGCACGGCGTCCGCCTGGTGAAACACCGGATAGTGGGTGCTGTCGATCTCGTCCCGCCGATACACCTCACCCACCACCAGGAAGTTGTCCAATCCCCCCGATATCAGTTCCACCTGATGAGCAGTGGTGTGGGCGCGCAGGAGATGCTGCTGGTTTATGTAGTAGCAGTCGGACTTCTGCCGACTCACATGGTCGGCGGGTATCAGCAGATTTTCAAAGTTTTGCTGCACAGTTACGACCGGATTAAGGTTGTCGTAGACGGAGAACATCGGATTGCCCCTTTGGTTACGATACGCTCCATAGAAGTAGTTAACGATGCGCTGTCGGATGATGGACAGCGGGTGGTCCATCTGCAGGTGCTTGTTGGCTCCTATATAGGAGAGGATCTTGGGCGTAACGTTTGTCCATCCATCGGTGGCGAACGTGCTCCCATTGACCTCCAGGTGGGGTTGGGCCGGTGGCGACTTCTCCGGCGCCGCGCTGCTGGCCAGCCATCGGGTGGACTTCACCAAGTGCCGAGTTCCTTGCACTCGAAGTGTCAACAGCATCTTAGAGTTGATTAAATACAATAAATTAGTGCATTTACTGCATTTTAAGTTTGCAAAGTTATTGCCCAATTTTCAATGTGACCAGAATGCAAATGCAAAATGTACAAGCCAGCTGGTGAAGAATTTGTGTTCCTAGTGTATATCGATACCTCTTATTCTTGAAGCTATCGATAAAATCTGTTTAAAATGTTTTTGCTTTTAACGAGTTTCGTTAAATGTAAAAAGTTATTATTTTTATTAGGACATCGTAGTTCTAAATGATTGTCCTTAGCGTCCAGCAATTTTAACACTTTTCGATGATACGATATTAAGAAATATGATTAGCTGATTCAAGAACATATCCATGATTTTGAGTTCAAATGCTATAGGAATATGTTTTGGTGATGCAATGAGACAGTATGCTGAGCTTCATCTTAAAACGCTACAATTTAATACAAAAAAAACAAAAAATTGAAATACGACGCACATGTGGACGAATGCAATGCACCTTCACTAAATGTAACGGCATCAAATTTGATGTTTTTAAGCTATTTGGATAAAACTTTCCTACAAGTCTTCTTTCTATTGCAGTGATGTGATGCTGATCAAGAAGGGTCGGCGATGTCTCACTTACTGCGTAACAAACTTTTGACTGCAATTACATTACCCTCTCCAAGGCTATAACAAGAAGGAACACCGTAGTATAGTACCCCGAATATAATATACCCGGTACACTGATAACCAATTTTAATAAATTTGTATACAATACAAATTTCAACAAAAATCAAACAATAAAAATTATATATTTTTTATTTATTTTTCTACAAACATCAACAGATTAGTTGTTCATCTAAATCGTATGTGATGACAGATATACAATGGGCCCATTACGAATACAAATCATTAAAGCAAGAGAATTCTTTTTGAGATACTTGCGTTGGTATGTTTTTTTTTCTTTACAAATCATTAAATATGAAAGCTGTGGCTAAAATCAATCAGTTCTAGATTAGACCAGGGGATAGCTGGCGGAGGTGGCAATGCCGCACTGGTTTTCCTTGTTGCGCGTCATCTTAATGAAGCCTTGGTCGCCCCAGGTTGTTCCCCATGAGTTCTTCACCAGCCAGTAGTCAGCGCCAGACTCATCAGTGCCGAAGCCAACAGTGAGGACACCGTGGTCCAAGTTCTGGGCATCGCATTGGGGCTCGTCATAGACGCCCTCCGAGTAAAACTGGAATGATTCGTGCGAAGCATCAATGGCCACGGAAACGGGACCAATCGTCGACACAGCCTCAGCTAACTTCTTCTCATCCCCCTGGGGGATGTCGACAAAGCCGCGATCGGTGGCTCCGATTGTGTCCTTTTTGAAGTGGCAGGAATCATCGATGGCTTCATAGGGATAGGATTTCTCGGTGTCAACACCACCATTGTCCTTAATGTAGCGGAAGGCGTTATCCATAAGACCGCCATTGCATCCGTTGTTACCATACTTGGTGGAGCAATCGACCAGATTCTGCTCGGACAGTGAGACCAGCACTCCAGATTTGCGGTAATGCTGGCCCTCAAGAGCGCCCGTGCTGGAAAAGGCCCAGCAACTGCCGCAGTGTCCCTGATCCTTGACTGCAGTAACAGCGCCCTTTGTGCGCCAGTCCACAGATTTGGGCAGGGTCACGTGAGCCGGCGAGATGAAGGTAACGCCCTTGAAGCTCTCATCGGCAGAACTGGAAACAATTTTTCTTTGAATTAGGGAATAATATTTCTTAAGGGAATTTATTCTAGTCCTGACTTACCGCAGCTCCTTTTGCAGGGTGTAGTTGAAGCCGTTCATCAGCTGGCGAAATTCGTGGTGCAGCATATCGGCGTACTTGTTGACCGCCATTTTGAAGCTCACCTTTCCTTTGGCAAATTGCTGGTTGTGCTTGGCAATCTTGTGCTTGTTCTCATTGAAGATCTTGAGGCGGAAGCTTTCCTCGGTTTCACCCTTTGTAGTGCTTTCGGTGCTCCAACTGCATATCAAAAAATGTTTCCTTTTAAATACTACACTCTAATCAAAGGTAAGCCTTATCAACTAATTTTCATGTACTTGTGTTAAGATAAGATTAAACGAAAAAATCTCTTAGTAAGGTAAAAAACCAAAGTCGTGAAGATCCACCCTTCAACATCAAAAATAGGTGGTATCAAAATTTGTGCCAGGAAATACATAGTTTTATTCATTATTCTCATTCGGCCCGCTTTAGAAAACTAATTCACATATTTATATATCTAATAGGTTTCCCTTTCTCACACTACCTGTGCGATTCGTCACAACGTTGACTGTCGTCCACCAAATTAAATGATTCACTTTTAGACATATTTTTCGTATTTAAAAATCCCGTTCGGAGAGCCAATATTTTACGTAAACTGGATTTACGACCACGGAGGCAAAATGTCCAAATCTTGAGATAACCTTATCATAGGGCGTCAACTTGGCACGAGCTAAAGGTTCGGCCACAGTAGTAAAAACTATAAATCTAACATGGCCATAAAAAGTTTTTAACGACGAAGCGGTGTTAATGTTCCAGGTAGTAAACACCGCAGGTAGGAGAAAAATTGGTAAATGCGCTCTATCTCCATGCATTGGTCGACTCCCGGATTAGAGACCTCCTCTCCGTTTCGGGGTTGATTTGTCCGACCCGCATATTGACAAAGCACGGAAATAGCACGAACACTAAACAAATGATATCTAAATATCTATTTATAAAGAGAATTGGAAAGCCGGAGCAAGAAGTACCCTGGGTTGCTATCCATTATAGCGAGCATAAATTGTATTTATCCACTCTTACAAACAACCTCTGAACTGGCGGCTGTGTGCAGCATTTATACAGTACATTCAAGAAAACACTTTCCAACGCGTTAGGAATATTTCACTAAAAAAAAATATTATAAAAACTTAACTTAACTTAATCACATTTGAGAAGTCTAATTTGAGTTGAAACAATCAGAACTTTCTCTAAAAGATTACAAACATCACGTTAAAAAATCGTCCCTTAATAAAACTTCCTGCCATTACAGTAAAAGAATAACAAACTTAAGCATTAAAGTAAAAAGGATTTATATTCATTAAAATAAAATGAGATTTTATACCTCTTACGTTATTCAGACATTTAATTTTTAAGTTCATTCAACAATTTCTTTTTAAATGTAATTGCTCTGGTTTTTACGTTACTTAAGTTTTTTTTAAACTAGTTTTTCAAGTGTTCTTGTCGAGGTGTTAAGTAAAAGTAAATGAATCTGTCTGCCGCACATTTTTATTTATTTTGCAAATAAGTTCCGATTCTATTTAAAACGCGTAGACAAACTTTTTCCGTTTTTATTACGCAAAAAACTTGCGTTTGGACAAAACTTGTTTCTTTTTAAAAGAAATACTTAGATATATTGTAAATGTCAAAGCTCCTGATAATTCATATAGCAGATAAAAATATTAATGGATAAAATCTTTGGAAAACATTAAACGGAAATTACGATTTGTAAAGAATGTGTTAAGTGCTACAATAGTTTATTTCAGCAAATTAAAGGTGTTAAGTGGCATGCTTTTCAGCAAGTTATATTAAGAAAATACATTTAAATGTCAAATATGTAAAACATACCACTTATCTTTAACTTTTTCGTTTTTTAGTGACTTTTAAATAGTTCACCTCAAGTCAAACAAAGACAATGTTTTAGATAGGCACAATGAACTGAATAACCGAGCGGCGCTGTCATGTGAGAAACGTGCATATGTAATTATTTGGACATCAAAGCGGATCAGCATCGCCAGAGCAACAATTGACGCCCCAAATGGACCGGATGGAGTCCCCAGTCCATGGCTGACTCGTATAATTGACATAATTGATTCGAACTCAATGCTGCATGCAAAAAACCCCGCCCGTTTAAATCGGTAGAGAACAAGAAGCCTTTTGAAAGCCGCCTGCACTCTAACCTATTGATTTTCCATCTAAACAGTTTGGGTTTTCGATATGGCATGATAAAATTCACACGTTTTATTATTGTATACTTTTGTAGAAAATAAATGGCAAAAAAGAGTGAAAAACTTAAAAACCATAATTAAATGCACGTGCGATACAGGCACTCGACGCGTATACATTTTTGTATATCTATCTCTAGAGTAAGCAAGATTTTGGCCAGGCATCTGGAGAACTTAGGAATCTTGCAGTTGCAGATGTGAGCATGGACGATTGGTGAGTATCTGGCAGCTATAGCTAATGCAAGTGCTAATCCTAAAGTCGCTCCATCTCGATGGCACAGTCATCGCCCTCCTGATCCGTAGGTGCAGTAGTGGCCACTTCACTGGTAGCCGCATAGGATGGGTGTGGAACAGGTTGTTCCTCCTGATTCTTGTACTCCCGTCGCTTTCGCATGATGTAGGCGAAAACGAAGCTGTTTATCACAAGCATAACAAAGACGATAATGGTGGGCCAAACCACATCCACTGATAAATCCAGACTATTTGCACTGACATCGGTCATGGTAGAGGGGTTCTTGGTTTTATATAATTTGGCCGCTATTACGTTGGTGTTCTTAGATTTCGTACCACGTTTTTACGATGACGCGCGTGCTTTTTCGTACTGTTGGGGGGCTGGCTCCTTTTATTTCTTTTCTCACGAATTTCTATACGGTCTCTCCGCTGCTGCCCGACTGTTCCGTTTGCTTGGAGCGTCGTTTGGGAAATAACAAAAATACAGCAGACCGCCGCTTTTGGTGGTGGCCCGCTCTCACACGCTCGGGCAGAAAACAGCCGAGTTCACACACTCTACTCCTCGTATCACAAAATGAGAGCCAACCTACTTACGTAGGCAAACTATTTGGAGGAAGCGAATTCTATATATTTCTTGTTTTCTTTTTTGCAGCGCGCGCATTATGGAACCGATTGAAACGAACCGGTTTCCGAATCGCTTGATTTATAAGGATTTCAGGCGAGATATTCAAATATGTTTGCGTCAACCGGTTCGGGAGCAGCAAAAAAAGATAAAGAAAGAGTAAAATCAAAATTTTTGCAAGTCAGTCAAATCTTTCCCCGCTTGTTTATTTACAGCAGTCTATTTGTTTGTGCACTTGTCGCTCGGAATTCGCGCTTTAAAGCTTTCGGCTCTCGGAAACACCAGAAAAATGCCAAGTTGATAAGCCTCTTGTGATCCGTCACGCGTCATTTCCAAACGATGGACGGTGCCCTCTGAATGCGCAGAAACTGAATCGCATTAAAATTTAATCTTGAGCTTATCAGTGCCACAATTGTATGCTGGTGACTATTGCAGCTGTGCATTAGCGACGGCTTGGAAACGTTGAACAGCACACAACTTACAGATTATAGATTTGCGCTCACCCAAGTCAAACTTGGGTATTCTCTACCAGCTCAGTCAGCTGGAAATCTAATTTGAATTGCGCGCCTATTCTGCGGGGAGCAAACATGGGTAGCACTGTTTTTGTAGTGTGACCAAAGGCGGTCGATATTGTCACACTGATTATTAATAAATAAAGCCTAGTATCCAGATCGACAAACGATTACGCTAGCGTAAAAACTTTAATCTTTCCAGTGTGACCAAAGTTTCGAGAGTTCATCAGATTTAAGCGTGCTACGGTCGTACTGTCAATCAGCTGTGCCTGTTGACAAGCAGTTAAAATTCAAATATCGTATTTGCGGGAAAGAGCCTTTAAAAGATATTATCAAATACCTTGGCAAGACAAGTCTGCCAGTGTACAAAGAAATTAAAAAAACAATACAATTTAAATTTAACAGTTGTTTTTTTTTAATTTACTGATAATTATTTGCTAATTTAAAGTTCATAGCTGCACTTTTATTGTGTTTTTTCGTACATTCTGGACCTAAAAAACATTTTGCTCTGACAAGAGGCACCCCAGATAGTATTAATGTTATTTTGTCCTCACATGTAAACACCTGCAATCGACTTTTGTGAGTTTTTTGGGTTTTTCCCTCCATTTCTTATAATGTTCAGTGAGAAGCGCACGCTAAAAGATTAAAGCCTAGTATCCACTTCGACGTAAACCGTACGCCAGTCATGAGAGAGAGCGAGAGGCAAACAGCTGGCGTTCACTTTTCGTCGGGCCTTTTTTTCACTTCGGTCTCCTGATCGACGAAAAAAATACCAGAAAATTGCATAGCGTTGCCAGTCTGCGGAAATGAACTTTGGGTGAACCCTAGCGGAAAGATTAAAAATTTAATCTTTTGGCGTGCGCTTCTCACTGAACATTATAAGAAATGGAGGGAAAAACTCAAAAACTCACAAAAGTCGATTGCAGGTGTTTACATGTGAGGACAAAATAACATTAATACTATCTGGGGTGCCTCTTGTCAGAACAAAATGTTTTTAGGACCAGAATGTACGAAAAACACAATAAAAGTGCAGCTATGAACTTTAAATTAGCAAATAATTATCATAAAATTAAAAAAAACATCTGTTAAATTTAAATTGTATTGTTTTTTAACTTCTTTGTACAGCGGCAGTCTTGTCTTGCCAAGGTATTTGATAATATCTTTTAAAGGCTCTTTCCCGCAAATACGATATTTGAATTTTAACTGCTTGTCAACAAACCCAGCTGATTGTCAGTACGACCGTAGCACGCTTAAATCCGATGAACTCTCGAAATTTTGGTCACACTGGAAAGATTAAAGTTTTTACGCTAGCATACTCGTTTGTCGATCTGGATACTAGGCTTAAATTTGTTAATCTTTTCCGCTAGGGTTCACCCAAAGTTAATTTGCGCAGACTGGCAACGCTATGGAATTTTCTGGTATTTTTTTCGTCGATCAGGAGACCGACGTGAAAAAAAGGCCCGACGAAAAGTGAACGCCAGCTGTTTGCCTCTCGCTCTCTCTCATGACTGTCGTACGGTTTTCGTCGATCTGGATACTAGGCTTAAGACTCAACATTTATAATCAGTGAAACGAAAACTTATAATAAGGGCCTACTTGTACATTCTGATTACTTATTTGAGATTTTTAAGTTAAATAAAACAAGCCGTAATTTATATACCCTTGCAGTTATTACAAATCGACTACATTTCGATTTCAATGCCTTTCTTACTAATAATAAAGCTACATACAGTCAACACAATATTTATTCGGACACCCGTGATTTTGATTTTGATTCATTAATAACTCAACAAAAACGTAACGAAAACAAACAATTTATATTTCATCGTGAAGGTTAACATTCTTAGAATATATTTTAACAAAAAAATAAGGAACTTTCAACAGTAAAATTAGATATTTTCTTAAATGAACTTGAAAAGTCATAATTTTACGCACAGAAATTATTCGGACACTTCATATAATATTAAAAAAAAACATATTTCTTGATGTTTTAATATTTTTAATATTTGGTGGGTCCTCCACTAACATCAATGACAGCTTGTAAGCGTCGACCCATGCTTTTTACCAAGTTGCTTGTCTCATTAGCGCTAATTTGACCCCATTCAGCCATCAATGCAGTTTTTAAGGACTCCCTGGACGAAATGACGTGCTTCGAATCCTTTTCTCAAGAATATCTCAAACATGTTCTATGGGACTTAAATTAGGTGACTGGGGAGGTGTTTTCAGCTGCTTGCAGTGATATAAAAGCCACTCTTGCACCAAAGACGAAGAATGTTGTCTTGTTGAAACAACAATGTCTTCGGATCTAGACCAAGTTTTATATCACTTGGAATCAAATTTTCGCTTAAAATGTTTTTGTAGATATTCTTATTAATTTTGTCGTCATTAAAGACCATTTGACCGACTTCTTCTACCGATACACACCCCACATCATTACATTCCCGCCACCATGCTAAACAGTTGGAATTAAGTTCTTCTCATTCATGGCTTCATTTGGTTTCCTCCACACTTTCGAGGGCCCATAGTGTCCAAATATGTAAAATTTGGATTTGTCGCTTAAAACTACGTTCTCCCAAAACGAATCCGGGTGGTTATATGCAGTTTTCCAAACTCCAAACGCTTTTTTTTGTTGATGGCAGAAAATAATTGCTTTCGACGAGCAACTCTGCCATGTAAACCAGCCTTGTACAGGTAGTTTCGGATGGTTTTGGCCCAAACTTTTTTATTTTCGCTTGCTCTACATTCTTTTGAATTGTTGTAGATGTTGTTTTCGGATTTTTCAGGACTGTAGACATAAATTTCCGTCCCTCACGTGAGTACAGAATCTTAGACCTTCTAACTTTCTTGTGATTTGAAGCTCATTATTCCGTTTTTAAGTATTTTTGGATTATACTATGTATTGTGGAAGGTGATTTTCCATTAATACGACCGATTTCGCGATAACTACGATTTTCCAAAATGAATTTAAGATAGGTTTTCGAAAATCTAGTGACAAATCTTGAACTCCTTTTATTTTGACCAATCGTATCAAAAAACACATAAAAACTAACAAAAACAAAAAAAGCACGCCGAAAATTACTCCGAAGTAATTTCAACTAAACTACTTTTAAAAAGAATCGCCTATTACCGTTGTGCTCAGAAATAAACACAATAAATGAGAAATGTACGAATAATTTTTGTGCAACATTTTAGCAACTTTTTGCTTTTCTTTTAATATTTTTAAGGCGAATTTAATTTTGTTGTCCGAAAAATTTTGAAAAATCAAAACTACAAAATGGAATATTATTGATAATTCAATGCAGCTGAAATTTTTCCATTACAAAACTAAAAGGAACATTTTGATAACCAGGAAAACAGCAAAATAAAATTGTTTTCCATTTAAATTTTTTTTAAGTTTTTCCTATGGGGGTTTATGATATAGATGTCCGATTTTAATTTAATTAAAACCGTAATTCCTTAGTTTTTAAATATTACCAGAGAACCAAAGAACAAAAAAAAATAAAAACAAAGTTATACGTTTTTTTTTAATTTGTTTCCGATTGTTCCTATGGGAGCTATATGATATAGACGCCCGATCCGGCTCGTTCCGAATTTTCAAGCGTTTAAAAGGAGGACGGACGGACGGACGGACAGACTAACAGACGGACAGACTAGATCAACTTTCTGGTGATGCTGATCAAGAATATATATACTTTATAGGGATCTGTCTCCTTCAACGCGTTGCAAACCTTTGACGGAAATAATAATACCCTCTGCATGGGTATAAAAAATTAGACGAGTTAAAACCTGTTAAGCAAACGTCAGACAATATCTAAAAGGAGAAATCAAAATTATCAAAGGGGCCTTCCGTCCTTAGTTGCAATTAAATATAAACTAAAACACAATGACATCAACAAATATTGTGGTTTCATTACAAAGCGAAGGTTTTAGACCACATTTTAAATCAAATCCTCTAAATAAAATATGATTTAAGCAGCAAGTGGTTTCTAATAATTCAATGAGGTTAGACTCACTAATGTCACACTTACAAATGGAAATGACGTTTAAATAGCGAGCTATTTTTTATTTAATAAGATGACAATTCAATTATGTAAAAGTTTAGAAGCAACCGCAAGCCGTTAAAAAAAATTATTTGAGACATTGAAGATATACAAAAATACTATCTACTCACACAAGAATTGGGTGCCTTGTAATTGACTATAATGACTTACAATGCCCTTGTTTTAAGAATTTCGTCAACAAGACACAAAAAAATGCATGCATTTTGGAATATAATTTCATACATTTAACATTGGGTTATGATCCAAGGAATGCGCATGTCACTTTAAAATATTGCTTTATCGTTTTTCAAATTGATAACTTTTTTAAAACTTAATTTGAACGAATTTTATATTCATGGGATAACTTTTTTCAATATATTTACATACAGGTTTTGATTCATAACCAAAATACTAAATATAGGAGAGAGAAGCACATGATATTAGTTTGGAGCCATGACAAAGGTTTTTTGTGGTTCTGGTTCCCTTGTTCTATTTTTTCCAAATACTTATATTCACATAAGATATGGATTCATTCCTGCTGAGCATGTGGTTTTAAATTAAGTTAAATAAATTAAAATGTGTTTAGAATAATTTACATTTTCGTGATCAACTTAGGGAACTGTTTAATTTAGTTTCATCGTTTAAAAAACAATCATTATACCCTTGCAGAGGGTATTATAATTTTGGTCAAAAGTGTGCAACGCAGTGAAGGAGACATCTCCGACCCTATAAAGTATATATATTCTTGATCAGGATCACCTCCTGAGTTGATATAGCCATGTCCGTCTGTCCGTCTGTCTGTCCGTCTGTCCGTCTGTCTGTTTCTACGCAAACTAGTCTCTCAGTTTTAAAGCTATCGGATTGAAACTTTGCACACACCCTTCTTTCCTTTGCACGCAGTATATAAGTCGGAACGGCCGGGATCGGCCGACTATATCCTATAGCTGCCATATAACTGATTGATCGGAAATGCCATAACTTTCGTGTTTGTAAAGTTAGGAAGTTGGGATTTTCTATGGGTTTTATATTTAGCCAATCAATCCGACCTACCAAATTTCATAAGGATCGGCCGACTATATCCTATAGCTGCCATATAACTGATTGATCGGAAATGCCATAACTTTGGTGTTTGTAAAGTTAGAAAGTTGGGATTTTCTATGGGTTTTATATATGGCCAATCAATCCGACCTACCAAATTTCATAAGGATCGGCCGACTATATCCTATAGCTGCCATATAACTGAACGATTGGAAACGCCATAACTTTGTTGTTGTTAAAGTTAGGAAGTTCGGATTTTTTATGAGTATTAAGAATGCATCATATGAATAATTTTGGAGAATATAATTTATAGAGTATTCTGCAAGGGTATATCAACTTCGGCTTCGCCCGAAGTTAGCTTTCCTTTCTTGTTTTGAATCATGTTGTTCAAATACCCCACCAATATATCAGCCTATGCCGTTTTCATCACATATTGATTTTTTAAGAATGTCATATATTTTCGCCCTGAAACGTTTTACGTTGTTTGATAGTTTTAAATTTTAACTTTGATTATTAAAATATTCAAGTTTTAGGCAAATGTTATATTATCCATATATCCTAGAATATAAAAAATAATAACGGTTTTTTTTAAAGAACACATAAAGGGGTGCTTTTATTTGTTTAGTTATTTGTGTTCTTTTTTTTCCTAAAAGTTGTAAAAAAGAGTAATAATAATAAATTAGACAGTCGTTTTAAAAACCGTTCAACAAATTCAAAAAGGGTAAATACTAATTTAACATAAATATCACTTGTAAGTTAGCAAAGCAATTTATTTTTCTTCAAATTATAGGAAATGGGAGCAAAAAACTGGCATAGTAATTTATATATATATTTAAAGAGACTTATATTTCAAAAAATTATAAAATAGAATATTTGTCGTAAATCAATTTTTTTTTAGACTGTTGACGTCGTCCAAAGATTTAGGAAAAAACAATATAGTTTTTAATCATTTTTAAATATATTTATATTTTAGTTTGATTGTACATTGGTACATATATCAGTTTGGTTTAATGACAGCCAAAAAATTAAAAGTTGTGTCACTATAATCAACAAAGAAATTGTATTCTGAAATTAAATTTTACTTCATGGGGAACATTTTTATATTTCAAAATATGAATAAAAATTAAATGTTGTCATAAGGTAGTATTTCCAGCGTTAAGATAAACCATTAGAGAAAAAATGATTGAGGCAATAAAAGAAGTGTATTAGTGCATACAGTGACTTTTATCACATGAGATCTGCACAGCTAATTACACGCCCCATTTTCGTTTAATGGCGCTTGACACGAAAGAACAAATAACTATTCAATAAAATCCTACAAAAAATCATGACCTTTTTCTCCTGCTGATAAGGTATGGGTGACACTAGGGGTACATTCAACCAATTTTTAGAAAATGCTTTGATAAGAAGACCGAGTTGCAAATAAAGGCGCCAGACAAAGGATGGGTTGTCTAATCATTTAAACTATGAGTGCATGCAATAAAATATGCAATGCAGAAGGGGGCAAAAATCAAAGTCGGGATTAACCACATGACAATTAGGAAACATTTGCTTGAAAAAATGGTACAAATGTCCGGCTTATCAGTGGACCAGTTCGAGTCTTGCACGGCTTATCAGCGGGAGTGACCCGCAACGGAAAAAGTGGGCGAAGTCTCGATTGTCCGTCATTCCATCCGATGTTTACAGCTAAGCTGGTCATCTGGTCATGTGAGCCGTCATGTGACTAAAGCGCATAGACTTCTGGACTTATCTGGACGCTTTTTGAAGCACCGCCGCAGTGCATTCACATTCACTCGTGACTCAGTCGAGAAGAATCGTCACAAACGGAAGAATGCATAAAGTCCCAGTCCAACTATGCAAACAATGTCTGCGCAAGACAAAGGCCCAAAAAAAAATGCATTAATCATCGCTAGCTAGCCTTTGTCACCGGAAAACACTTGTTGCACTTCGATATCCTGGGGTGACAAATTATAAATAATCCATTATCAGAGAAAAACTTACCTTGAAAGCGCGAAATTCCTCCGTGATCGATTCGGCAAAGGAAACAGCGTGGGCCCCCGCCAGCAGGGCCAAAAGCGGCAGTAAAACAGCTGCGCGCATTTTGAAGAGTTAGAGAGTCTGTAAGAAAGCACACAATTAGTAAGCCAACTATGCGGATTTCCAGTCGTAAACCTGATTTCTTGGATATGGTAGTTATAATATTAAATCGGGCAATATTTTGAGAGCTCAAACATTTATAAAAATACAATAAACATCTCAAAAACGGTCATTGATTTAAAAGAAAAATGGGTAATCTATAGTAAGACAAAAATAAAAATTAAAATTAATTGATTTATTCTGAATAAAATGAGAAAAACATTTTCAAACCTTTATTAAAATGTTATTAAAATATTTAAAAGTCCACATAAAATTATATTTTTGTTACATTTTTTAATATTTTATCATTTTATTTTTAAAATAAGAATTAAATCCATTCCAATAAATAACGGGGAACATCAATATATATTAAAAAAGTCTTTACTATAATGTTGATGTTATTTGGGATTTAGATCAATTTTCGGGGCGTATATCGGCATTTGCTCTTGGATATTGTTAGGTTGCTTGTTTTCGCAGTCGAAAATTATCTACATTATCTTATCGGCCATTCCACTTTCATATAGCTTCGTATTGCGTTATGAAGGTCTGCCATTTTTGTCCGATTTGTTTTTTACTGTACGATTTTGTTTGAAACGAGACAAGAATTTAATAAAAACAAAAAACTGTTATTAATTTATTATGAGCCTGCAAATTGCAAGTTCGAGGGCAAAAACGGGTTTTGAAATTCAAGGTGATTCATCTACAAGGGGAATAACAGGTGAGATAAAGCCAACGAATACTAGAAAATGGGTCAGCACAAAGCGGAAAGCAGAGAAACATCCAAAAGGGCAGTAAAATCTAAACAAAGAAGCGCAACAGAATTGGGAGGGGAAAATAGAATAAGGAATAGATGAAAATGCCGACCGTTAACATGCAATTAATGTGTAAATAAGTCGAGACAAAGTCATGACGCAATAATGCAACGCGTAAAGAGGCTGTTGTTAACATTCATATTTAATAGACGTTAATGCAGGGCATGATATTTTGCGTTCTAGCGCCAAATTCTTACTTACCACTTGAAACTGCGTCGCAGGAATTACAAAATGTTCACAGAATTTAACACTGTTTTTGGACTAATTTTATTGTTGGAGCTACACTAAAGTGCAAGTCAATCAATTGTATTTGTTAAGTCGCAATTAAAGATCTGATCACGAAGACTTTTCGATGTTCAATAAAATTTGAGGAAATTGTTGCTCCAAAGAAATCTTCGGCAGTGTGACCGGCCAGGGATTTATGGATATTCCAGTTGCTTATCGATAACAGTAAGGGCAGTGTTTAAGTGCTGGTTTTAAAAGCGCCAATTTTGTGTATTTTAATACCCAATTCCAACAGAGCACCATCGATTTGGCGACATAGTAACCGTACGTTTCTATGAAATATTTAGCCGATTAATTGCTTGCACAGCATTTAAGTCTTCGCGGGAAACAATTAAAAACTTACATGCCTTACATACCACCTTAATTTCTGTGAACCAGAGGCGAAGACAGAAGGTAGGAATGGGTATCCGAGTTTAACGCTCCTCAGGCAGCAACTTGTTTATAAAATAGCTATAATCTATTAAAACAAGTGTTTTGAAATTTTATTTTGCCCAAGACTTAAGTTTGACAAGTGTACGCGCCTTTTCGGAGCTTCGATAGCTCTTAAATATCGATAGGAAACTCGTGTTAGTGAGCATATGCTACAATATTTATATGACACTGATTTTTAATCGAACAGTGCTGCAAAACGCAAAAGAGAAAAATCCTTAGAAATTATATGTAAGGCGTCACACTAAATGCGAAAGAAGAAGACAAAAATTGCTCGTCATTCGCAGTAGGAAGTTTCATAAAATATTTCCAAAACCTACAAATTCGACGCATTATATATCCCGTAAGTATTGCAGAACAAGCGAACCCCTGCGCAAAATCTATATGTTAAATTGAGTCAATAACGGCGTAATTACGACATATTCCCATCCAATCTCCGCCAGCTCTCAAGAAGCGCCCGCATCATGTTTGGCAGACAGAGTGGACTGGGCAGTTCCAGCAACAGCAGCAACCTGGTGGAGTTCCGCGCCGGTCGCATGAACATGGTTGGCAAGATGGTTCATCCGGACTCGCGGAAGGGCCTTGTTTACATGACCCAAAGCGATGATGGCCTGATGCACTTCTGCTGGAAGGATCGCACCTCCGGCAAGGTGGAGGACGACCTTATCGTCTTCCCCGACGACTTCGAGTACAAGCGCGTGGATCAGTGCAAGACGGGCCGCGTCTATGTGCTCAAATTCAAGTCCTCAACTCGCCGGATGTTCTTCTGGATGCAGGAGCCCAAGCTGGACAAGGACGACGAACACTGCCGCCGCATTAACGAGCTGTTGAACAATCCCCCGTCCGCCCACCAGCGCGGCGGAGGCGGCAGCAACGACGGCGACCTGCAGTACATGCTCAACAACATGTCGCAGCAGCAGCTGATGCAGCTCTTCGGCGGCGTCGGCCAGATGGGCGGTCTCAGCTCGCTGCTTGGTCAAATGAAGTAAGAAAATTGAATTTTTCAACTATCATGTCCTTTCGTTTGCAAGAAGGAAATAAGATAACTCCATATGTATAAAGTAACTAGATTGATCAATGTGTAACCAGGGTAATCTTTGCAAACTTTAAAAACCTTCATACCTCTTATACCCGATAGCAAGTTTAAAATTTGGTCTGGGATAGGGTGTAATGGATTTAAAGGATGCTCTATTAATTATTTAATTTAAATTGTCATTGTCATATTTAATTCACTTTGATCGCACCTCTGTTACAGTAATCCCCATTAATTTTCAAGATTATCATATTTTGAAGATCTTGGAATTGACTAATGGAAATCTGATAGTAATATTTAATCTGGTTCCTACTAAAGTAAGCCTGATTTCTTCCTTTGCAGTTCCCGTACGCCCTCGTCGCGCAACACCTCATCGGGTGGTGGGGCTGGCTCGGCCTTGCAGACGCCCGAAAACGTCAGTGTTCCCCGCACGCCGACCGCCCCTTCCAAATCGGGCAGCAGCCGCAGCAGCAGCAATGTGAACTCGCAGGCCGGCGAGGCTGCCGGCAGTGCCGGCTCCTCCGTTGATGCGGATGCCTCCGGTAAGAACTCAACCACATCGACCACAACGGCGTCAGAATCGACCAGAGCCTATGCCAATCCATTCCAAGCCTACTTATCCAATCTCTCCCCCGAACATGGCGCAGGACGATCCCTAAACATTGACCTATCGACTGCGCTGTCCGGTGCCGAGGCCATCAATCAGCTCATCGCTGATCCGGATCGCGTTAAGTCGCTGATCGTACACTTGCCGGAGTCGGAGGATGCGGACGCGGATCGCAAGCAACAGATCAAGGACCACATCACCTCCCCGCAGTTCCAGCAGGCCCTCGCCCAGTTCTCGAATGCCCTACAGTCGGCCCAACTGGGACCCGTAGTCAAACAATTCGAGCTTTCCAATGAAGCGGTGGCTGCTGCCTTCTCCGGCAACCTGGAGGACTTTGTTCGCGCCCTGGAGAAAAGCCTGCCTGCCGGAGCCACCATGGGCAGCGAACCGTCGGGCAACGAGAAGAAGGGTGATGCGGAAACCCCCACTGTAGTGGCCCGCGATGAGAACACCGATCCCGCTGCTGAGAAGCAGGAGGAAAAGCAGAAATAGCTTTTGATCGTGCCACAACTATAAGTAAAATGCGTTTGAAAGCATATATTTTCAAGTTTTGAAGTATTTTTGCGATTCTGAATAAATTAACAAGGGAGTTACAAATTCATTGAAATTAAGTTATATATGTATAATTGGTATCAGATAATTTAGGTCTAAAGCTATCATATATCTTTTTAAGTATTCAGAAAGAAGTTTAGAATTATAATAGTAAATTATTCATCACTCATTCACAAAATAATGATTAGTAGACGGCTTATTTTTGTTGTTGTTAATATTGATACTACCAATACGCGAAGTGATTGTGATATGTTCGAAAGTTATAATTTTCTTCAAAAATCGTTATAATAATCGAATGATTAACTACAAATTTTCAAGCCTCATAATGACAATAGTGTCGGTTTTAAAATGTAGCTGAAAGGCGTTATTTTTGTTTATCGGATTAGATAAGATACATCGCAGAAATCAAAATTTGTTTGTAGAAAGCTATATTTTGTGGTGTCATTCCAATGATGAATTCAATAAGCTACAATTAGTTGTTTGTTTAATCTAATTTTTTAAACCAATTTTGTTGTTTTCATACATACAGAGGCGAACTTAATTATTGTCACACCAAGTATTTCAAAAGCAGTCCAGACAAAAACAACCATTTAATGTAGGAAAAAAGATATTTTAGTATGCCAATTGACTTTTGAGTCTTTGCAGCCTTCTCGTATGCATTATTACTTTCCCTAAGCTAATAGCTTGTGTTTTTAAAATCGAAAGTATTTTTCGTACCAAGTAACTCGTAATTATGCAGAACCTTTTTATCCTTTGATCAAAGTTGAGGAGAAATGGCGGTTAACAATCCTACAATCCTTTCGATTTTCTGGCCCCGGGTATAGGACACTATGCCGTGCATTTTGCAACGGTGTGGATTTTTTTATATGCCGCAAAAGAGCTCCGTGTGGTAAAATGGTTTCTGGGCATCCTTTCTCCCATCTTAGCATACGATTTGCCTTGATTCTGTTTATCAAATATTACTTATTGGGCTCATTTCCTTTTTATTTTGAAAAATCTAAAAATATTTGGTTTATTTTGAGGCATTAAAACGATTTTATCTTTATAAAGTATAAAAGCTACTCCTCTACTACTTTTTGCAAAAAAAAATTTGACAAGTTGATAAAATTTAAAAAATTGTTCAGGGAAATTAAGTCAATTTGTTTGTTTTGTTTTTTATTTGTATTAAATTATGAAGTGTGTTTTAGTCTTGCTTATCAGATTTTAAAAAAATGCAACATACAATTTATCTTTTTTATAACAACGACACATTTCACGTTAATACAGATTTTATTCTAAATTTAATTTTTAAGGTCTATTGTCGTTGTTAAAATATAATTTGAATTATAAAATGTACATTAATTTATGAGTTTTTTTTTCGCTATCTTAAAAGAAAGCCTTTCACGGTGGAAAATAATGTAGTAGTTAAGGGCTTTCTATTACAGAAAATTATAGTTTAAGCTATAGTTGCAGGTTAAATTTTAAATTTGTATAGTAAATAGCTGCGAATTTATGGATGTAATGGGAATAGTAATCCTGACAAGGTCATATTATGTTGGTGTACCCCTAACAAAAGCTCGATGCCCTACTCGCTCACTCGGTTCCTATGGTTGTCTCTGCCTGGCACGAATTGCGTGCTCTCTCTCTGCGAGCCGTCTCACACAGATACACACACAGGCACACGCAACAATATTTATTTTATTCAATTCCAAAACGGCCAACCTATAAGTTGTGTTTGTGCAAATTTCGCGCGTTTGCAAGTTTTTGTAATTGGCTTCCGATTCTTATACATAACGATCTCAAGCGATCTCCTTTGCAAAACGAAAATACAGATACATCCAGATCTGCAGTAATTTCCATATTTTTCTTCGCAAATTGTACGTCGCGGGCTGCATGTTTTTGTATCTGTTGTTGTTGGTGCTTTCATTTTGTAGCAATCTTCGCTGTGTGTGTGTTGGTGCTTTTGGCGGACGTGAGTGTGTGTGCGTGCTGGTGGAAGTCTGTATGTTTTTTCCATTGCATGACTGCTTTGCGGATTGTGGGGAAAGCTTTTCCCTCCAAAGTAGTTGCCATAAAAAGTTAAAAGCCGCGGCAAAAACAAAAAGCAAAGCAAATGTGAAAAAAAAAACGCAAGAGGGGGAGGGATAATCACACATACACTAGAAACCTTTGACTTTGACTCACTCGCTCGCACACACAACACTGACACAAGCGCAAGAAGATTGCAAAAATAAAATAATATGAAATAAGAAGCGCATAGAGTGTGTATTGTCAAATAAGAAAGTAAACAAAAAGCTTTGCGGATTCGCAATATCTCCGGCGCAACGATCTGGCAACACCAACAACAAAAAAGCAGCAGCAACCACATAAGAAACTGCGTTTCAACCGTTTCCTGCATTTATCGTTCTCGTTCTTTCCAATTAGAGCTGGAAAAGTAAACCCAGTAACGGTTTAAAACAGTTAAGACGCGAGCCCTACGCAACTCCTTAATGAGTTTCCCTCAAATAAACGGCATTCGCAACAAAAAACGCTTGATTTGCCGCTGATAAAGCTGATAAGGAACACAGCCCCAGTCAGCTGCACTTTTGCGATAAGGTAAGTAAACACTCGAACCAGTGGGGTTCTTTGAGTTTGCCGGCAAATCGAGGCTTCCAGAACAGCTGCAGAAGCTCCAGCTAAAATGGAGGTGTCCCTCCAAAAAAAGGAAAAAAAACCAAAACACAAATGGCGCCTGAGCATATGCTGCGGGAAATTTCAAGAGCGCCTGTGAGCGTGTGGGTGCGAACGGGACGACCATACAGACAGTGTTTATATTTTGGTAGAAAGGTCACATCCTTAGCTTCCAATAGGACTTTTGTGCTCCTCCACCACCCTTCGTCCCGAGCAAATTACGTCAGGAATCGAAAAACGAAGTTCATTTCGACAAACCGAAGGGTAAATGCTCTAGCACAAGTAAAATTTGTTGTCCTTTTCCTTATAGTCATTTTGATCGTAAAAATAATTTATTTCAGTTAGTTACGACATTTTTAATTGTTCTGCGTTACAAATAATGATAGCCAATTGAAATCGTAGCCCAGTGCTTCATATTTTAATATTACATTGATTTAAAGGTTCAGAAACCAGCATTTTAATTAAAATTAAAAAAAAAATGCAATATGATGTTTTACAATACTGCAATTTTAAATTTAAATACATATCAAACCCATATTTATTTGGACAAAATAAGTTCTTTATAGGTTTGAAGATATCGGATCGGAGATATGCGGTAAAAATACATATATACCTTGGTATAAATATATATCTTGCTGAGGTATATATTTACCTTATGTATGCATGTATTTCCAAAGTTCTACTCGATTTTGGTATACCCTCTTCAAGGATAAATTAATGTTATAAATTACCAAGTGGGGTTGCGAAAGTTTTAACGATGCAATACCTTCTTCATGGCTGTTCAACAGCCGGGGAAACCGTCTAGCCTGACATTGAACTTGGCTACTCTGCACCGAATTCGTTTAACCACAGTGTGGCGCAGCTTTTTGGGGCAACTTTCACCAACAATTTGCAGCTGCCACACTTCAACAGTTAGTTGGCAGTTGCAGTCATTTCATCGATGTCCGCAGATACATAAAAACTGTCGTAGCGCGCCATTTTAAAACTTTTGCTCAAAGCTTGGAGTGTGTTGGGCACTTTCTTCCTTTACCCTCTTTAAAGGAAAAAGAAGAGACAGAACTTCATCTCAACAGCTGTCTGTGCATCTTAAAAGCTTTCCCTTTGCCTGTTGCAGTTTATTATGACCTACAGGAAAGTACTTATGACTTGGTATTCACAACAGAAGTGGGTAAATAAATGTTTAATAGTCTTAACTTTAAAGATGGAGATTCCCTACACGCGACGAAAGTATTTATCCTGACTATTTTCATCCATTTTCATACCAATTAAACATGGTCGAGCAAATATTACAGACGTATACATATGTTAAAGAAAAGCCTTTTAATAAAAATGTACCTTACTGGCCCCAATAACAAGATAAAAAGATAGATAGCCGATTGGTTCTATGTATTTTATATTTAATATTCCATATATTTATTGTGACCGCACTAGAGAAATATATCCATATTGGAAATTAATGCCTTTTACAAAGGGCTCGACTTTGACTATACAAATTTCAACAGAACAGCAGGCCCGAATTAGATGAGCCGTATCGAATGAAAATTTAGATTTTTGGCATATCGTGTGTTATGCAAAAGCATCAGCTAATGGCAAAAGAAAGATAAATATAACTACATTTATTCGCTTGCTGCCGGTCTGACCTTTTGGGCAATACTAACCAAATAACTTGTTTAACATAATTTTAGTTTTGTCAACCGGCAATATTTTAATCATATCTTATCTGAAAATTGTTAATCTTTTTTAAAAGGCCATCAGAAACGAAACATGCAATAACAAATCAAATTGTTTTAAGAATGAAAGCTCCGATTTCCTTTCATTGGGTCCACTCCAGACACATCCACTTTGCATGACACATTGCTTCGGTGCAATTATCGTCGACTCCTTCCGTCCCATTGTGATAATAAGCTCTAACCAGCAGCCGACTCTCTTTCGATCCGCTGGCATCCACAGTCGCAGCAAACGTTTGCAGCAGCAGGACCAGATGATTTTCCGGTTTACCAGGGCTTAAAAACTGGTTTCGAAAAAAAAAAAACACAGACAGGCTGACGGACCGAATCGAACGCTGCCCTTTTGCACAGTCGGGCCAAAAAGACAATACAGAGCGGAGTGGTACATGTTGAAGCTTATATTTTGAAAGTATGTATGTGGATTTGGACAAGGCATTTGGTTCAGAAGTCAACGGGCTTGATGGTGATGAACCGGGAGAGAATAAATGCCACCAGGATGGTCCCGCATACAAAGCAAAAGGCGAACATGTAAAAGCTCTCCTCGGTGAATATGTCGGAGAAGGCGGGAATATCCTGGTAGATCTTCTCGATCACCGCCAGCGTTCCTTTGTGTTTCCTCACCATGGCGAGGGTTGTTGTGTGTCCTCTACTTCTTTTTGGTTGCCTTCTTTCCGCCACCGGCG